CCAGGGTGGACAAAGTATACTCCCTTAGGGAAGTGAAGTACCATCCAAGTATCTAGCGAGTCAGAATATATCCTACGACGTGAAAGTCCGGAATCTGCATAGGCGAAAACTGTAGCGAGATAAGACATCCAAAATGTAATAAGACTCAAGGTGAGTCGCTACGAAGATATACATGTAATAATGCACAAGGTGCATATCTATACGTATTAGCAAGGGTTTTCGACGTATGTGCCCCTAGACATAATCAATAACAGATAACCAAGTGAAAAATGCACCAGCGAAGTCAATCGGACAAGGATAGGACATGGTACAGAGGATCGGAAAAGCTAGAAAGGCCTCAGAATTGGATGGACAACCTTCGGGTGACTCGGACAAGCATGCGGAACTTTTGGAAGATCGGAAGTGTGTCGAGGAATATACAACATGATTTTCACCAGATACGTGCCCAACACCAACCCAAGTGTTACATCGGGACTTGATATGTGGGACTGGACAAAAATACCTTTCAAAATGTGTCAGTCAATGTGTTTGTAAATCAAATTTTATTGATCTCCCCAAATTTCCCAAGTCCCGAGTGCTGGCCCCTGACCCCTGAGACCCAGCAGTCCACAATTTCGGGGTTTGGGGGTTGGTAAAATCTCAGGCTTCGGGGTTTGGCACTGTGAAAATTTGACATTTATATTTTTGCGAGTGTTGTGCTTCTGGTGTCCATGCTTAGAAATAGGATATGTTGCACACCAGGGTTCAGGTGTGGGGTTTTTGCACTTCAGTACTCGATTATTGGTCAATGCCACACATGCTCAATTCATGTTTTCATGCTTAGAGGTTTAGATTGTGGTGGTCGATGGTAGGTATATGCACTCATAGTGTGCATGTATCCTATGTGTTTGATTCACTGGTGGCTACATCAGCTGATGTCTTGATGAAAAGTATCTAGGCTCACCCATATATGTACCCATCTATGTACAATTCCCCCACATCAGCCCGCCCATCTATGTAATTTTTTTTTGAATCCTTGTTTATTGTCCTGTGGGGCTGGGCCCTATGGTGGACACTACTTGCTACTTGCTACTCCGTTGTATGTACTCATGTGTTTTGTTATATCAACTCTTTACAATGGTCCCTCATCTATGTAATATCCCCCATGTCAGCCCACCCATCTATGTAATACATCCTATGTTGGCCCACCCATCTATATAATACATCCTACGTCAGCCCACACGTCTATCTGATATCCCTTTCGTCGGCCCATGTCATATCCCACATTCCGGACCCAGACTTATCACACACATCATTTCCAGACATCCAGATCCGGCCAACGTCTATCTATGTCTGGATCCGACCTGTGTCTAACTTCCGTGCCTTATCCCTTTGTACGTTCCTACTCCAGTTAGACTATATCATTTTCTGTACCTCATTTCATTTCCACCCTTTATTTTCCTCTGTTCTAATCTCCGGGTGTTACGCACTCAAATAGATCTGTTATGCGGAGCCCTAAGAGAGGCATTGTCCGCTAATGTTCGTGACGTAACCGGAAGAGTCTGGTGTAGCAACTTAGACTGGCGACGTCAAGTTGGCAGATATCAGAGACGCACGTGTCACGTGACTTCTAAGATGGATGTCTTCAAAGTCACTGAAGTCTCAAAGTGAGGACAGTCTTGTCCAAACGATGAGAGTCTGTTACAAGTAACATCGGTCACGTGGCCCCCCTATCATTTTCCTCTCATCCTTGCCCTCACCACCTACCGGCTCCTCCTCCTCTACTGACTTTCCGTTGACCGGATCCTCGGGACCATTCCCGTCCCTCGCATCATCCGCCTCTATGCACGTGCACTGCACGTTCCTCTTCTGATTCGACCACCAATGTGGTCCCGCACCTCTGACTCGGTCTGACTCGTGCCACCAATGTGGCTTTCCTCTTTCTGTTTCCCTTGACTGCGGATTCCCGCACGTTGTATTCTTACCGTTGGTCCGTTCCAACGTTTCTCGGTCTCATTCCACATTCGACCATCCATCACTAATCCGGCTATGTTGCCAACGCACCTATACCATATTCGCATCCCCTTTACCCTTACCTACTGTGTGGTAGCCTTGCCCTTAACCCTCTCCACTTAGTATAAGTAGTCGGTCACCCTGTACTAGATTCTCTAACTTGAATCTACTCAATCTTCCCTGGAACATACTTCCCTCTGAAGCCCCCTCAGCTTCAGTCTCTAGTATCTTTTCTTAGTCGCTCTTCGCGACTAAGTCTACCTCGATCGACCTCATCGTCCGGACAAGACAGTCCTGACCTTGAGTGACTTCTTAGACATCCGTCTACCAAGTCACGTGACACGCGCGTACTGTGATCGCTGCCGACTCGTCGTCGCCAGTCTCACTTGCTACCGGATCCTTCCGGTTATGTCACGAACGTTAGCGGACGACGCCCCTCTTAGGGCTCCGCCTAACAGATCTATTTGAGTGCGTAACAGAGTCGATTGAGGTAGACTTAAGCGTGAAGTGCACTTAAGAAAAGATACTAGAGACTGAAGCTGAGAGGCTTCAGAGAGAAGTATGTTTCAGGGAAGATTGAGTAGATTCAAGTTAGGGAATCTAGTACAGGGTGACCGACTACTTATACTAAGTGGAAAGGGTTGATGGCAAGGTTACTGTACTGTAGGTAAGGGCAAAGGGGAATCGGAAAGGGTATAGGTATGCTGGCAACAGAGCCGGATTAGTGGTGGATGGTCGAATGTGGAATGAGACCGAGAAATGTTGGAACGAGCCAACGGTAAATGATACAATGCGCAGCACACATGAGTCAGAGGAAAGATAAGACGAGATAAGGAAAGCCACATTGGTGGCATGAGTCAGGACGAGTCATAGCCCGAAGGCACGTGCGCACGTTGGTGCGATAGCAGGGAAACGAGGGAAACGAGGGACGGGAACGGTCCCGAGGATCCGGTCAACGGATAGTCGGTAGAGAGGTGCGAGCCGGAGGTATACGAGGACGAGGATGAAGGAAAATGATAGGGGGGCCATGTAGCCGATGTTACTTGTAACACCGGGTTCATTTACTATTTTCCGATAGACTAGTGTTTGACTTTTTCTATACGCTCCGTCCACAGCTTTGTATAGCTTTAGACTGTGCATCTCGGTTCTCCAATAAGTCCTGAGTAGTATATAAACCCTGTAGAATCTATGTACATCCTTAGTTCAAATATTATCTTAGACTCTGCTCATTCCCTCCTCCGTCCGACTTGAGTTATCCTCTTATTGACCTCCGCTCATCTTAGGATTGATTCCTATAGACTTGTCACCTCTGCCTCTACCTTTGGTAGTCCTCCACTGTTTCCTTTCTAGTTCGGACTTCATCTGGATTAGTCTTATCTCTTGTTCCTGAATGTCCACCAGAATTCCCGTGCATCGTACATCGTCCAGTAACCTTCGGATATCGTCAACAGCCTTTGGAAGTTAGGGGCACATACTTGGGTAAGGGGCGCAGCGCACGAGCTGAAGCCAAGCCCTTCAGATTTGACCTTTGAGCATGTTCTTAACAGCCCACCTGTATATGTAATACTCTCCATGTTGGCCCACCCGTCTATTTGATATCCCTTTCATCGGCCCACCCATATATGTAATACACCCCACATCAGCCCACCTGTATATGTAATACACCCCACATCAGCCCACCCATATATGTAATACACCCCCATCGGCCCACCCATCTATCTAACAATATTTGCCTTACATCTCTCTTCAGCCCAACTGTCTATAATATCCTACTCTACATATTACCCACATGGGCCCACCCTTCTCCATGAATGATTATATTCCCCTGGCCCATCTGTCAACATCAGGATATATATATCATTGGCATACATGGGCCCACCCATCTCCATCAGAAATAATATGTTTCCTGGCCCATCCGTCATCATCAAGGATATACACAACATGGGCCCATAATCCGCTGGCCCATCTGATATGGGATATTAGGTAGGTTGGGTGGCCTGTATAATACAGAATTTGTCACTGAAAGGGCTCCCTATATCTCTTGACACCAATATGAAAAGACACTTGTTCCTGCCCAGTGCGGGTCTGAGCGTCACACTGTCGTCCATATGCAAGGTCACTAATTTTGAGGTTTATTTAAATGAATGAAAATATCAGTATTTTGATCATATTAATCCTGGAAGTACCCTCTATTCATAGGATATATATATGCCCACCAAAAGAAATGTTTTGAAGTTTGAAACCTATTTCTGTTTTGGGATGATGTATGATAAGATACATGCTTACCATTTATGGCACAAGACTACTTCTATTTGGTCATATTTACTAGTTGGTCTGTGCACTGCTCAATTTATATATTTAAGCTGGTGTAGTTATTCAAAAAAAATCATCATCTTTACTCATCAGCATCACTTTTGATCTTCTCACTATATTGCTCTTCATCTTCATAGACTTCATTGCCCAAGTAGGCATTTATATTGTCATAGTGACTTATAACTAAATATTTTATTTCACCCCACTAGACTTCTTCCTGCAGACTCCACTTCAGCAATGACTTCCTTAACAAGGTAAGCATTTTTATTGCTGTAAAACTTATGTGTCTGATGTTATATAGTAGGAAAAAAAGAAAAACAACAGCTCTTGGCCTTGATATGATGGCTATAGTCATCAAAGAGGTTTCAGAAAATTCAAAATTTCTTGAGTTGTTTTCCAAAGCAGCACATCCTTATTCTAGAGCACTCTTTGAGATGGCTCTGACAAGAATATGGATGAAACATTCTGGCCAGTCAGAGTCTTCTATCAGGGATTGTTTTTCAGATTTTATTGTGTCTTGTGGCAATAGGAGATTATCTGATGATCTTGCTAAAGCTTTAGACATTTTTATCAAGGAAAAACATGCTCAAAAGTTGGGCAGAAATCTATTAATCAGGCAGCTTAGGCTGGATCTTTCTACTTCTGCCAGAAACAACTTTTTGGACAGCATTCAGAAAATCACTCTATCCTGTCTACAAACACCCTATCCTCCCAAGGGCCATTGGATCTATGAAGAAACTGCTGCCTACAACTGCTGGAAAGACTGGATTGTCTCTGGTCACCAACCAGATTCTCGCATACCTCGCAAACCTCTGCTTCACATTAATCCCTCTAACCTCCAACTAGTGGTGCATGAAGCAGAAAGCTGCATTATTAGGGATGCAGCAGATTCCAGCATCATTGCAGTAGTAATGAGAAATTTCTGTGGCCATCCTGGGGTATTATCTTGGGTTGATGAAGTCATCTGTAATGTAGTGCAGGAAAAAAAAAGTATCAGGGTATGTTGGTTTTTTGATTACAGCATAATGATCTCTAATATGCACACTTTAGCTTGAAGATCCAGGCACTCTTGCTCAAATAGGATATTCTGCAGGATCCCGCTCTGCATCCAAATTTGACTGGGTGAAAAACCTGCGGACAACCAGACTCTCTTCTGATGAGGTGGATGCACTGGACTTTAGTTCAAGTTCAGTTTTTGCACTATTTTGGAATATGTGCAAGGCTTCACTGCCCCAGGATATCATTGGTGATTTCTACAAGTTTCTGGAGACCAACAATATCTGCCGCATGGACAAAGTAGGAAATTCTACCAACAACTTGGATCCACTGGGCCGATATGTGGTTGGAATAGGAGAGAAGGGTGTCTACTATGAGTTTAATGGGGTGGAAATGGCACCTCCAGCTGGTGTCTTTGCCTTAAATTATTCTAGGTATGTTTGATTTTAATGGTTGATCAATCCATTAATTATTACATTAGGGCAACTCATTCAGAGATCCAGCCTCATAAATTTGCTCTTTCATGGACAACGAACCGATCACCTCAAAGTATTGGTGGACACTTTTATATCAGCTCTCATGGTATTCAGATTAAAAGTGCTTCCAACACTCTTGTGGTCTGGCAGCCAAAGGATGTTCATGGCACCAGTCTTCAAGTTCGGAACCCTGATGATCCCAATCCAGCCTTCATCCAGACTGGAATGGCTATAGTAACTTCAAACAGACTTCCTAATGCATGGAAAAAGTACAAGGATACTAATTCCGGAATCACTCAATTGCAGTTGGAGCTACAAGGGGAGGAAGTAGATGACACCCCAGACACTTACCCTACTAGTTAGTAGTATTTGCACTCCATGTTGTCTGACAGCAGTAGGATTCAGGCAGTACAAATGTGACTTCGAAATATATGAAAGTGCGGAATGCTTTGCTCTGAGTCCTTAGCCTCGCAAGCGGCAGCCTTCTTGTTTCGGCTGCTTTAATCAACATCGCACCTACAATGTGCCTCTGCTGTACAAATCTGATGCTAACTCATGATCGGCCACTCGATATCCTGCGAGTCACTTACATCTCGACATTAGCGCTGAACGGTGTGGATGCCACATGCATGCTGTGATTCTTCGCTTATCATCCATGAAGACCTCCCTCTTTTCGTGACCTCCAGCACACATCTTATTCTCAACTGTTAGTTCGAATTTATCCTTCATTCGCATGTCAACATTCGTCCCTGGACATTTCAGTGACTGCCCTCCAGACTCGGAAGAGGGTCCGAGCCACCCAGAACACCCTCAGAACACATCGCAGAAAAACCTCGTGATCAGTGAAATGCTACAAGTTTTCGTCAATAGTATGTGTCAATTCTGGCGATACTTGTCCAACCTCTTTACCTTCTCCTCCTCGTTGGCCCAGTGCAACCGGTGTTAGGGCGCCCAGCGCTCAGAGACCAGCTATGGCACACAGGAGTGCAGGTCCGTCCCCTGCCGACTCAGTACCCTTTCCTCGCCCGGCGTATCTTGACCATTCTGCACTGCGGCACCTTTTGCAGACGGACACTCTTCTCAACTTTCCTCGTCACCGAAGCCTGGTCTTGCGGTCGTCCGCACTGAGTATGCTGGCGGAAGGAGGAGGGTGCAGAGATCTCCCAGCGTTGATAGCGATGAAGAAGACAGTATTCCTCCTGGCGAAATATCCTCTCGGCATCAAGAAAACAATCCCTTAATGTCATCCGCCCTCTTGCGCCTCCCAACGAGGTGGAGTGAGGAATATCGAAGTCCTATGTTAAGCGTTTCTGCAGACGGAAGGGATATCACCTATCAAGGTCAGTCATACCGAAGTAGTAGAATTACCAAACATACATTGATTAACACAGGTTCTCCAAGCAACTCTGATAAAGATGCCGCAGCTGCGCATACGATCTTCCCTGTTCCTCCTGCCTGCGGCATATACTACTACGAGGTCGAGGTGACCAGCAAGACGAATAACAACAAGGAGTGAGTGCCTTGTGTACGGAATCTCTGATATCTATGTACTTAAATGCAAATTCAGGCGAATTAGTGTTGGGTGCGATTCAAATTCGATAATCTAAAATTAATTTTCCTCACATCCCTTTGTAGTCTTGTGAGCCGCGATTTCAAATTGACTCGCCTACCGGGGTGGGCGAAGAACTCGTGGGGATGTCACGGTGATGACGGGTCGTCGTTTAGGGCGGAGAAGACGGGCACACCATATGGTCCCCAGTTCGGAGGTCCGTCTATTTCACGATACACTTGAATACCTAACTCACTTTGGATCAATTAGCTGTCGGATGTGGTATCGATTTTAGCCAGAACCGCGCGTTCTACACAAAGAACGGTGCTTTACTTGGTGCGCACTCTTCCCTCCGAGGACTTCTTTTATTCTGAATTCTCACAGGCTCTGTTTTCGATAATATCGGCAAACGTCCCAAAGCCTAATGACTTCTCTGACCTGGCAGAATACTTTGTTCGAAAGGTATGTTCTCAGGGTGCTACCTCTATCTCACAACTCGTGAATATTCAGAGTCTTGTTCATGCAATATCTCAAGTGCGCTTTGAAAATGGCAAGACACCTTCAGTAGTTCGTCAGTTCCTTGTCGACCAGCTTCGTTACAACGACAACACAGCGAATCCGGTTAGTATGATATCGTCACAAATAGTTACTGATTTCAACGTTCTTTAGTACTCGGACGCGTTCTACATATGCACTATGATTTCAGCTGTTGCTTGTGCAACTGTCTCGATTGCTCCTCCGGAACGTGGCGAGCTCCTTCGCGAAGAAGTTCGGTCGTAGCACACTACCGAGGATGCTAACTTGATGAAGCAGGCGAACCCTTTCAGTCATGATGCAAATGGCTGAGTCGGATTCTACGACATCGATGTATCTGAGTACGTCTGGATGTTGTATGGTGCGTAGCTTGCGGAGGGAGTTGCGGGCGAGGGGTATGGTGGACTTGTTCAGAGGGTGGGTTACATCATACTCGAAAAACGAGACCAGACTACCATCTTCCTGCCTTGTAGATTAGCCTGGACACAACTCGGACCTGTGATGAGAATTACAAACCTACCCGTTTGGTAGCGTCGTACAAGGTCCAGAAAGTCTCGCAGGAGTAAACTTTGGCACCTAGCGAGAACGGTAGATTTAGCCCCGATTTCTGGACTAGAGTCGACACTGCAGCAGAGCCAAAGCTGCGAAGATAGTCCATAAAACCCTCAAGTTAGTTCGATCACCAACCCGCACCTCCAACTATCAGTTGAAAGTTCACCCCAATACGCCTTCCTCGAACTTGCTGGTATCGAACTTGCCGATTCTTCTCTTTGCTCAGGCCAGTGACTTGCATCCTCTGTTCTATCCTTTCGGTCCCATCAAGGAGGTGAAGCTCATGGATTCTGCTATGCTTGGCAATGGAACCACAACTGCTCTAGTCGAATACGTGAATGTCTTCGATGCTCAGGAAGCCAAATTCAATGACAGTTCTATGGGACCTCACGCCTGGAAGTCCGATTCATCCAAGACAATATCTATCCGGTCAATTCTACTGCTGCTGTGTATGCCCAGTCTCCCATGCTACCGAAAACATCTGATGCCGGCCTTAATCCTTGTGCTGCTCCTTTCGTCTTTGGATCCCGCCACTTACCGCCCTTGGCTTCTGGTCTTAGCACCGTTGCGCACGATTCATTTGTCAATGACCTCAATCTTGCCAATAGACTGTCTTTACATTTGCTAACTCCAGCCGAGTAGACCCTCTGCTCGCAGCTCCGAATCTTACCCAAACCTTATCTTGTCATCAAGGAGACCTTCGTCCGGGAGTACGCTTGTCGTGGAGGTAAGCTTCGCCGCAGGGAAGCACGGGATCTCGTCAAGATTGATGTGAACAAGGCGAGTCGAGTTTGGGACTCTTGGTGCAAGCTGGTTTTCTCAAAATCATACCTGACCCGCCTGCTGCTGCTGCTCAGGATACCTCGTACGTTAGTTACGGCTCAACAGCGTATATGTTGATTCCCGTGATTGGCCGCTTCCTGTACGTCTATATGGTTTAAGTCGTCCCCTTCACTGAGTGAATCATATTACAGCGGATGGATGTCGAATTTAACATCGACCCAGATGAATTCCAGGCTCGCAAGCGCAGACGAATGTCAACCATGATCACTTCCCTACCTCCACCACCCAAGGTAGCCCTAACCTCTGCTCCTGGGGTACACGAAATTGCCACCTTCCTCCCTGGCAGGCTTGAGTTCGAACACGAGCTCGATAATGAAGCGGAGGATCTTGTGAAGGATCTAGAATTCGGAATTTGCCGTGCACGAGGCGGTGATCAGATTATGGAAGATGAGAACGGCCCGGATGTACGTGCCAGGGCACGAATGCAGGAAGAGCGCAAAACTGTTGCTGGTTCCAGGAACAGCAGTCAGCCACCCGTCAATGGTGTCAATGGCAACGGACATCTTTCAATGAACGTATCAAGTTCAAAAGTAAGTCTTGCCAGGTCTATTGTTGTACTCGAGCACTTCCTCCAGACATTCTAGCGGCTTAACGCAAGTCATCATACTCGAGATCATTCACATCTTCAACCGCCAGGCAGAGATCGTCAAGCTGAGTACGTATCTCTCTGTTCTCGACCTGTTATACATGTTCAATGTTTACCGTGTAGTCCGCACGCTTCTTAACTGCTTCAACTCCACCATTTTCCAGTTTTTTATTTATTTTTATTGTAGCTCGCAATTGCGCAGTGACACTTTCAGCTCTCTGCAACCCACTTACTTCCCTGGGTTCGCATTCTCTTGACTCTGCCTTGTTTCACATCGACTCTTCATGCCAAAATTGCTACTATCCGAAACCCGCGAGGTGAGATTTGCCCTTCAATTTTGGAGGAACTTCTTTTGACTTTTTCCCGTCAGGGCTGGTCTGCGTTTCACAAGCTCCTTCTTTTCTCCTTCAAGTCTCTGGCTCGATGCTAATCTCCAACTCGCATCCCGTAATTTCTATTGCGGCTCCCTCTGACTCCTCCCCGTCCTTCTTCATGATTTCCCAGAGTTCCTTAGCGAGTACTACTTTAGTCTCTGCGATGCCATTCCTCCGCGTTGCATCCAGCTTCGCAACATCATCCCCAACGCGTTCACTATGTCTATCATCCTTCCTGACCCTCATCTACGCAAATTTGACTCGATTCCCGAAATGGGACCGATACCACCCATTCTATCAGACTTTGCTTCACGTCTCAAAAGCGCTGACCTCCGCAACAACCTCGATCAATACCTCCTTAATTGTGGAACCCCTTCATTCCTTACAACACTCAAAAATCGCTTGAGCCTGCCCGACGTGCCAGAGGGTTCATCCGAGTTGTACAACCTGTCACTAATAAATTCCCTATAACCAGGTTGGGTGCGCAAATGTGACTTCCGCGTGAGGGCCTATCTGATAGGGGTGACGCTTGCAGGGGCGCGCCCGACGCACCAAATATGTAGGGCTTGCGGTCCTGCGTCCTTATGTTATCCGAAGGGCAGAAACTTGCAGAGGTGTGTTTTCGATGATTTTCGTGTATTCGGCACCTGACCTACGCACAAAGGAATGCCTCATCGAAGCTACAGGGTCATCTTAGTCCCAGGCCTGAAACTGTCGATTTATGTACCCAATGCCGTGCTGTCCTGTTATCTTGCATTGTTCATGTCGCTCGTGTATTTTCAGTGTTAAAATATTGAATATTGATCTAGGATTGAATACTTTGATGTCGATCGGGTTCCCCTTGTTATCTCGCATCAATGTTTTTCTTTCACACTGCCCATGTATTTACAGAATTTGGAATGTCAAATATTGGATGTTGGCGCGAAATTCAATGACATGAGAATCACAATGCTCAAATCTCTCAACGCGTGCTCATGTTTCGTTTTGACGTTATATTTTTACAGAGCAGCCGTGAACAAGATCGACTTACAGTTCTACATCTTCGCCTTCGTGTTTCCTAAATCGTGCATGATTTCATCCAACATTTCAACGAGTACCTTGCCTTCTAACACAAACGAAGGTTATAAACTGCCTGTCTTCCTCTCTCCCCGATGCATAAAGTCATAACATGCATTCCCCGGTTCCCCACCTTGTTCATCGGATATTTAACATTCTTCGCTGTCACTCCTGGTAGACATCGAAGCAGCTCCTCTGCAGCAGCGTTGATGCCTGCGCCCGCTTCTGTGTCTTCCTCAGCGCCGATTGCAATCGCACGGTTAGGGTCCGGCTCGAAGGCGTTGGCTTTGAGGTCGTTGGATATATCTGCTGTACCATAGGGGGACGACGACCAAATGATTCGAACACGAGGGAAGTGGAGCATGAGGAGAACAAGTTTGGATTGAATAAATGCAGGAGCGCGATCAGAATCTGTTGGACCTGTTGATTTCTTCGCGGGATATTTGCTTGTGGGCTTGGCATACGACTTTGCAGATTCTGCTACGGTCTGGAAGAGAGCACAGTACTCAGCTCCTTCCTTCCGCCTGCGAGACGGGTACTGATCGTTTTAATGACTGCATCGCTTTTCCCAGCGTGTTTGTCCTCGAAGATCGGCAGGAGCATGGACTAGACATAGTAATGAACGACTCGCACCACGCGTAAGATAGTGAAAAAACAAACGACGTACTCCGCGTTCCTTGATTAGCTTCTCGAAAGATTCCTTCTCGCGCCTCAGTCCAGCAAGGTACTTGTGCTCCTCGCAACAGAGTTGGTAGACCATGAAATACACACGGACGCCCATACCAGGGTTAAAGTTTCTGTACACCTATTAAGTTGCCGCATCAAACTCGAGGATGTCAATATCTCTCAGATGAAAGACTACCCTCGATGCGCCCCACGAAATCAAGGTTGGGTTCAAACATCACAATAAATCTTGGCTGCAGTTCTGCGAGAGTCTGGTCGTCCATGTCATCAGTATATGCTCGCACAACAACCATCTGCGAGGGCGCAAGCGAGCCGTAGTGCGTGTCAAAATCTATTTCTGCTTCGCTTGACAGAAGCGTTTCAAGGAGGAGAGCGTCTGCATTGGAGGAAACAAGGTGGTCTGAAGGTTGACTTGCAAGGCTGAATCCAATCTTAGTGAGGAATGCGCAATTACAAGCATCCTGACGCACAAGGCTGCAATATCATCTCCATCGTCTCTCGACTCCACTTTTGGATCGACAACCGCTGATTTACTTGGTGCAACAGTCATCGGTGCACCGCCACGCACCCTTCTCCGATTCGCACTTCGCTCTTGTCTCGTCTTATCTTTCCTCTTCAAAGCTTCACTGATCTCGCCCTCAGGTTGCGATGACGACTGTGGCTGCGGGGCAGAGAACCGAGGTGGTTGTTGGTATCTTGGTTGTTTTTGTCTGGCGTTCTGGCCATTCCAATACAGGTATGTCCGTAATTTGCGCTCCATCATGGATCGTCCACGAGAGCCTTTCGGAGCAGTACCGTCCATCTCCCCCAGGAGCTCACTCACAAGGGTAGAAGAACGTGGAGACGAGGTCATGACAAGTACCGTATTTGTGTGGCGAGCTAGCGGACCTGGCGCGCGTCAAGCAAGAAAATTGTTTTTCGGTCAATGGGACTCACGAGTCGACACTGCTTCCTGTCTCATCAATTCTTCCTCGATTTCTTGAAGTGCATCTGCAAGGAGATCCCACTTTGGAAGCTCTTCGAGCACTGGAGACATGTTGTCCGGAACCCATGGTTTCTTCTCTTCCTTCTTCTTCCCGTTATCTCTACAATTGCTTCCTGTCAACCCATGGGCCTCATCAAGTGCAGCCCATGCATCTTCATCGTCAACGTCAATCACTTGGCTCTCAGAAACCGAAGATGTAGGTTTTGGAGCAGTAAGGACATGTGACCGTCGTTTCGCGGTGCTAAAAATGATATTAGCCGCGTCAGCGAGCATCCAAGGGGATTGGTGTTGTTTAGCTGCACCAGTTACGGTTGTGGTATTTGAGGCTACGAGAGTTTCAAGGTATGCGTGAAAAGCGAGTGCGTCATAGGACAACAGGTACCTTGATGGAGGGCCCAGATCAGCAACGGTATAAAATGGGCAGCATAACACATGAAATATAGTAGATAGCAGAGACAAAGTGTACATTTATAGGAGTAGAAAACATACGTTAATAGACGCCTGAGCGTCGCGAGGTCACCCACGAGTTGCTTCGTCCGTGGACCGACCTTGTGCCATACGGGGTCTAATTGCCTGCGGACCACTGCATCAAACGAACGGAAGTATGCCGACTCTACATTAAGATCATCAAGTTCAAGCTGCGGGATGAATGAATGAGGATTCGTTCAAAGGCTAATAAGGCAGCTCAAAGATTCTTACTGTCTTATTAGATCTCTTGAGCTCGGAAAGTGTGATGGTCATGCATTGGACTATCGCATGGTGAATTGCCTCCATAGGCTCTGTAAGACGCTGATACAATTCGATGACATCTGCTTTACGCGTTTCGAGTGTGTTCTTGACGTCTTCGTGAAATCTAAAGCGAAAGACGGATGAGAAAGACGGAAACAAGAGAACTAGAAGGCAAAGAATACGAACATCAGTGAGGAAGGAGGTCACCCACCGTGGATATATATGAACGCGTCTTAATTGAAGCTTCTTCATGATGTTCTTCAGCGGAGACATGCCACTGGTGATATGCTCAGGCTGGTCCGGGAATGCTTTGAGAAAGCCAGCCTTATTCTTTTTTCGGTATAGCCGGACAATGAATGCTTCAAGGGAGAGGGCAGTGACCCTATCTTTCTGTTTGTGCGTTTGTAGGCTTGTAGATCGGCAAGACATATGGCATAGAGCTGTTGGATGTGGCGGGAGTGATGTTGAGAACAACTAAGGGCATATCGACTTACTGTTCACTAAGGCAAGAACATGCTGCAGCGTGATGTTAGCCGTGAATGGATCCAGAGTACCATATCATAGAACTGAGTTGCTTGGAGTGTTGGCGTCGAACAAACCGTGCTGCTAGAATAGCGCGATTGTGACAGACGGTCACGGCGCTGCCTCGTAATTAGGTCTGTCTGGACTCGAACTTCCTTGCCACCATCGGTGTTCATGAAGTTCTTTATCGACAACCTACCTGTTTGTATTGTTATTATGTTTGGTGAACATCAATTATGCTGAAGTTCTCTATTTCAGATTGTCTTCCCTTATGACCGAATTTACCCTGGTTCGTACATTCAAATGCCAGCCATACTCCACGTTAACTCTGTCACCTGCAGAACAATATGCATACATGTGTGATCTCAAAAGAACCCTGGATGCAACGGTACGGCACACGTAGATATTGTCCTGGTCATGCCATTCTGACTGCTTTCCTCTAGGGGCATTGCGTTTTGGAAATGCCTTCAGGAACAGGGAAGACCGTCTCACTGCTGTCTCTAATTGTATCATATCAGCAGGTATGTTTCCAAGCTCGCATCATAGCATGTTTCTTAACACTTCTCGCTAGTTTTACCCTACGAAACGGAAACTTATCTATTGCTCGCGGACAGTTCCAGAGATCGAGAAAGCATTGGCCGAGCTGAAGCGTCTCATGGCGTACCGGATCAAGTTTGCGGAGACTCCCGAACAAGAAGCAAAAGAAGCAAGTTTCATGGGACTCGGACTCACGAGTAGGAAGAACCTCTGCATACACCCAGACGTGAGTACACGTTATAAAGAGCCCGTTCCACAGCTTACATTTCTCTGTATGCTAACTTTCTAGGTCTCAAAGGAGAAGAAGGGCAAGGTAGTCGACGCCCGTTGTCGAGACCTCACTAACTCTGCTGCATGCGAGAAAGGTCGCGCAGATCCAGGTTCAGTCGAATTGTGCGATTGGCACGAGGTGAGTCATTGAAATTTGCATCAGTTGCTCCATGGGTGCTAAGTCGTCTTAGAACCTGGGTAAAGGTGAACCTGGCTCTTTAATACCCCCTGGCATATGGACTCTAGCCGACGTTCTTCAACACGGGCGTGAAAACACAACGTGTCCATACTTCACGGTTCGGCGAATGGTGAGTGACATCAATATCATACATTACCCCTCATCAACTGCACAAGATGCCGTTCGTGGATGTTATCATCTACTCATTCCACTATCTGCTTGATCCCAAAGTTGCCGAACAAGTTTCCAAAGAACTCTCAAAAGACGCCATCGTCGTTTTTGATGAAGCTCACAATATCGGTAAGCCTTGTCGAATAACTATTTGAATTTTCTATAATCCATCGCAGACAATGTGTGCATCGAGTCATTGAGCATTGACTTGACCCGACCGATGTTAGATTCAGCTGCACGCAGTGTTGTGAAATTGGGTGAAAAAATAGACGAGTTAGTGTTTTATATATTATTGTGATCGTAGCACCCAAGTGTATTTTTAGGATCAAGAAAACGGACGCGGCCAAACTACAGGACGAGTATGCGAGACTTGTCGAGGGGCTACAGGAATCAGCGGCAGAAGCTTCTGATGAAGACGCATTCATGGCCAACCCAGGTTCGTCGAGAAAGAAAGTAGCTTTCCACTCTACTGAAATTTTCGGGAAAGTTTTGCCAGACGACCTCCTAAAAGAAGCTGTTCCAGGAAACATCAGGAAGGCCGAACATTTTGTCGCATTTTTGAAGCGATTCGTGGAATATCTTAAGGTTTTTGGTCTGACACCCATGCGGCACACTGTGTTGACAGTTGCCATAGACCAGGATGCGCGTTTTGCATGTCGTTGCGGAAACGCCATTGTCGTTTCTACAGCACTTGAAAGATATAACTTACATTGAGTGGCGACCACTGCGGCAAGTATTGTTTTCTTTCCGCCTGTATTCTTTAACGTCAGCCTTCAGGTTTTGTGCAGAGCGACTACAGTCAATGATCCGTACATTGGAGCTGAATCGGCTAGATGAGTACTCGGCATTGCAGAAGGTCGCAAGTTTTGCAACCCTTGTTGCAACTTACGAAAAGGGTTTGAACCCTAATTCTTATTAATGTCGATATTAACTCTGTTACAGGGTTTCTTCTTATTCTTGAACCATTCGAAACCGATAACGCGACCGTTCCTAATCCCATCTTCCACTTCACGTGAGAGTTTGGTCATCTATTCTGAACTTTCTTTGCCTACTGAGCATTAATTTCAGATGCCTGGACCCGTCGCTCGCAATCAAACCCGTATTCGAGCATTTCAGCAGCGTCGTAATCACTTCAGGGACCATCTCCCCGTTGGACATGTATCCAAAGATGCTGCAATTCACTCCCGTCGTGCAAGAAACATATCCTATGACACTCACACGCAATGCTTTCTTACCGTTAGTGAGTTGTCTTGCTAATCTCCGTGCTCTTGTCCACTGAAAATAGAAGGTCATCACGCGAGGAAGTGACCAAGTCGCTATCAATTCACGTTTCGAAGTCAGAAACGACCCTGCCGTAGTCCGCAACTTTGGAAGTATTCTCATCGAGTACAGCAAGATCGTACCGGACGGCATTGTGGCTTTCTTCCCTAGTTATCTTTACATGGAGTCCATCGTCGCAGCTTGGAATGATATGGTAAATCTATGTACCCCAAGAGATGAAACCCTATTCATCATTTTCTTAGGGTATTCTCAACGAGGTCTGGAAGAACAAGTTAATATTTGTGGAAACGCCAGATGCAAACGAGATGAGCATTGCTTTGGAAAACTATCGCCGAGTGAGAAGTGCCTATGCCACTGCCACAGAGAAGTTCGACCACTCACAGAATTACTGCAGGTTTGCGATAATGGTCGAGGAGCTGTTCTTCTGTCGGTCGCGCGTGGAAAAGTGTCAGAGGGTATCGATTTTGATCACAACTATGGGAGAGCTGTGATCATGTTTGGGTTCGTGATTGAATTCATACATTAGAGCCAGCAACTGATAGAATCGCAATAGGGTCCCATATCAATACACGGAGAGCCGGATATTAAAAGCACGGTTGGAGTATTTGCGTGATGCATACCGCATAAGAGAATCCGAATTTCTTGGTTTTGATTAGTGCTGCCGAAGAAGAGCTGATCACGAGCAAATTGACGGTCACGCACAGGCTTATGCAAGCAACACCGCCACCACGGCACGCGACACCCAAACTGAGGAGGACGCGACCCCAGGCAGTTGCAGGAACCAGCTCGGGAACGGAGAAAAAAGGACCGTGGGAGGAGACGCGTGATCGACGTCGTAGACGGAAGAAAGAATGGGCTGTTTCTGAGCCGCTGAAGAGCTCGAGCCACCGCTGGGCGAGGTGAAGGGGTGGATTAGTGACCAGATGAGCCAAAGTCCAACGCATCCAGGAAGATGCCGAACTGACTGCAAATATCCCACGTCAGACCGTCAATTTACCGTCTGGACGGAGCTGAGGTTTTGGTGAGTACCTGTCTTTTCCTCCGTGAAAAAAACGACCGTCGGGCTGATGGACTGTAAATTGACAGTCCTCAGCTTTGCAGTCATGGCGGCTGCAGCATAGCCACTCGATTGATAATACAGGTACGCATGGGTGCGCCCCTGTAAGCGTCACCCCATCTAACTAGGTTGACTACCACAGCGTCCTTCTCTTTATTTCTCCTGGTCTCACGAGGCGACCTGTCTTTACAAAACTTAAGCCGGCTACTGCATTTTTCCTCTCTCTGCATCTTACTTGTCGCATCTTTGGTTCTCCATGTCACTCAGCTGAATTCTCAACGACGAACCACCCCCGGCGAGAAAATCTGTATCCTCACGTGGTGGTGGCATCAATCCTTCGTTAGCAGACGTCTCGCTTCTCTCCCGAGCTACAGTCCTGTCTCCTCATTCCCAAACTCTTCGTCGGAGTATAAACTCCTTCGGAGAGCAGCCACCACTTCCTCGTGGATATTCTTACTAGACGCCCTCTGATCAGGGTGCCAAAAGTTGGGATCCATATTCAGGTGACTATGTTCAGGGAGAGATCTTTCCTCTTGGCCCAGGAGGTAATCATTATTCTCAGCGTGAACGGGATGGACAGCACCAGCCTCCACCTCCAGAACCACGCGCATCTTCCGCGGGCGCTTACTACAAGGAGGGCGAAAACGAACCCACATCACGAAAAAGGAGAAAGGCTGTGGTTCCAGACGACGACTCTGATTACAATCCTCCGATTGTAAAGCGAGAGGTTGACACCTCCACGTCCTTTCAAAGTGTTGATGAGGCCATATGCATTTGAAATTGCGGAGAGGTACTCTCCGGTTTGTAGACGAGGTTCTTCGAGGCCGACCGTATCAAACACCTTGTATCGAGACCCATCTTCGAAGGTTATTTGGTACTCCGTCCAATGCAGAGTACAGCGGTGAGAGTCGGGCGATATGTGTGCAATCGCTTGGCCAGCTAACAGGTTAATGACAGAGCTTTTGCCCGCTCCTGTTTCTCCAAAGATAACGACGTTTCGAGTCGACACTGGCGCCATCTTATGTTCGACTCGCAGTCAGCAATATTCGACCCTTCAAGTTGGATATAGCGCTACTCGTACCTGTACACTGGTTATTCTGCGCTGCGTGGTACAATGGCAATTGCCCCAAAATGATACTGTTTGTAACAGGTATATATGATGCGAAAGGTGTTGTAACCACGCGCCTTCGGTACGTTTTCATAATAGTTTTACATCACCCTTTTGTCTCAAATTTTAAACACTCACAGGGGAGACACCCGGCTTCTGTTAGCCAGCTTCCTTGATCGATCTTTCGGCTACTCGGAGTCGACGGCGACACTCGATATTTGCAATAGAACTACAGCGAATGCCAGGGTCTAGACAGGCATGCATAAGGCATGCCTACCATACGATTCCGAAGGGGGAATCTGACTATTTCGATGCTCGCCACGTTTTGATATCGAAGTCCTCATGTATTCTTACATCGGATACTCCCGCAGTGCAGCCCTCATAGTCATGGTACAGGGTGCAACGCGTTGGTTCTGGCCGAAAGCGCTCGCCACGGAGCCAATTACTTAAACGCCCAGTAGCCGTTATCCATCTCTTTACGATCGCACGCGAAGTAAGCTTGTGCCAATCTCTTTTTGCAAAGCTAATTGGGTCTCTCAGAGAAGATGTCTGATAGCCACGACTCCACAGACACGATAGGGAATAAATATCCACAGCAGGTTCGTAATCTGCTCCATCGGTCAATCCAGTATGCAACTGATGTCTCTTGTAGGGACATCAAGGTCGGCCACGTAACGTGGTACTCTATGGGGAGAGTGGGGTAGGCAAAAGCTCGCTCATAAACCTTATCATGGGTCGTGATGCAGCGAAAACATCTCCTGATGCCCTCGCATGTACTACTACACATGCTCCATATGATGCGACGATCAGCGGGCAACACTTCAGGCTGTGGGATACAGCAGGTATGTATTCTTTCATGCTCAAGGTTTTGGCCCAGAGCGGCTCAATGATCGTGTCTTCAGGGTTAAATGAGGGCTCAGAAGGCACAGTGCCTGCGGTGATGGCTGAAAGGAACTTGACTGCGTTCCTCCGAGGTCTTAACCAGGAAAATGGTGTCCATCTTCTTTTATACTGTGTGCGCGGAACGCGAGCAACAAAGGCTCTGCAGACTCACTACAAGATATTCTCGGCAGTTATCCGTGATAGCAAAGTGCCCACGATTATTGTGGTGACGTGCCTGGAAGAGTCCTGTGATGGCAGAGTGGTGGAACGAGAACAAGGACGAGCTTGCAACGTATGGAATGCAATTCTCTGGATATGCTTGCGTCACCACTTTGAATGATGAACCCACAGAGTCCCCGGATATTCACCAACGTCATGCACAGTCTTACAATGATGTCTGCAGAAGCATCCTAGACCATTGTTCGCAAACTCCTCACAAAACGTGGGGCACTGATACTATCAAAGATCAGCGAAGCTTCCTCGCGATTTTGCTGCAGAAGTTAGCTCGTTTTGTTGGAGGAGCTCACCGTGACCAGGATGCCTTAAAAGCATCTTTATCGTAGCTAATTCTTGTACAAACGATTTTTGTGATCAAACTTCTATCACTTACCCAATTCTCTCGTACTTAGCATCACGAAATGCCTGCATGACTCTCGGATGGTACCCGACTAGCAGGATTCAAGTAATCACCGCTGTTACTGTTGTAGACTCGTGGTCACGGTGAAATTTGGAAGAGCATCATGTAGGTCATATTTATGTAAGGGAGATGATTTCGGGCCATTCTGCCGAATCAATAAACTATTATAAAAGTCTGGAGCGATCCAAAGACGAGCCTAGATCGCGCATTCGAAGCAGGCCTCCATATCGAATTTCAGCCGGCGCTCGACATCGATTCTTGCTGCCTCACCTCAAGCTACAGCATAATCATAATTACGATTCATGCTAATGCTGCTGAAACCAGGATCGACTGAAACCTGTCCTACCGCGTCACTACTGGCCAAATTACGTCCGTCCAACCGTATGTTGCGAATTGTCACAAGCCCAATTACCGTCTTTGATAGATCTAGCGGTTTCTTGCTAGCCTGAGCATGTTGAAGATGGTACTTGGTATCCGCTGTAGTACTAGGCTCTCGCACTGAACCGTCATGACAGCCCCCAGTGAAGGAAATTGAGAGGCACCCTCGGGTTTTATTATCAGTATTCATTGAAAGTATTATCTCTAACTTCACTAATGTCAGTCGCGGAGAGCCTTTTACTATTGCCCTGGCCGTCTGATCTCTTGTGAAGTTTCAGGCCTCGAGTCCCACTCCATTCCCAAACGACATGCCGCATTGGACCGAACTTGTCGCAGAGAAGAAGCAGAGGCAGCTCAAGTCCATTCTACAAGAATGGCTTGTGTCCCCTCCTCTAGACTCTACTCGAAGACCATTGCACCACCAAGAACTGCATTCCAGAAAGCGGGGCCGACTTCCCCGGCGGTGTTGTCAACACGTGTCGTGGATCCACAAGGGAAAAGAGGTGCACGAGGAGAGATGGATCCGAGTGCGTGGGTGATAGGTATGGTGGCGAATATTGATTATGAGACGAGTTAGACACAGGTGCGGGGGAAAGAGAGTTAAATTGAGTGTGCGCATGCCACGCGTCTTCTATCCTTCAGGACCGATGCGGAGCAGGACGACGGAGACCAAAGAAAAATCCGCAGCAGCTCACTCCTGCATACACAAAGTCTTCCGCTCCATCAGTCGAGACTGGTGCTTCTGTTTGGATTGGTGCTTGAGATGGTCGTGCCCCAGTTGGTTGACCTAATTGTGTTGAACTGTCGGCCTGGTTACTATTCGTACGTTGCATAGCTGCGGCCGCTTCCGCATCAGATTCGGGAACAATACCAATTCTCTGCAGTGGTTTAATGGGAGGAAAGAGGAGGAAAGGCGAGCCACCCACATTTTCATCTTGAGCAAGAGGTACATCGACGGTGCACATGGAATGTCCTCCAGAAAACAACTTGAAGTTGATATTCCAGTGTCGGGACTGTCGTTCGAATGGTTGGGATGCATTTAGAGGTCGTGTGCCAAAATGTGTGGAACTGAGCAAACGACGCCAACGGATAAGGGACGACGAGTTTGCGGGAGGAGCTGCACGACGAGACGCGTGGTCTGATTCGTTGCCAAAGAAATCATTGCCCTGTATCTTGATGTCAGGCGAGGAAAGGCCAAGAACGAGAAAGTATAATGCTAGTCCTGTTTTTTTTTGGCCTGCTAATTAGACGCAAGGCAGGGGTCAAAGGTCTGACGAGACATATGAGAAAAGGTAGGATTGCTCACGATTAATGGGCGTACAACTCTCTGTTGGGCTGGACGTCCCTAGTACAAAGTGAGATGTATTGTGAAAGAGAAGCAGAGAAGACTTGCCTTGAGCTTTGCATTGCAATCATCTGCGCCCTAGATGGCCAAAACCGTTAGGAAGAAAAAAATTAGACAACAAAGCGCATACGCACCACAACATTTTTGAGCGCTGCCTCCAGAATCCATACATAGATTTTTTTTTCTATTCCAGCGCTGACTATGTAATTTCCATCGGGAGACATGACAACAGCGAAGAGTTGGTCTTCATGCAAGAGTGGATCTCCGACTCGCTGCCTGATTGGTCTTCAGATCCCAGATTCGGACGGAGCAGTCACTTGATGCGCTATTCCCATGTAGTATGATGCGCGCTTATGTAGTAAAGGAAATCGAAGCATAATACGTGATCGTCCGGAGGAAGGGAAACCTGGTGCAAAGGAGAAGGACGATTCGTTGAAGATAATTCGAGGCTGTTTGAGCGACTTTCTGGAAACCCGAGTGATGCGAGAGACCAAAAGGATGCATGATCAATGATTGTGGTGCACGTTAGGAGATGCCATGGCCCATCAGCTCGACCCAAGCTGGGGTTCGCGTCCACAAGACATCTGTGATGGCCATGCGTTGAATCACCGAAGAGGGATGTTTGAAGTCGTCTCACCGAGCTTGAGCAGGTTCAGGGAGGGACTTTGTCGTGGTTCAGGAACCTCGATGTGCTGTTGAACGGTTTCCCAGACAGTCCAACAGCCAAGATAATCAAGAACCTGACTTTCTGCATCCTTCACTTCGTGCCATTGAAGCAAGTGATTCCCTATGGCTTGACTGAGTCGAGGGACGTCAAACACTTCCCCGAAAACAAATGGAGGTGCGCCTGGGTCGATATGGTTAGAGAGGGACTTTGGGATGATAGGCATACACTCTGTCCTGGTCTGATATTCATTATGGTGCTAATTTATGTTGCCAATGCACGAATTTTGCACCGCGAAGACTCGGAATGAAAGGGACATAGAATGTTTAACCATCGAAAGACGTAATGTGCCAATTTGCGGATCACTGTTAACTCGTCACGATGCCACTCGAAGCATTTTTTGAGGACGAACAAAGTGTTGCACGAGATGATAGGCCTATCATCTCTCTAACATGCGTGTGTGATACATATGCTGCATGCTATGGAAGCCCGGACACTCGCGCTCAATTACTAAGCTAAAATTACTACATATGGCAGTCGGACCTCGAACACCATACGTGTTGTATTTGTTGTAGGATTCATACATCTAATTTCTCTGTACCCGCTCGGCAGCTTCGTCATGGCAAGGGGTAAAACGGTCCCCTTGCCATGACCAATTTTCCCTGCCTTCAGCGAATTCGCAACACGTGACCGTTAACGTTCAGTTCTAATTATATTACTTTGCTATCACTAGTAACACAACGATCTACCAGAGTACGGCTTCATTGTCCTTACGTGCCTGATCGAATTATGGTACTCACCCCTCATACACCACCATCACAGGATTCCCAAATGTTACCGCCAGATACAGTCCCTGTCCCACGTCGTACCTCTCAAGCTGATTATCGCACGGGGGATCTGAAACTGGGCCGCATTGCTGTTCTCACTGATTTGAGAAGGTATCTGCAGGTTCCATTCGATTGCCTCGTGAAATGCGTTGGTGCCATGCCCTCTCAGCAGGATCTGCAGCGGATACGCCACAACTTGACAGAGAGCAAGATTCTCGCCGACGACGAGAGTGGCTTGCAATGGACGGACTTTACCCCACCTGCCACATCAAAAGTGTCCGAAGAGAATGCGTTTAAGCCCCTCGGTCGCATCATCGCTGAAATTTTGGCGGAAGTCCCGAAGAGTGGAGTCTCGTTCCTAGCGAACCCAAACGCATCACCCCTCTCGGAGCGCAACAATACTTCCAGGCCTGATGGATACCTTGTACTTAGCATCAAAAAAAACGAGCCCAAGATCCATTGGTTCGATATTGCTGTTCCATTTGAGTTCAAGAAGGGACGGGATATTGAGTCTCTCCGAGATGTGGGTTGTTACAGATCTTGTCGGCGTTCGCTCACAAAGCCTGCTCTAGGACGAACAGAAAATAATCTGGAGCCTTCACAATATCATGCGCGAGGATCTTCTTCGTCGGTTTGCGTTCGGTATCACAATCGAGGACACACAAGTGAGACTGTGGCTCAGCAATCGTGCGTTCCTTGCGGTTACAGAACCTATCAACATCTTCGAGGTACGCAAACATATCGCGCTGGGTGTCAGGGTGCTGACAGGCATGGTACATCTAGAATATCGATGGTGTTATCTCGCTCTTTTACGCTCTTGGATCTGCGTCTTCTAATTTGAAAAACCTCGGATGGGACCCCACTGTCGAGCGGATCTGTGATGGGGAGGTTTTCCAATACAAGTTCACTATCGAGGACGAAGTGTTCACCACGACACGTGAACTTGCAACTTATGGCGCAGACTCTATGGTTGGGCGTGGAACTCGCGTGTACGAAGCTAAGGACGCCAAGGGAAAGAAAGTTGCCGTCAAAGATTCATGGAGAGAAGCTGTACGTCAATCAGAGGGCGAGATCCTAAAAAATATATTGGCTTCCTGCGAGAAGAAGCTGCAACCGGATGAGTTGGCGAAGGCCAAGAGGCACTTCGTTGAAGTTCGGCTCTGGCAGGATGTCGCAATCGACAATACCCGAGACGAGACCCCGATGATTGCAGAAGGTACCTGGGTGTCCATCGATCTCAATCCTACCCTCTCCACGAAACGACATTTATCTAGCAAAGGCGACGTCCCCGACTCTGGTCAGCTGTCTGCCCTTTTTTCCACACAATTGGGCATTATTGCGCACGAAATCCCACGCAGAGTCCATACTCGCACTGTCTTCCAAGATGTCGGAGTCGCTCTCAAGGATGTCACCTCTTTGGCTGATAATTTGACTTGCTTGTCCGGTGCACTTATGGGTGAGCAACCCGCTGTCACTCTCCTTTCTCAGTCGCTCATTCAACCTTAGCCTTGTATTATTTGCACAAAGCAGGCTGGGTTCATCGCGATTTCAGCGTCGGGAACACAATTTGGGTTGGGGGTGTGGGGAAGTTGGGTGACTTCGAGTACGCGAAAGAGATAGATTCAAACACTTCTAATGATGTTCGAACGGTAAGATTTTTTGAAGATGATCTCTTTCGCTGTTAACTCGTCGACAGGGAACGATGCATTTTATGGCGCTGGAAGTCGAAAACCAGAAATACCTTTTCTACTCAAATTCTGACTCCGTCCTATCCGATACATACCTCCCGCTCGATCCTCCATTTCGCATGAATTTCCTGCACGACATCGAATCCGTATGGTGGGCTTTTACCTGGATCTTCTTTTATCATACGGACACAGAAACGGCGAACTCCGGCCATTCCTTTGATACTCAGTTGAAAGGATACCATTCGGCCTTCCCTGGTACGGTCGGCAAGACATCACGCTATCGCTTCTTCCGCGACATGAGAGAACTCCGTAGGAGCTGCGAAAATGTCGTTTCAAAGCCGTGCTTTGATGTTTGCCGTCTTATCCCTCATTTCGCAAAAGCTCTCCAAGATGGCTATCGAAAGGCGGAGGCAAATTATCCCTCACTAGCGCTTGACGACACTCTTCTGGAAGATATGCACGGAAGAGCTGCAGGATTTCTCCGCGATGCGAAAGAACGTGCTGGAGTTATAGAACTTTGTCCACTCCCCAACTTCCGGAAGCAGAAGAGACCCAGCCCGGGAGATGAGACATCGCCTCCGTCAAAAAATCAAGGGAAGAAGCCGCGACATGATTGATTTTTTATTGTTTGTATGAGAAAGAACTATGTAGCTTGGCGTCTCGTATACGTAGCTGTGACTTTGTGGTTACAAATTATAGGAATGTTCATAGTACTCATTGTGGTAATTTTACTTCTATGGAACAACCATATTCATAGGCCTCTGTCTGCAAACGTGTCGTGGGGTCGTTTACCATCATGAGGCCCATTGAGACCGCGAATGCATACTCGATAATCCCAACGGCTAGAAGTTGTTGAATGAATTCGTGAATAAGTGATCTCTGCCTTCATAATGAGATGTTAACGTGAAGGTCGCGGAACAACGATCAAACCTACAATGTGTTGTTGTCCTGACTAGAATCGTGTCCCTTGCCTTGTCAGGCTACAGCATCACATTGCGCCAGATGATATAACTGAACGCGGCAGACGTCGACGTTGCAATGAGTGACGAAGGGAGTGAATGCGACCTGGAACAAGGTCAATTAGTAGTACATCCCGGCGTCGGTTTTGCAGGCTTAAGTTTCAAAGGCAGTATGCTAAGGCCAAGGCCCAGCGAATCGAATTTGCAGACGAAAGATGCAAGAGCACGACGTTCCTCCTCGAGTTTTATCCTTAGCTGTAGTCGGTTATTAGCACCATAAATAAAGCAAACCAACATCCATAAGCCGACCTTCTTTTCCTTGTCCAGCTGCCTGACAAGTTCAGCCGCCCAAGCCACCTTCTCTTCTCGCTTCTTCACTTCTTCCTCAAGTTTGCCCATCCATTCCTTCTCGACATCCTCTCTGACGGCTCTCAAAGGCTCCCCTAGATTATCCTCATACCCACCACTACAATTTCAAGTTTACGGATTGTTTTCGCTTGTTTAGTAATGAGCTTGTCTTTCTCGGTTTCTGAAGCGTCTGGTGGAAGTTGTGGGCGAGACAGGAGAGCAGTTTCCAGGGAAAGTATTAGAGTCGACTGTGACTCGAGTTGAAGGCGAGTCGCAAGAAGCTCTTGTTGAAGCTGTCATGACTCGACAATGTTCAACTAGATAAAACGACCCCACAGTACCGAGCTTACGAACCTGGTACGGTGACATATCGGAATCAACTTTAGATGGGCTGGCGGGACGTGATTCATCTCCTTTGTTTTCATCTACCGTTTGAGACGTTAGAATGAGTTTCGTGAGTTGCTGGATTCGTGAGTTGAGGTCCTTCATCGCTTTTGATTCATCAATTTGCTGTACCAAGGGTCAGTCGGTTGAGAAATGCGCAGCAGGAGTCAGACATTACCTCGCGCGCTGAGAGCCTGCGAGTTCAAGAAGGCGCTTCTGCTTCTCGTTCTGAAAGTTTGTTCTTGAGGTCCTCGATCTCTTTCCTATATCGTTCTATCAAGGCATCGGTGTCGACAATCTCTTTCTTCTTCGCATTAAGCTAGGAAAGCGAAGGATCAGCCCACTAGGAGCAATAAACAGGAAGAACGTGACGAACCTGCACTCGTTTAATCCTCTGATGGATAGAAGGTGTGAGGTGTGTAAGAACATCTATTGCTATGAGGATATCAGAATGCCTGCATTGAAGGGTAAGTGAAGGCCTTACAACCGGAATCCTTGAGATTTTGAACGATGTCGGTGACGAAATTGATAATGGACGTGACAGCTCTGTCCGCGTGTTCTGGGTGTGCGCCGCATATACGTAGAAGGGCAGAAACGGTAGAGAAGACCAGCTGGTCAGGGAGAGCCCACTCTGTTGGACGGTCAGAGGCACTAACTACAGTGCTTGAAAGATGACATACCATAGATATTCCATTATCGGGAAAACTGCGGATGATGAGTCCGTATCTCGGACGTGGCTCCTGGCGAACGTACAGTCGTCGCTCCAAGCATAATGCATTTCAGACCTGTATTAATCAAAGGGGTTGTTGTGGGTGAAAGGCAGAAGCTAGCATTATTAGATAAGACGGTGGATACAAGAACCATGTAGCGCAGCACTAGCTAGTTCTGCTCGAAACAATCAGTTTGTGATAACGGGATGTAAAGCTTCGCAACGTACCTCTGGTATCCTAAATATTATTATTTCCTGGTCATCAAGGTCAGGTAAATTCAGACCAATGAAACCGATACATCATACCTGTTGCTTGAAGTACCGCCGATTCTCCTCATCAATGAGCACGAGATTCAGGTAGTAACGTGTGCTGAACTTCTTGTTCACTTCACGGAACGTTGGTGTAAGATCAACGCCACCGAGGAACAGTCAAATAGGAATGGTTTCCCCTTGCCGACCTCCATCTTGATGGAATTGTTACTGTCTGGAGGCATGCGGTATGAGTGCACCCAGATATCTCTCTCCTTCGCAACATCCGCCGGTCGCCTTACAACAGATACTCGTATAAAGTAACTTTAGAAAAAAGTCAATTGACATCTGCATGGCAGGAGAGATACCGCACCTTAGCTTGACATTGATGCCCTGGTAACTCTCGAATTGCTTCTCAACATTCTTGAAGACGAAGTCAAAAGTCTGCGCTTGACGCAGGTCACTCGCCCGTGCCTAGAGAATAGGGACTGACTTCTACCTCCTTCCGCACGTCCATCTTGGTCCCTGGTATGTCGAGTTGGTTGCGACGAATCAGAGCATGGTAATCTTCGCCTAGAGTATAAAAGTTGAATTGGTGGGCGAGAGAGATGAGCCGGGGAACCACGTTGGGTGATCTGGAACAGGTTGACAGTTCTGCATGGGCAAGGGAGCTAAAAACGCGTCAGCGTCAAAAAGAAAGTGTAGACAGAAACCGCATACTTTGCAATAGGCGTTCGCCCACAGGAGACCTCGCACTCAAATGCTGCACGTGTTTGACTTCACCCCAATCTCGGTGTCGTTTGAGCTGCCAAGTAGCGACCATGGTATCTCGCCCATGCAGTTCGCTGGCAGATTCCAACATCATTTGAGTTAGGCCAGAAGTCTTGGTCGATGAGACGCCCACACGGTTGTGTGGCGATGTGCTGAGACGACCAGCGGCGCTAGTGCCGGGAAGCGACATGCTCGTTGGCAGGTTGGCTAGCGTATATGAAAATTCCCCCGTATCGCGAGGACGCTGCTCAAGCATGATACGCCGTAAAGATAGCACCCCATCAGAGGGATCAAAGAGAAGAAGATCTTGGAAGTTGGTAGTCTTCCTCGCCCGAAGCGGAGAGGGCAGATCAGAACGACTCGAGGACGTGCTAGGAGATGATGTGATGGCAAAAGGGGGAGGCTGGAGGCTGGCAGGCAACGGTGTGTCGCTAGGAAGGAACGTAAAGGTAATTCCCGGCCTGACGCCGCTAGGAGCGGACGCCTTGACGGATCTGAGTCGCACAAGCGACGACAATTCAACAGATAACGGGACATGCTGAAACTAACACCAGTCCTGGAGGTACTTGCAAAGGACATCACTGAGCATCTGAACGCCTTTGCTCTTCTGCTTGAACCCGAGGAAGGTAACGGTGGGGACAACACCATCGAATATAGAAGGAGTTTGAAGAGCACTCGCGCCATCTTCCAAAGTTTCTGCTTGTAAGATGATCTTGATGTCGGTACCAACGCTTTCTTCGCTGGATACTTCCACTTTTCCGCCCACGCTTGGAGACTGGACGATGCTGTTGACAATTGCAAGACCTAAGCCTGTCCCAGCTTGTAGAGGGTTCTCCTGGGAAAAGGGATGAAACAAGTGATTCTAAATTCTTTGTCAGTAAATGATGACCATTGGTCTGGCAAAACCGCTACCTTCAGAAAATTTTGGCTTATTCCCTGTAACAAGTGTCAGCGTTAACAAACCGCTGCATGCATGCAGCTTAATACCTTTCCCGTATCACTGACACACAACTCCACCATGCAAGGCTCTTCATTTGGCGCAGATACTTGGCGTAAAGATACGTGAACGTAACCATCCTGTATAGTCGTTAGGAACCACACAGAAGAGGCGTTTAATCATACTTACAGTCGTGAACTTCAGGCTGTTTCCAAAAAGATTTATCAACACCCTTCTAATACCACCTTTGTCGCACTTCAAAATCCATCCCTGCACGAAAGTCAGCGGTAATCAGGAAGGAACAGCCTGGAGGACTTACGCCTTCACGTCGGTCGATGTCGACAATGATCTCCACGTGTTTTGAAGAGGCTGGAGCAGCCATAACACTCGAAGACCGCTGTTCCATCGCTGGAGCATACACACTCCCGATTTCCGACTCGCGAATGGCAGATGTACGGGCACAGTATCCAATCCACGATCCGTCGATTGCCTCTTCAACAAGTTGTTCGAGATCCACGCTATGTGTCAACCTTAAGCGACGACATGCATTAAATCGATCTCAACTCACATGCTCCTCGTAATGACATTGTCTACGCCACCTGCTTTCATGTTGTCACTCAATTTCGTGAAGTCGAGAACGTGGTTCACCGTTTCAACAAGTGATGTCCCGCACGCCTGGACAGTGTGCAGGAACGAAGTCTGGCTATGGCTTAACGATGTGTCGGAGAGTAATTCAGCCGCAGCAAGAATCTATGCACAGCCATCAGAAGGAAGATATGCCAGCAAAGAACGTCAAGCCTTACCCCATGCAAAGGGGTATGAAGCTCATGAGATATACTTTTGAGAGGAATTAGTAATGTTACCCATGAAAGCGAAGCATGCACCAAACTTGGATATAAACAAACTCTTGGCTTGGTCGGCCAACATCATCCTCCTCTTGAGGACAGCGGAGAGAATGATGACACCTATGCTTTCTCAGTGATGATTGAGATGAAACTCGGGGGAACCTACTATAGCACGAAGATAAGACAGTTCGTGTCCCTCGAGCTGAGGATGAAGTCAGGATGAAGGCGTCTCACTGAACTAGCTGAATCCTTACAAATCGCCGTGATGAATCAGTAGCATTGTAAGCACAAATCAAGGCAAAACGGCCTTTTGTCGATATTGAAAACAGGGACAGCTAGTGAAGATCATTAGTGGACTAGAAGGATAAAAATATAAAATGCGTTGGGATAAAGGGACGGAAGCAGACTGGTAAAATGCCTTCAGATATTTTTCCGTCAGGGTATTGATCAAAGAATGCGTTTAGCTTGTGGTATTCATCCGCCGTCAGTGTGCGAGATGTTGGTCGGGGTTGTGGATCCTCACGATGCATGACAACAGATATCGTTGCTTCGGCACTGAGCGTCTCCAGTACTTCGCAGTGTGAAACATCCATGACTACCACCTCCTCGACATCTTAAGTGCGCTTCACAAGTCTGGCTGCACGATCATACACTATGTCCATGGATGCATTAGCGTAAGGGTCATCATCCATGTTTGCATCTTTCTGGTCGATCTCAAGGCACTCTCGACTAAATTGTTCCATCTGAGACGCGATGAGTTAACGTGGGGCGAATAGTATTGAGGCAGAAAGTGCTTGCGGAGGTCTGGATCTTGTCTCGTATGTCATAGGTATCTTAAGGTACCGGTTTTCAACAAGCCAGGGGTACGGATCATCCTGAGCAGCCCTGTCCCCAAATCCTGCAGCAAAATCACTTCTAATATGTGGTGACAAGCATGACCAGATAACGACGAGCAGAGGAGAGTAGCGAACGAACGAGTGACAGGGTGATGGACAACGGGACAAAAGAGACATGCTGGCAGTGCAAGCTGAGTGTATCAGTATGAGTATTGAGAAAAAGTAAAAGTGAATAAAGTAATGGACGTAAAGCACAACGAAACGGCAGGTTCGAAAAAAAACCATGAGACCACGACCAAATTAATTTGCAGCGACCACGGAATAATAGCAGCGAGCAAAGGCAGTAGTAAATTATGGTACATGCGAATTCCAGACGGATGGACAATGAGAATGGAAGATATAGACAGCGGTCCAGGAAAGTCGACGGCCGCCTCAGCTATATGCACTAAACCGCTCCCCACCATGCCCCACGCTATTCGAAGGAGGTACAGCAAATGTGTATTCAGCCGGAGGCAACATATACGAGTTCATACCGCCACCGATTCCAATATTAGCAGACGGAGCAGAGCTCAACGCAAAACTGCTCTCTGCTGGGTGCTGCAATCCAGGTTGGGCGTATGAGGTCTCCGTGGGAGGAAACGTGCCATCCCGCGGAAATGGTGGATAGTTTCCTGTGTGGGAGTATTGGTTGGATTCTGGGGCGAAATGATATACGTTGGACGGGGCCGTCGTGTCTACGGGCGTGGGATATGAGGAGTTGTGTTCGATGTTGTTCTGAATATGATTGTGCGGCACTCCTTCTTGGATGGTGGGTATACTGAGCCTGTGGCTTGCTGTGGTGGGCTCCATGGGACCTAGATAGGCGTTGGCGGTAGTTTCAGGTGGGAGCTGCGTAGCCGCACGTTAGCATCTCGTCAGAAACGTTCGAGGTAAAATGACTAATTACAGGATTGTAACAAAACAAAACCTCGCTCGTTCGCAGACCCGAAGGGCCAGGGTCCTGGCTGTATCCAGAGTGTGGACTTCCGCCGGGTGAAACAGTGGAAGTAGGGGAAGAGTGCCCTGGTTCCTGTGATAACAGGTGTTCCCTGTGTTGGTAGGAAAATGAAGACGCGGCGTTTAAGTGAGCCTCATTGAGCGATCCCTGGCTGGACCGCATGTTCAAACCGGACATACGCGTTTCGAGGTTGGATGCACTGTAACGTAAAAAACATCAGCGAACGAACGTGTCAATCATAAAAGCGCAGCGTACCAAGACCCTCTCGTGCCATTAGAATCGAAATGATCGACGGCAACACAACTGCTGACGTCCGAATAAATTGCACTGGTCGCGCTGGTGTCGCTCCCACAGATGCTAGCAATCGAGCTGGATCTAGATAATCCAGTAGAACTGTACGAATCCTCCGCGTCCTGATCTGCCTCGTTGCGAGGAAAAGCCCATGCGTGCAGGTTCCCGAGAGATTCTGCATCCGGTGAGACATGTGGAGGGGACCCAGAAGTTGGAGCGCCAAACTGAAAATCAGGCTTTGGCAGGGGGCCAGGAATAGGCGACGGGAGCGCTCTGGAGCTCATTGTAAAGCGGTTGTCCGAGAGCCGGCGCGGCACGTGCGGGGACGGAAACGGTGGACGAATCTCCGGTACAAGGGAGGAGCGAGTAGGCGAGAAGACATGGGGCTCTGACGCTCTATGAGCCGAAGAAGGGCGGGTGTAAGGGCTGTAGGAAGTAGAAGAGCTGTAACTTGTTACACGTATGCTTGGCGCACCGAGGCCGGACGGTGGACGGGCCATGGACTGACACCCTGCAGGAGATATGGGCGGCCTGAGAAAGATCGCGTCATTCTTCTCCTTTGCAACGCGTGCGAACGGATGATGCATGAGCCTAAGGAGACTGATGTCCATAGACTTGCGTCTATCTGGGAAGTGGGAAGGTGGCTGGTTGGCGTCTGTACTTGGCGTGGACGCGGTTATTGGCAGCGACCCTCTACGTGTGTTCAGAAGGTCATTATTGTCCTGCCAAGTCAAGTCCACTGGCAAATGGCGAACATATGGGGGAATTTCGGCAGGAGTGGCTGGGTTACTGTGCCAAGCTTCTGTAGGGGGCGCAGGAAGAGAAAAGGAAAACTTTGTAAGATGACTTTCAGCTGTTGGTGATCGCTCCACTGGGTGTGGCTCTGGTGAGGGTGGTTGATCGTCTTCTGCAGGGGCGTGTATTTTTCCGTGGGGGTGGAAGAATTGGAAGAGTCATTGGGGGAGGTGTCCCTGGAAGACTGAGACTTTTGAGGAGAGTGAGCCGAAGGAGAATCCTGCTGAGTCGAGTCCTGAACTCTTTTACGAAGAGCTTTGTCCTTTGCACGCCTAAGAATGAATAAATGAATGAATAAATAAATGGGTTGAATTAGAAAAGCGAGTGAGAAGAGAGCGCAACATACCCGTTTTGAAACCACACCTTTCGGTGGCACGCGAGATTGAGCAGTGAGGACGCGACGAATTGACGTTTAGAACACACCTGGACCGCACGTGGAAGCATATCAAGTTCTGCTGCTAACTGGTTACGCAGGGCAGCATTTGGTTTTTTATCTTTACGAAATATGTCTTCCAGGACCTTGAGCTGTATACGAGATGTACGCTTTCTATGCTTGACCTCGTTTGGAATATAAGGAAAGAAAGTTCTGAAGTTGGGTCTACGCCTGGAGCGAACAATGAATGGATACAGGTAGTTCCAGTGGTATACCTTGAACTTTGGTCCATTTGGTTTGGGAGGAAGTAACTGCGAGAAGGAGTAGGAAAGAGATCGACGCGATATAACGCGGAAAGAGGATTGGTGTGGGAGGGAGAAAAACGAGAGTGAGGTGTGGAAAGTCTAGCCATTCGAGGCAGAGGGGGAAGTTTGGGAGCATGAGGTCGTGGTGGACGTAGAGGTTGTCTTGGGATCCGTCTGCTGTGTTTGCGATGGCTAGGAGGTTGTCTGTTGGGAGGATCTCGAGTTCTGAGCACTCGTCATCTTCGGGGTCCTGCACGGTGTTAGATGCAAGTAAAAGAGAGACAAGGCAACCGTACGTCTTTGAGTGTGATATATGGATCGTCCTAGTTATTTCTATAAAATGCAAGTCCTCTAATATTGCTGAATGGACCCATGTCTGTGAAACATCAGCATCACTGAAGAGGCCGTGTCGACAGACGTGCCATCTTCTTTGACATCGGGTTGCTCATCGTCTGTGATGATGAGCATAATTTCTTGTGATCATGGCCACGTGACTAATACTTCCGACTCACGATTTGTCTTAAACTAATTTGCCGCCTTAGCTGTGCTTCATAATATCAGGACCTGCAGTTCCGGGTAATCAAGGTATGACGTACCTCCCAGTGCATCCATTATTAATTGGTGCACTCGCCACCGTGATGCAGCCATGTTTGAAGATCTCACTATACCAAATAGTCTACTTCACCGCAAGGTCCGGAATATAGTTGATCTTTTCAACACTGCCCCAGTCAAATGCGTCCACACGCTCATTTTTCTTATAAACGCCCCGCCCTCCGTCATTCGATCACCTTCACGTCCCCCTTCACACCAACTCAATGCTTAATGACAATCCCGCAATGGACGATCACAGACTTGACTTATCGGGAGTCGTGGTGGAGGAATCGTGGTACGAGCTTCATTAAATGCATACAAATTGATAATGTACCTGACTGCCCAGCCATACTGATACTGAACATCTGTTTGATATTACCGCTCTTATCATCGACGCTTAATGGCTTTGATTTATCCATGATAAATAGTCAGTCATGAACATTTGTTATTATGATTGCGGACGGTTGATTCGTGTTGCCTTGGATCTGCAGATCTTGCCCGGATGGCAAGAGTACTTTCATAAACCGCAGGGTATGAAGTTAGGTGCACAGTTGCTGGCTCTGCTATAACAACTCTATTCACAGTCGTTAGGACTCATCAACTCCGCACATAGCATTGGCATCCTCGGCGTAAGTTGTAGCATTGTGTTTGCATTCCTACCGAGCTGATATTAGCTCTTAGGGAACTCCATTTTCTCCTTACGTGTTTGACCTATTAGGACGTCGAGCAGCTATGTTCATCGGGGCAGTCGTCATGCTGGTTGGCGTTCTCGCGCAAGCCTCATGCACGACCATTCAAGTCTTGCTTGGTACTCGTGTGTTTAGATACACATTCAAAACGTCCATTCATATACCTATCCTCCATTTCTCAGTCGGCTTAGGGATGGCTTTTCCATGAATGCTACTCCCTTACTCATCAGCGAACTTAGGTATCCAATGCATGCCAGTGTGTCAGATCACCCCATATCTCATCCATCGGTTTTAATCTTATTTAAGCGCGGAAATTTGACTTCTCTGTACAATTCGTTATGGTATTCTGGCAGTGCGCGGGTGTGAAGATTTAGGATAGACCACATAAAATTGAGATCACTAAATAAGTACAAGTGACTACAGTAACTGCTGATAAAAGAGACGAGATACTCATATGTTGGGGGCTTTGTATCATTTTCTTCGTCAAATGAATGTCAGATCTAACACTCTGTGTGTTTTCTCGTCATTCGTCTTCTCCACTTTGTTGAGCACCACTCACTCATGGCAGAGTCAAAGAAGGGAGCGGAATTTTTGATGTTCTTGATGACGACCTTAGTGACACGAGGAAGTGATTAGACATTAAAAAGCAATAGCAGCAATGAGAGTACCTCTCATTCATGTGTTCTCGAAGTTCCTCAAGGGCCTTGATGACCTGATTGACGTCTTTGGCAGTGGATATTTGAGTGAGGAACGTTACTCTCTGACTTGAAGAATGTTCAGAATATTTCGAAGAAGTCTCGTTCAAAGGGTAGCTTAGACTCCTATCGTCATGAGTAGGTGCGACATGGCCTGTTGTCGTTTGCATTGACATCGTTAATGCATTTGCATTATTGATCGTCATAATGGTAAGTTGTACCTAGTTCAAACCTACTTAGTTGAGAGTTGTTATCTCGACAACACTGTGGGAATTTGCCGGCTCGGACTCATGTTAATATTAATATTAAGGGCGCCATAACATCTGGACGAACGCAAGAGATTCATTCAATGACTCTGTCATCCCCAGCTGCGAAAAAAATAGTATACACATGGGCGATCCATTAAAGCATTACGTTTCTTCCCTTCTCTTCTTTCTCAGCATCCCACTCAATAGGCTCCACCCATACATTCATCTTCGGCACCCACTCCCATGTCTCGAAAGTGCATTTCACGCTCTAACCAGGACCACACAAGTCAACAAAAAGTTGGAGAAGACAAAAAAGTGGACTCGCCCTCTCTACAGACACTCCACAATCTTATCCATTACCATTTCCAACAGCTCCCCACACATCTCGAATCCACATGCATGTGTTGCCGATACGAGCTTGGAAGCTGGTACTATGGGATGGTGTCAGGTCAAGACGAGAGAAAGCAAAAAGGGTGGAGCGCCAAACACACCTGTATTTCAGAAACGCGCTTCGGATTAAATTATAATATCCTTTCTTGAAGCTCTCCAGTGGTCAGTGAAGTGTGCGAATGAGGTAACCTGAGTTCTCCTGCATTCAACGAAATCCGTTAGCCAGTCCCAGTTCAGAGAATGAATGCGAAAATGCTAAGCCGTCATTGATTTGTAAATGAGGTGCTCCAACAAAAGATCAGACCCAAACAAAAAATGCACACCTTGAAATTGAGCAAATCCAGTCGGATTGGCACCGCAGCACACGTCTTGACATAAGAAACACCTATTCCTGGTAAGCGCAGGCCCATGCAATCGAGTTGGGAGTGCATCAAAAGGCAGTCGCTCTGATCCCATAAAATCAGTCAGCATCATAACGTAGACGTCAGAAACGCACCTGGGCATACCGATACACCTCCCTCCTTTTATCCTCCTCACCTCCACCAGTGCAGGAGAGTTTTGAACTCAGGTTCCGGAACCATCAAGAATTTTTCGAGAATGCCCTGTAATAATGTCGCACAGTTAGAAATACGAATCGATGACGAAACAATCAGTGGTCCGAAGCGACAAGAATGATAGGACGGCCGCTACGACCCAAGGAAAACAGGACCTACCCTGAAACATGCTGTGCAGTTGTTGGGCGGAAGTTCTTCCCCGTCGACAACTTTACCAGGATGCTAGATGTACCAATCGCGCTTTGGGTCATTTTTGCTTGATTTTGAAGCAGTGAACCAGGCGTGCTGGCGATATGTATGTATGTGATCAGTCACGGAAGTCGTAAGTAATTGGTAGAAACAGGAACCATAAGGTAAGCTAGAAGATTAAGGGACTTGCCTCGTCAGATGTATGATTCACCACCAGATCCATCCTGCCAAAAAGACCCGAGTTAACACTGGAAAACAGTATGAGGTTCGAATAATACATACATGAGATTCCTTTCACGTGCGTGCGCGCCATCGAGAAGGCGGCCCCAGTCTTCAAGCGTGCCGTAGCGTGAATCGATATCCTCATAATCCGAGCTGTGGTGGTTAGAGCATCAGGTACCAGAACCGAAAAGTAACGATTAGCGCTTGCATGTCATAGCCCATATCAGCCAATGGGCTACGATAGATCGGGCTAAGCCATATAACGTCTACACCAAGATCCTTGAGATAGTCGAATTTGGCAATGATGCCTGCGAGATCGCCAGTCCCGTCACCATTCACGTCAAGGAATGATGATGGATAGACTTGATAGACTGTATCATAGTATAGGAACTCTGACTTTGGTATATCACTTGGAGAAGAACGACAGAAAGTGGCGCAGATGGCTAGAGGAGACAGGATTCCTGAGTGAAAGGCGGTGCCCTGAGAGATTTTGTATTGTGTATACAGGCCACACACATTTTGTGCAACTTACTAGTATACTTGTACGATGCGCTCAACGTGCATTTTGGAGTGAAGAGATGGATGTAGTGGTGTATACCCAATAGCGGCAGCAAGCTGACAGTGCACGAGGATATCTGAGAAATGTAAATGTAAATACAAGGAAAGTGGCGAGTGTTGCATGGGCTACATACCCGCGAAGCGACGGATAGGACTGGTAAAATGTGTATAGATTGGGCTTGCAAGACCTTAGGCCTTAGTGCCCGAAGGTATCTCGGAAAACACTGCCGGAGTTAAAAGTGGTCGATAACCTCGTCAGTCGGTGCTTTCCATTCTCTTTCGTTGAACACTTCGACCACCACGACATCACCCTGAACCGCTCGGTTCATGTTTTCCCTGCCAACTAGAAGGACAGTGAACGCAGGGAAAGAAACGTTACCCTGGAAGAAATCGGCACTGGCATGAGCGGAGGCATTCGTCACAAACCACGAGGTAGTTATGTTGAAGTGACCTTGATGGAGTTGACCAGCTTTGACTCCCGCCACGAGGGTAGACATAGGAAGATACTGTAAAGCGCGATATAAGTGTCAAGAAATTGCAAAGCCATATTCACCGCACATCAGCATAGAGCGCAGTACGCCCTGCAACAGCTCTGGTAGGTTCCACTTCGTCTGAGCCAGTCGCCGAAAGTAGATCGAGAAGTTGATCCGAGTTTTTCATCCCGTCCACATAATTGCGCACTTCAAGATTTCTTTGAGAAAGCGAGGCAAAGTATATTAGATGATACATACCTGAAACGCATGGAATTTTCTCCTTGTCTGCTTTTTGGCGATTTGCAAAGTCGTCTGTGACCAACACAACCTTTGGTAGCGCTACATTTGGTTGACCTCGGATCAGAGGGTGTGCTAGTGTTAGATGCGTGTTGTACCACTCTGCGGCTTTCCTGACACCTATGTACTTTTTATTAGTACACCCAAATATACAAATCTGAGCATCACCGACCTCGATCATTCCAGTCGTTCGGCGTCTCGTCGTCTTCTCGCACACGATAGCAGTCTCTCTATGACGCATATATCAGTAATGAGGGAAATTTGGGACACTTCATGAGAACGCCAAGATTTGAAGGATAGTATGGAATACGACTTCAAGATCAAAGACTGGGCTCGGTACAGAACAGGAGGCGAAGCAACATATTGTTAACCACAACAAGGCAAAACTCGATAATTCATGAAGATGACTCACGACCTGAACTCATTGTAAAATACCCATACTTTCCGCTCGTCAGTTGTCGTGAGGGCCTTGAGGCGACTATACAAGGGTAATGACCGATGACGGACTTCTTTCATAACGGTTTGTAGGATGATGATGGGGGGCGTGAAGTAATTGGATTTGATCAAGTCCATCTGTAAAGTATCAGCACCGTGCGCGACCTCGTACTCATATGCATACCTGTGCAAGAAGTACATTAGTATCGGGCAGGATATAGTGCCCTGTGGGAAAATCTTTGTGGGTGGTGTCCCCGGAACGCGAAAGGACGGTCTGCGCTGTTGCGTTGCATGCCCTACAGCCGCTGTCACGGTCTTTTCCAAGCAATAGTCCACAAGTTTCGCGATCTCGTGCCGTATTCAGCGATGCGGTAGACAGGAACCGCGGAAGGCATTCTCGTGGCAAGCTCACAGTCTCCAGGTCTGGTACTTGGACGGGATCACTGGCTTTACGAGTAATCCGTGCAGACTCTTGCGAAGCAGTCCGGTACCGGTCATCATCGATATGACGTACGGAAGCGGGTGGGGATGGAGACACGGCCTGAGGATCCCGTGAAAGGGAAGAATGCGCAGCTGCAGAATCAAAGCATACATCAGAAGTCGACCGCGTCGTATTCTGAGAGTATGGGTATAACGCTGGCCGACTCAGCAAGACAGCCACAGATGGATCAGGAAGTTGATTAATAGACAATTGAGAGAATTCCGGTACGAAAAGTAGGGAAGATCGTACAAGATTGGTGGGCTTGAGAGTGGGGTAATTAAACATTGATTGCAGAGAAGGTGCGTAACCTTCCTTGAGCTGGTGTTGCGACATGAGTTCCGGGTATTGAATATGTCCATCCGGTGGAACAGGCGATGTTGTGGTTACTGGTGCAGGATAAGCATACTTTATACTAGTCTACAGCGAGCTGTAAGGTGAGCGGTTATGAGACATAAGACTTAAGCTCGAAAGTTTGTTGGAGAGGTGTGATGTCTCGGTAGGGCTTGAAACTGTGAAAACAAATCTTCGAATAGCGTCTTCTGCTTCCGATGGACAGACGTAGTGTTGACGCAGATCTGCAGAACAAGATGGGCATTTCCAGACGAGGTAGTAATGTTCCATGGCTTACCTCGTATTTGAGCTTCTGAAGCATCATCCAACTTGGACAACATGATTGTGAAGGCCTCGATGACTTCTTCGTAACGTTGCGCGCCACGCAGCGCTGAGTGTGACAACTGGTACCCAACATGAGATGAAGGATTAAGTTCTGTGACCTATGCATCGCCAAAGTCAACATGGGTTACGAAAACGTGGATGCCATCGCACCTTTCGCGCGTCGAGGAGCGCATCCTCCCATAGCATTTTACTCAACTTTGCCTCGCTGCGACTTGCAAAGAAGATATCGGATGCAGAATCCAGGTCGATCGCCATCGAGTATAGGTCAATAGCCTTGTCGTAATCGCTTGCAGCAAAGGCAGCCTGTCCATCGGCAGCGCAGAGTGGGTTGCATTCCTGTTTGAAATCTGAGAAGAATACAGGTGAGCATTGTCGCCTGCGCGACATTACGGGTTCTAGACTCGCCGTTGGACCAATTAAGGCAGTCGGCATTGGTAATTTCGTCACTTGAAGTCATCATGTGTTGATATGATTTCACGGCATCTTGGAGTTTGCCGCCCGAAGGAGTGCATCACAGCGTTTACGGTGTGTCTTTCGCCACAACGACTTCAGGTCCCAGCCAAAGAGCTGGACAAGATATTCAGTTATGAAAAGGTTATACATGCATCGTCTTGACGTACCACCACCAAATCCTCATATATTTCATGAATGTTCGATTTCGATGATGAATCGCGGCCCGCCGGAGTCGAGAGTGGCAGTGAAATGGGCGGCAGCTTCGTCGTAGCGTGCGCCATCCAAGGCTTTGATTCCGAGTTGAACGTGTAGATATGCCTAATGTGCGAGTTGTAAATATGAGTAGTATGGATGATACTGATATTACATGCGAGAGTATCGGTATTCGGATAATCGGCAGCGAGACTCTGCTGCGAGAGCAGGTTTGCCTCGTCATGTTGATCTGCATTGAAGAACGCGATGACCTGAAATACGCGATGAGGGCAAAAGTATGCGAAGCAAATGTTACATACCTTGATCAATAGCAGAAAATGAGTGATTTTTGAATCCTAGTTCGTGTACATGGATGCAACATCAGATGCTGCCCTCGCATCCAGGAGAGGGGAAGGGCAAAGGAATGAGTGTGGAGGATGCTTGGGGGTGTCTTCTCCCAGGCATTCAAACTGTACCAGCGGAGTCAAAACAACCGGTGCCTCGGGAGCATGATATGAAGACAAGGTAGGAGTTGAACTCAGTGAAGAAGGTGACCGCAAGGGGCTGGGAATATGGGATAGACTCCCTGGCTGTTCAGATAGTAGTCCCACAGGACTATGATCTAGCCAAACGCTGGTGCTAGGTTTATGTTGCATTGAGGGTATTGACCGCTCTAGTAGTGACACTGGCAGTTGGAAGCCTGAGGTGCGAGGCTTATATAAGCTAACAAGCCTGTAGTAAGCAGCCAAGTTCCAACGTTTCTCGATATGATGTTGACCTGCTCCTCGATTTCAGTACGATTCGCGCGCAAAACGCTGCAGTCTGAGCTCAAGAATGATGCAAAAACACTAGGAAAGGACTTGGCATCTGACGAAGCACAAGAAGGTGAGTTGAAATCATCTACGGTGCTAAATTAGTGTATCTACCAGGTCTTTTGATCAGAGCCGTCAATGCACATCGACAGCGAATACTCACGGTTTTAAGACTCAAAATTATCGTGACATCATCAAGAGACTCAAGTTCCAAGTTGTTGCAGTTTGCCAAAGTATGTTGCGCAAAATCATCGTCGCCTATTCCTATTGAAACTTTGCAAAGGAAATGCGGCTCGTCTTTCCCAACTCACATTGGATCAACCGAGGAAACTATGTTATAAAAGAACATGCGGATGCTTGTCATGCTAATGACGTTACTGATCTCATTATTCTCTATGAACACCCGGTACGCCAAACTACAGTCATGTCAATCTGTATGCTAATTTGAGTATTATGCAGATGCTATGATTGTCTTGCAGTTCCCCCATGGACCTACCATTTACTTTACCCTTCACAATGTCGCCCTACGGCACAACATAGGCTCATACAAGTCCTCCACCGTCTCAGAACAGTACCCACACCTCATCTTCGAAGAGTTCATGTCTAAACTCGGTGGCCGGGTGCGAGACGTGCTAAAATTCCTGTTTCCTGTGCCCAAAGAAGACAGCAAGTGTGCGATGACGTTCTCTAATTACGGAGATTTCATTTCCTGCCGGTGAGTGTATTGGGAGGATGTGCAGCAGATACTAACTTGCGCATACATCATGTTTTTGTAAAAGTAGCTCTGGATGTCTAACTGGCGGAAGTTGGGCCATGTTTTGAGATGAAATGTCAGTGCCATCTTATTGGCTTTATTGATGACCAACTCAAGGCTTGAATTTTTAGCGTGAGATACGGCAGGGTACCATAGAACAGACAGAAGCAGAAAGAGAGTGAGTATTGGCACATTACGCAAGAACCGCCAAGAAATGCAGTATAAAAGCCGTTTACGTTCAGTCTCTCACCCAATGGAACTCGCATCGCAACTATCAACTCAATTCAGGTATTTTTCAGCAGTGTCTCACGTGCGTATCGAAGCTGCCAAACTGCCAAAAACTGAGCTCATGTATTGCGTGCCATTCGTGAGCAAAAGCTCTTCTCGTTTTGGTGCCAGACCCACCTTTCACTAATCCTATCAATAGGTTAGGTGTGCGGAAGTGACTTCCGCGCGAAGGTCAAATTGATAGGTGGGGTGTGTTCCCGAAGCAGAGATACAGGTCGTTTGGGTAGAAGTCCAAATTTAGCTAAGGTGTGATAAAATTAGAGACGCAATGCAGAGGGAGAGAAGAAACCGATTGACTGGCATCAATTCCACTCGGGGTACCAATACCTGTGACCTTGGGGTGACACCCGACCACGAGGCAAGTTCAGGCGGAGGGGACGTTAGATTCCTGCGGAAGCTCGAAGTCATCATTCCTGACTGAAGTGCGTTTTCGCTTGGACCGAAGGGAAGAAGGGGATGAACCATCTGTTGGACATTTCTTGCATGAGCGCTGGCGAGTGCCTGGCCTTTTATCAGGCCCTCGCCGTTTAGGTGCTGCATCGTATTGGCATTCATTCGAGCGGCGCACACAATTATGACAAATTGGTCTTGCAGAATCGCATCGAATTTTCCTTGCACGACTTAGCAACCACGAAAATGAGCAACCTGAAATAAGAATAAGAATGAACGCACCATTGCTGACAAGCTACCACCTGATTCGAAATTTCCCTGTGAGGCGGATCCTGAGACGTAGATGCGGCTGGCTGCAGTTGAAGGGTTGACTCTGACGTTGGAACAGGGGATCGAGTGCTCTCTGGAGTTTGTATTGCAGGGGGTTGTGCTGAGCAACCACCTGAGTAAGACTGTGTGCGCAAGTCCTCGGCAGAATATTTTCGATTTTGGGGGCCTTGGTAGAACAAATTGATGACGGCACCGTGAGCTGGAGGGAGCGGAAGGCAGGTGTTAGGGTGGGCATGGGGCGGTGTGTCAAGGCCGAGGTGATTTCTTTGTGGAGGAAACTCAGACTGATATGAATTATGGTGGTGAAGATTCTGATTTGAATGAAAATCCGAAGGGGTTTCGAGAAGGTGAGGGTGCGGGTGGATGTTGATGTAATTAAACTGAGAGGCTAGGATGCCCGCTGCATGTTGTCTATCTAGTTGATCTTGACGATAGCAGACTTCATTGTGGATAACATGTGAAATGATGATTAACATTGTTTTTGAAAAGACGATAGGACTTACTGTATCCATGCGGCTGAGGAAATTCAGCCCCGAAGATGGGTGAATGCAAGCCGGAGCCATCCTCATTGGACTGATAACCGTCCTCCATCATTATGCCTTGTAGAAATGGAGCATAGATGTCACTGTTTGTACTGATGACCATGAGTACTAAAAGAATGAGAGTTGAGAAAGAAAATAGTAGATGGTAATATGGCACTAGTTCTTTACCATGCGAGACTTGAAGGAGAACATGCGCCGGAATGGCAAGCTCAATGATTAAGTATTACTCCCGAACTCGTTACCAATTCGCGAGTCAAATGAGGATTTGTACATAAGTACAACCGCCGTAAACCTTGGGTAGACCCAAAAAAGTGTTAAGCCTTACAGCAGTATTTAATAAGGTGAGCCAAAGTACACGTCGCGCTTGCTGAAATCCTATCCCACACATCCAAAAGTAGTAACATGCGGTAAAGCTGTTCGAAATGTTGTTACAGCTATCTTCATATCGATAGGCTGTGCCTAGCAAGCCATTCACCACTTGCATGTCTCGAGCGCGCTACAAGTCACAGTGATTTAAGAACTGACGAGGTGTTGCGTTTCAAGTTGGAGCTTTGAAGCTTGAAGGAGTCAAGATTTGGCATCCGTCATGGATGCGGACTTCACCGTCAACTCGGTAAACGCAGGCTTGCCCCTTGTGCATGGAACCTCGACTGCGAGTGGCACTCGCAACTGGATGTCAGGGACGAAGGTTTGAGTCAAATTGGACCGGGGTCAATATTAGGTGTCAGGTTCAGTTGCCTCGTAGATCGGGGCAGCGGGGCCAGAAGTAGTGTAAGCGAATAATGAAAAGTTGCCATGATGATACGGCGGGACAGTCACGTTGTCCATGGAATGGGACTGTAAAGAAGTAATACTTTTGTCAAGCAAGACTCTGCCATTATAGATGAAACTCACATATATATTGTGTATCGTCAAAGTATCCTCGGGGTATTTGACAAGTGTCTTGCTCGATCTTGGTATTATCTTTTTCAAAATTCACGTGCGCATATAATGAATCAACACCTGGTGGATATTGGTACACCATGATACTACACGCCAGTGTAATACTAGACGACGACGGCAAGAAAGTTGTGAAAGATTAGCTATAGATGAGTCAAACAACAAGAATGAACGAATCATGTTGTTTCCATAATGTTGGCAGTCGGTGTTCTGAACAGGCATGCAGCAAACCCAGCCTACAAAACGAGCGCGTCATCCAGCACCGGTGATATGAGGGTGCGAGGGTACTCCCGGTGCTCCAGCAATACCAGCAACGGCAGAAAGTATAGAGGTAGTAGCAATTGGAGGTGGTAGCTGTGATGATGATGATGATGATGTAGTTTGTCCGCTGGGTTGTTGCGTGGTATGAGCATTGGGAGGTCGAGATGAGCTCGCAGCTGGCTTCTTCTTTCTTGCGTGATAGTTCCTCTGCGTGAAGAGAAGTCAGCGATAAAGAAGAATTGTGAAAGAGAAAAAACGCACAGGCTTTCCCGCCGTGCGAGGGACCTCGAGCTCTTGCAACTAGTTGTCCGATCCATCTCGTCTGCGTAGTATACCAAATCCTAGGTTTCGAGTCCAGCTGAGAGATCGGGATTGGGTGTCTGGTTCAGTTGTCCCATGTGGCTTGAAGCGACAACAGAAGGAGGGAAAGCGACTGAAGGTGCGTTGACGTGGTAATGGAGTGGGGCAGTTATGTGGCCCATGGGATTGGGATAGACGAATGCGCAACTGGCAGCACATTTTTCGGAGCATGCTATAACATATGAGGATCGCGTACATTATCTTCTCGCAGGGCATCGTCAAAAAATCCTTGGGGTATTCAACGAACGCCTTTCATCTTTGGAACTGGGTGCCGTATAGCATCACCCTGAGGGAGCCATTGCCAACGTGGTTCAAAGGTCATTGAAGAAGAAATGTATCGAAGCTTACCGTATCTGGTGGAAGGCCAACCTCTTTGATGATAGCGGAAACATCCCATGTGTATATGTGGTTGGAGTCACGGCAGCTGGTGATGAGGAACTTTCCATCTGCAGAAAAGGTCGCAGACTTGACAATTCGTCCATGGTGAAGTGGTGTTCCGATGGGTCGGTTGGTTTCGAGGTTCCATAGTTGCACTGTCTTGTCCAGGTATGATGTGCTTGCGAGGATATGTTCATTGGAAGATGCTGAAATGAAATTGGAGAAGTGTTTACGCACGTCAACAGTCCATGTGGCTGTGTTACCTTGTGCAGCAAAGTCAATTGGGGATGTAACACGTCATTCCCCACTGACCTTGATGTGGTGCATGATATCTATGGTCCCCATAGATGTTCGACTCCAATAGATAGACCGAGTTCCTGGGCAGGAACAAATTGCTCTTGGGCTGGGATGAATTGATAGGGATGGGGAGGGGGAGAGAGTACGGATTGTGGAGGGAGACCGATTGGGGCGGTTGAGACATTGACATGGGTTTGCGTGCGTGTGAGGAAGGTATGCAGAACAAATTTGAATTTGCAGGAGATGTGAGGAAGGGTGATGGTTGTGGTTGGCCCAAGGATCGCTGTGAGTGAGATGCTAGTAGGACAGGTGGTGGATGTGTGCTGGGCGTCATACTAGGTGCAAGAGGTGTTGTTGAGGTTTGAGACATACTGTGGACGGGGGTTTGAGGTGGTGGTTGAGATACGGTAGGTTGAGGCACTGATGCTGGAACGATGGGTGCTGAAGCGATGGTAGAAGACTCGGCGCCGGTTTGGGAGGTAGCATTTTGAAGGGTCTTTTGATTTACCTAGTGAGGGCAATACGTATTAACGAGGAAATCACCGAGAACATAAGTACACGAGAAGAGGAAGAGGGACAGGCCCAGGCATAGTCGTCACCAGCTCAAAATACACCCGCGTCCTAGTAGACGAACATTGTAGACCCATCAACTAGGCATCGAGGCCCCGTCATCAATGTCTAGACCACGACTAGCACATTGAAAACAAACGTTTTATATCTACGGGGGAGCATATTTCGAAAGTACGCAGAAGAGAAGGAAAACCAACCAGGATCAGAAACGGGACATAATAGAAACAAATAAAGCAACAAAACGACACTCACCTCCCTCCCCTAAAAAATACTGTATCCACCCTTGCATCAAGGCATCTTGCTGTGCCATCCCCTTTTGAAAATTGACCATCATGTCCCCGTACTGATGCTCCAACACCCTAATCTGCTCTTCAGCTCTCACGACTTGATTCCTCAAAGTCTCATTCGTAGTGAATAGATTATCATTCTGAGCCTGTAAAGACGAGTGCGACGCCAGTAAAGAATCTGTCTGTCCTCGTAGCGTCTCATGGGATGATAAAAGCGTATCATGCGACGAGAACAGCGATTGGTATGAGTTTTGCAGGACGCCGATGTAGGATTGCACAGCTGCTAGTTCGGTGGTGCTAGTTTCGCCTGGGATGTAGTTGCCGGAGCTTGCTCCTCTGTCACCATTGTGATCTCTGTTAGAGGAGGAAGGGAAGGATTTACGTGCTGCGGGGACTTTGCGCTTTATGTTTTCGAGGGCATCACGCCGGTCGGCATGGAAATCGGGGTGTCGGAATGTCCAGCTGCGTTCGCCGAATTGGGCGTCATTGGGTGTTTTGACCTGATGCGGAAAGATTAGTATATTGGATGACGGTGGAATGGAATAAAGTAGAGGAGGTAAGATAGGTACGGAGGTAGTAAGTACGGCCTGAAGGAATGTAAAGCGTTTGACGCTGCCTTTATGGAGATGAAGACGGAGCCAAGGAGATTCTGCTAGGTCACGATGGAATGCCAAGAACCCCCTGTGGTGAGGACGAATTACGGAAAGGAGTATATCTCAGCGGTCGCAATGCACCAAAAAATCGTGGCATCTGAGATAGACGTAGAAGTCTCGGATCGAACCGAAGATCGACGGGAAAGGCCGAGTGGAGGATGGGGGATTCCTGCGGTGCGGATCGCTGAGATAATAGAGAGAATTGGATTGCCTTTGATAGGCAATATGGGGGTATGCAAGAAGTTGCTTGATGGGGGATGATGGAGAACTCGAGGTGTAGTGGGAAGGGGAATAAAAGTAAAAGGAACGGTGTAAGGGGGAAAGGTGAAAGGACCGAAAGGAAGAATTTCGAGATCCGGAGTAAACTGGACTCACTTTATGAAAATCATATTTGTTGAGTTGTCTTATGAAGGAAGCAAAATTTGAATGCTTGAACATGCGTGGGAGGATAGATTTTGTAAATTCATTCATGTCCTGAGGGAAGAGCGAACGGAATATCGGTGAAAGTACTGATGATTGGAAGAGAATATGAACCTTTACGACAAAGCAGTCGCCTTGTGGGCCCCATGACACAACATGAGAGAAGGTATGATCTTCTAACATTCTGTAGGGGGAGTTAAATGAGACTTGTGATGATGATGATGATGAAGAAGGAAGAAGAGAAGATGTACTTGTATAGCCTTTTGACAAAATCGCTTGTTGCTGGCATAGTATCTTCTTGTTCTTTGAGTGGCGGGACTGAGTGAATCTGGTAAGTGGGTTCTCTCTTCATCTGCCTCATCTCTCGTTGGGCATGGATTGATACATCTTCTCTTGAATTTGAAGTGCGATGGATTGATGATGATGGACCCCAAGAGACTGGAGAAGGGTGGCGATAGGGCGAAGAGTTCATTGCAGCCATAGGGGGAAGAGTTGTGACCGATGCACGCTGAGGTAGATTTATAGCAGACAACTGAATTTGGGGTGGTGGTAGCTGATGTGAAGCAAATAAACGAACTGAAGAGTAAGGAGGACCTGTAGTAGTGGTGTGGTGGTCCATGTGCATGGCTGTATAGCGTATAGCAAGTGATTATTATCGCAAGGGTGTAAGGGCCAAAACCTAAACACAGGTAAACTCACGCTTTCAAGCAAGTTTGGCATCATGTCACCGGGCTAGCACTTTCATCTGACGATGCTCTCCTCGCTAGCGCTTCTGCAGACAAGACCATCAAACTGCGGGCTTTCGAGTCCCGCCAGCTCCTCACTTCCTTCCATGTTCAGCATATTTTTAGACTTGTCCTGCCACCCAACTCGCGCCAACTAATAGCTTACACGACGCGCGCTGAAGATCATGACAAGATCTGCATCTGCGATACTCCCCCCAATGTCCTTGCTCAGGCCCGTGTACGCATTCTCCCTAAACTTGTACTGCTCGTGTGCTAACATTCCACTGCAGAAAATTGCACGCACAAAGTTGAACCTCGATCATTTACTCCATGTACGCATTTCATCCTCTCATAACACCACTCACTCATTGCTATCATTACAGTCTCATGCAACTCGTCCTCCTGCCGGATACCGCAGACCCCCAATATCCGCTATACCTATAATGCAGAGACCTCTGCCTACAAGAGACCCGCAGCAACCCGCTTTCCGTCGACTTAGCAAACTCCTTCACTTCTCTCGCGCGAACACGGTCCCTGTTCGCCACATCCAACCTCGTGATCCCTTTGATGTATGTCATGACTCTTGTATCTCAGTTCTTTGACGGTTAACTCCAAAATGGCACAACAGCTCCCTGCTACATCGCCCCTACCATCCTCTCTCTCAGCTCAGCCCGCAACTCGATTTGAACAGGTCAGTATTCAATTTACATACTCAATCGGATTGCATGACCGAGTATGCATCCAGTTTGAAATAGGTTCTCCACCTCCACCCTCGATCGGAGTCGTCCAATCCCTACAACAGCAACTTTCTTTCCTAGTGCCCAGACACAGCCATGGCCCACCAGTCGTCGAAGTCGCCCCAGGCCGTGCATTCACTGCAACGTATATTTTCTTATTTCTCAGCGTCTTTTTCTGATTTGTGCCCCATAGCGACTTGCTGCTGCTAAACTACCGGAATACAAGAAAGTAGACGGCACTCGGCATCCGTCTAGCCAACAGGGTGCCGTGCTCCAGGAAAAAAACACTGCTGACGTCGATTCGCTACCAGACGTACATCGGTGCAAAGCGTTCATCTGCTTTTGTTCTTGTTGGTCGCATGGCAGACTGAGGATGCCCCCTCGATGGCGCTTGGAGCGCGATGACATACCTCCCCAGGATGGTGCAGCAAATAGTAGCACTGGTGGTGCTCACAGCAGTTAACTTCGTATGCAGTCATCCCACTACCAGTGTATCCTTCGTTACTGATGATCTTACACTTATCCATCAATTCTATGCCATCTGCGATACTCAGTGTCTCTTTAAGATCCCACCCCGCATGACCATGTATGAGTCGTGTTGTAATCCTTACACGTGCGCTCGTTCAATGCTGATCTGGTCGAGATTGAAATGGCATCAATCTACACCATCATGGACTCAGGTGAGACTTTTGTCTCCGTCAGTATTCGGATGTCTAACAATTGCTCTCTCGCAGACACACAAGGCCATCGTCCAAATTGACCTTCTCCCCTTTCTGCTTCCAATCGCTTCACCTGTTTAGACCTCCAACTCCATACAGTGTTTGTGGTATTCGTTCGGAACTCAGCACGCTACGAACTTTGCGCGATCTAAGAAATATTGAGCCTGAGCATGCGACTTGGACGACAAGGTAGCCTGGATTTGAGCGAGACGGCTCGCTCTCAGATCATCGGGCCTTCACAGACACTGGCTTAAAATACTCTCTTTTCTCCGATGCTCTTGGAATCGACTCAATCCCGAGTTCCGCATACCCGATAATCTCCTCTAATCGATATCGATCTCCGCTTCGCCAGCAAGGACGACCTCTTTCTTCCTTGAAGTCGACCACTTAAAGCTCTTGCAGTCCCTTTGAGTTCTGATTGCGCTCTCTCAAGTTTCACGTTGGATATTTCCTTCGCCGACACGATCGTTAACCATCGATGAGTCTACATTTGTCGATGGACCTTGCACTGGCTTCGATCGCGTATCAAAATGCCTATGCTCAAGTCCAGTGGATCAGCCTTGTTACATCGTATGGTCCAATGTTTTGTTCTTGGGTTCGCCTATTTTCTGAGGGTCGTTCGAGTTGATCCGACCGAACGTTGCACCTCGATTTGGTCTAGCACTCTGCCAATGATGTCCTCTTCCTATGACCACTTCTATGCGCCCAACTGAAGGCTGTTGGATTTTGTCATCTTATCATGGCTTACCTGCACCTCGCACTTCAACATTTTCTATAGTACTCGATGTCATGGTTCAGGTCCGCGAACTTGGTATGTTCCTGCATGCGTCTCAGATCCGCCTAAATTCATTTTCACAAGGCCAGGCTTGGTTCGACTATGAAGAGCATCTCTATTCCGGCTATCCTTCATCTCTCGTGCGACCCACCACATGCTAGTCGAAAGGTTCGTTTTGGCGTTAATGAGCTGGGTGACTTTATATCAGCAGGGAACTCTGCTCTCCAGCGCCAGCAAATTCTTCGACACTTGGCATGCGGTCCATCATCTCCATCTGGTTAGCAGCCCCGCAAGTATGCTTTTGTTCAGCAGTTTTCCTATGCACTAAAACTTCCCTCTGACTGGCTTAGGGAGGGAGGAGGAGGTAATCCACCCATAACTTTTTGTATCGCATTTTCTGACCTCGACATTTTGTCATCCTACTCTACAGTCTTACAGCTAGCTCCCGCGCTATTTACTTCGTCTCCCGGCTCAAAACTGCCCCAGCTATACTCAAAATTCGCACCCTGGGTGACTTAGGAGGGGAGGAGGAGGTAATCCACCCTTAACTCTTTTGCATCGCACTTTCTGACCTCGGCCTTTAGTCGTCCTACTCTGCAGTCTTACAGCTAGCTCCCGCACTATTAATTTTGTCTCCCAGCTCAAAACTGCCCAAGTTATACCCGAAATTCTCACTCTGGGTGGCCTATAGGAGGAGGAGAAGGTAATCCAGCTATATGTTTTTTTTCTGTTGCACCAACTGATCTCAATTTTTTTTCATTCTATTCTGTAGATGTACAGGTACCTCCCGCTTTAATTAGTTCGTCTCCCGGCTCAAAACTGATTGAGCTATGTCTGAAAACATCACCCTAGGTGAATTCATACTCACTGCATTGACTTATGTCAATGATACCCTTCATTGTGCACACGATTTTGCTTGTATATAGCTCAAATTCAATATATTTTGTTTATATAACAATTACATGACACTAAGAGACGGAGGCGGCACTGCGCGACACAGATGGCAATAAGCGGCAGTCAGAGATGCACGGAAGCGAGAGATGGTTATCACTAAGAGACAAAGAGACGAGGCGAGAGCATACAGCGAGGGAGGTGACGAGAGGTAGCGAGAGACGAGGCAAGAGCATACAGTAAGGGAGGTAACGAGAGAGGCGGAACAAAGTGCAGCGTGGTGAGTGAGACAAGCTAGCGCGGCGAGTCGAAAGAGATGATGACCTAGGATGACAGGACGCACAGTAAACAAGACAGAAAAAGACTACTCACCATTCAAAAGCAAGCCTTCCATGGGAAGATAGGTACCCTCCTCTCTTGGCCCACTCCCGCTGTTGATGTTCAGAGCGAGTAGGTCCATCTCGAGTTTCTCGCATAGGGCGTGTTGCTTTGCGAGTTTTGCATGCGTGTCTGCGAGTTCATCCTGTATGAAGTCTCAGCGTCTGGTGTTCACTTCGAAGATCTTGAAAATAGCTACTTACAGTTGACCAAGTATCGTTGCCTGACAATGACCATGCGGCGATGTACGTGCTCATGGGAGCAACTATGCTATATATATTGCCCGTCTACAGGCCTACAAACGCCTGAACAGAGATATAGTTGCCAGTGTTAGTATAACCTATCACGTTGCAGAGTCAATCAAACGAACCTGTAAATGTTTGGGCGTGCCCACGTCGATCTCGCCATACCAGAGGTCTGCATTGTGTTTGGCAAGGGTAGATTTCCTTTTGTTAATAAAGCGGTTGAGACTAAGCAAGGAAGTAGTTAACTACCAAAATAAAGTAGGTTAACTGCGACGGGGTGAACATAGTATACAGTTGCAGGCTGTTGGGATTGAGTCGGAGGAGCAGGACTGCGTGCATGAGAAGCCTATGGGTGTGTCTACCCTTCGAATAACATAAGGAGATAGGACCGCAAGCCCTTCAAACACTGTTGCCTTTCAACCCAGGAGAGGAGGCCACGATCCCAGAAGAGCTTGTTAAGCGATCTCCCGGAACTAGGGTAAGATTTTCGAAAGGGACTCGGTTGTGAGAAGCATCATGTATGAATCATCTTAGCGCACCATCACCAAATCCTCATATATTTTATGAATGTTCAATTTTGATGATGAATCACGGCAGTCGAGAGTGGCAGTAAAATGGTCAGCGGCTTCATCGTGACGTGCGCCATCCAAAGCTTTGATGCCGGGTTGAACGCGTAGATATGCCTAACATGCGAGTTGCGAAGATGAGTGTTGATGACCAAGCATAAATGTCACTTACTTGCACGACACGACGCGCGAGAGTATCGGCATTCGGACGACTGGCAGCGAGTTCTTTGAGGAGCAGGTTTGTCTCGTCATATCGATCTGCATTGAAGAAGGCGATTTCCTGAGATATGAAATGAGACAGAGAGTATGCGAGGCAACTGCAACATACCTCGATCAATAGTAGAAAAAGCACGATTTCCGGATCTCGATCTGTATACATGGATGCAGCATCAAAAGAAGCATCTAGTTTTTCCGCATTTTTTATGGCAATGCAATGGTCAACAAAGACGCGAGCGAAAAAAGCTCGTTCTGGGGTCAGGTTGGCCCAATAGGCATCTGTGGATGTTCCTAATAGCTCATCCGACCGAGACTCTGCAATGGAACATACCATTAAACTCAACGTGGTCGGAAATATCAGCGCGTCTATTCCAAACACTCAGCGGCGCGTCCTCTGCAACCGTGCTCTCCGTAAGATCAAAGAGGCTTAAAAGTGCGAGAACATTATCTTCGGCGGTCTTGCTTTCTTCGTTCTTGACATCTTCACGAGCAACGTCCACCCATTTGCTGAGTAATAAAGCTGCAGCCTGGTGAACCGCTGGCTTCGATCACCTAACCCATTGCGAATGATGAACTCTGTCTGAGAAATGGTAGGCACACGAAGATGAACGAGCCTCATTGCAGAGCCATCAGAAGCGAGGTAGCGGAATAAACCAGCTTGTGCATGATCGTGTCAATGTCGCGGGTTCGACCAAGGGCGGCGTCTAAGGTAGCTGAAGACAGAGGAATATTGAGCAATGCGGCTCTACGGACGTCTCTATAAGACAAGTGATTAGCATACTGTTGGGAGATTTATGACAAATGAACCAACGCGGCAGGATCGCAACTAAGAGTCTCCAGTAGGACCTCAAGAGCAGTAGGTTCTCCTTCCGCATCAGATGGATCTTCCGAACCATATAGCTTCGAAAGTGCAATGACAGCCTGGACTCGAACAAATGTTTCTTTATCGTGCGCACGCTCGAAGAGAGCTGCGCGGAGCTCAGCGTACGACGTTTCGATGTGCCTGGCGCGCGCGTCCAATGTTGAGCGCGGATAGTGGGCATATGCGCCCGTAAGGAGGGGCAAATACAAAACAAATGCTGGAGAAGAAGTCAGGTATGACTTCCGAAAGGCGCTGCCACGGCAACCATGATAGTTCATAATTGTACTTGGTCTTCAAGGCATTTGGCTGGGGCGCGGCAGCTGGCCAAGAACCATCCCGCTCTGCCTGGTTGGGGAAAGTCCCAACATCACAAGTCATAGCTGAAGTGGAGTAAGTACCTGAGTCGGTGTTCAAACAATTGAACTCACGAGTAAGGCCATGCGCCGCCTGCAGTCGCACCGCATCCCGGGCGCGCAAGATTACCCATCGCCCATGCATCCGACCACTAAATCAATCCATTAATTAGTACTACAAATCCCGGACTGCTCCTGCTGAGAGGCATGCTCAACGTCGCAGTCACTCACATAACCTTGTTGTTATCTGGGCGGGGCCATACCGCTCCTGATCGCCGGTACTCCCATACTTGATGTTTACGGCTTCCCAGAAGGGATCATCCCCAGGCCAAAAAGTGCGGTTGGCTGTATTGAAATCGTCCGAAAAGACCAGTTCGTAAGGGAGGCCATCAAATCCTGATCGTGCTGCAGCACTACCGGGCATATCAGGATCGATGAGCTGCGCCATTTGGAATCTGGGCAGAAAGACTGTCAGTCAGATAGTCCATATCATGCGAAAGAAAATAGAACAGCAGAAAAATAGTGAAGTGGTAGAACGCACAGAAACGAAATCTGGCCGGTTCCATTGAGGAGTATGTTGCCTGCGCTTAGGTTATTGCATGCCAAGAAACCCAGTCTGAAAGACCGTGGGAAGCTCTGCCGCATGCGCATGGCAAATTCCGACTATCCTTGCAGACTGATGCGGCGGCAGGGCCAAACCAGGGCAGGGCATAGTACAAGGTTGCGAATGGTGCTCGCAGCTCTACCCTCCTCACTTAGTAACTGCCTTTGGTGTAGCCGGGTGGCGAACGGTGTAAATAGGTGGAGCTCGCACTGCAAAAATCGCGCTTCGTATTCTCTACCCAGGCCCCGATTGTACTGGTTTTTGCCCAGGCAGCCAAGCTGACCTTGCTTGGCATAATAAAGTCTACCTTATTTCCGCCTTCAAACTAATCATTTTTCTCTGGCAGAGATAACCATCTCAGGCGTCAAATACTGCCCTCATACGCGCTATATTCGAACCTGCCCCCTCAAACGACTTTTCAGGTCTCTGCGCCGAGCGCAGCATGCGCAGCGGTTACAAAGTCTTCCTCGCTATCGCGCAGATATTTCTTTCGCAGCCAAATAATGTGAGGAGTAGTTCCAAATTATTTGAGCCCACCGCCTCACATCTTTGCAGCAGGGACCCGGCTCTCCGATCTCGGTCTGCAATTTACCGGATCAATTTGGCGGCGCTCTAACCTTAGTCTGGGCTGATGGAGCCAATGGTAATGGAACACCCTCTGCGGAACGTGCTGAATACTGCCAGAATAGTGCGCGCCGCTGCTCAAAAGGATCCGCTACGCCTCGCAGTCCTGATCCGTTATCCCGCCGGGCGTTGCGGAGGACTTTGACATCCGTTCGCCTTGACCGGACCATCGTGTTCACCACTCATTTCTTGGACGAAGCTGATCTGTTGGCCGATAGCATAGCCATTTTGGCTGCGCCCGGCTAGCTGGTAGCCGGGGGCAATCCCGTTGCTCTCAAGTCAAACCTTGGGCAGGGATACAGCGTCCCAAGTCGTGTTCAACTCCTTGATTTGGCTGAGAAGGACCTTCCAAAAGTATTCTCCGAGACTTTGGATCGTATTCGCGAAGTTGGTCCCCAGCGTTATATGTCCACTCTCCTCGCCGAGCCAGGCATCATACCACCTCAAGCCAATGGATCCTGCTGTTGCTGGAGAAGGTCCTCCAGCTGCTGGATCAGAAGTGCGATGCTCTTTGCGCCGCGCCCTGTGATGTGCTTGGGGCATCCGTTGAAGATATCTTCCTGAATCTCGCGGCCCACCAAACTGGTAGCGTCTCCCTAGATAGCGCTGAGAGGTCCATTTCAAGTTCAGGTGAGCCTTCACTTGACGTTCGGTGGGATATCAATAGACATGCTCACGGGTGATTCGTTGTTTGCGCGGCAGGCGGCCCTGCCCAGCTTAACTGGTCCGACTATGATGAACCTGGCAACAAATATACTTTATAATCGGGCATCAAACGCTTCTGGGGACATTGAGCACCCGCCGAATCTCATTTACGCGAGCTATGCTGCTTTCCTTCATCTTGCTTCGGGGACTCTGGTTGATCTCAAGTGGGTGGCGTTCTTTGGGGCCGCTATGGTACGCGCTGCGCAAAAATTCCACATCTATAGGATCGCGCGCTAATATCTTGTTTAGTTTGGCTTTCCCGTTCCATCATGCGATTTGGAGATCCCATCCCCTACCTCTTGGTTTATGGCTTTGTGCTGTTCGGTATTCTCTTATGGGTTGATTAGCTAATCATCTAACTCGAATTGGTGAGAAGGTCCGACTCTTCTGCGCTAAGTGATGCAGACACTGAATATTATTATGCATAAAGGAAGGCGCAGTCGCAGCGCAAAAACTTGACCTTAAGACAGCACCTCGCTGAATCTGTATTCAATCAACACCCTCCCTCGTACGTCAAACGTAGCGCTAGAAACTGGATAGCGGGCTGAATCCCGTGGTTAACATTTCGCAGCACCATCGCAGTGGCTCATTCTGTACTGGCGGCGGAGCTGTGCTGCAGGAATTGATGACCAAAAGCTATATCCGTGGCAATATCTCCATGTATACCCCTGATATCGAAGCGACCTTGTCCAAGGGGCTGAAATACCATTGGGCTCTTGCTTGACCTAGAGCGGGTTGTCGTTGTCTTGCAGGCGCGAAGATCGTTGGTAAGTCAACAATTCTATTTCATCCAAGTTCATGACAATAGAAGCGTGCAGCGGATTCCTAAGCGCAATACAGTTTCAGGATGATATATAGAGCAGTTGCTTGTTGCTGGCCGTCGAACGTTTGAAGCAGATCTCGACGAGGATCCTTGATATACCTATCAGTCAGCGGTGCTCTTATAATAACTGCCATGAGTCTCACTTGCAGTCCCGCTCATACGCAGATATGCTCCGCCAATCCACGACAGGAAGGAAACGCTGCCAACTGTGACGGCTGACGCTATAATTAGGTTAGGTGCGCGGAAGCGACTTCCGCATGAAGATCTGGTTGATAGGGGACCATACCTAACAACTCAGATAGATAGTATAACTGGTCCTGCGTAGAGTGAGAGGAACGCGTCGAAAGCTTCACTTTGGCTGGTCCCTAAGGCGCCTGGTTGAGGAGAATGTGATGACTGGAATTGTTGACCGGCAGATCACACTGGATGCTGGTCGTACGTCTACTTTAGCGAAGACACTTGCGCGACAATGGTCGAATTACCGGTCTACGTTGGTTCAGTCTCTGCCGAAGAATTGGATAACTTCGATGAGAAGCTTGTCGCAAGTTCCAAACGGATCGCGTCTGATGGTATAGATATGACAGAAATGTCCATGGTCATCGGCCATCAACCGGGATGAGCACCAGGTAGATTGGCATCGCCAGGCTGCGACCAAATATTGAAGTTATTAATATTGCCTAGCTTCGCAGAAAATTGGAGTCAGCTAAAGGTGGCACCTTTTCAGGTGCCATTATAAGTGATCTTCTGTACGGTGCTGCGGATGGTTGGGACATGTACCCCGGCCTAGATGGCATTGATCATTACAGGACTCTGCGAACGCGGACTAGCTCGCAACGGGGACATCCTGCGCCAGTAAGTTATGGCAGATAATGATCTCGACATTGCTCAACAGCCGTTAGGCACATCATTGACTGCCCTTACATTACCGTCGTTGGCAAACCTTTTGCAACTCTGGCAGAGAAGCTCGAAAAGCATGAAAAAGCTCGCCTTGCTGCTCGGTGGGAGGCGCTCGGTGCAGATGGTCTTGCCAATGCAGAGCGGGAGTTGGAAGCTGCAAAACTGAACGTGAGAAGCCGATACCAATTGATGTTTTGACGCCATTTCCTGTTCCGGATGTGAAGAGCATCTCCTGGATACCTGCCCGGCGCGTTCAAGAGCCTGATGACACCCCTCTCGTTGTTTGAGGTATCCTCTTCAAATGTAATTCTGAGCCGGTGGCTACATTGAATATCGGATGTTCGGAGACGTAAGGACGCGCTGATTGACTCATTTTCCTGCCTGAAATCTGACAAGATGCACGAAGGAACTTTGGTGCGCTGCATGCCAGTATTAGGACAGACTGGCTGCAATTCAAGGCTGCCGAATATCTCGTCATATGCTGGCTACATCTCAGTAGCCGAAGTTTCAATCGCCGCAGCAGCTCAAGTTTGAACGTAAAAATTTGAAGCAGACTTGCAGTGATCATTGACGCAAAAATCGAGTACTTCTTTCAAGTTTTCATTCTGATTCAAGGTACTTAAGTCGCAATCAAGTCTTTTAGAAATTGCCTCAGTTGTTTGCAGGTCATGCAAGAATATTGGCAATGCACGCACTGTCAAACTTCATTTACGATCCCAGAAAATGATCCGAAGGCAAAGAGAAACATCAAAAGCGCTCATTTTAAAAGATGTGCACTCTCGCTTAGGCGTTCCAAAGATTGGCCTTGCGCGTTCTTGAATGGCAGTTTTTGCTGCCCCTTTCGCTATCGCGGGTGCTCGGTGTCTGGTCACCTTGATTATATACGAAGGCATCACGACAAATGTCTTGTTGGTCCAGTCTCTGGTGATACACCGCAGAGTATATATGGTCCAACTGTCAACGAATGGACGTCATTTTCCTTAGGAGAATATGTAGAGAGGAACTATGGACATATGTATTCTGGAGCCTCCGCCTCATCTGCAGTATGTTGAAGTCATTCCGCCTATTCTAGCTACCAATCTGACAGTTTTGGTACCCAGAATATTGCCTTACACGTGCCTCAGGGCGAGATGGATCAGACCATGGCGCAAGATGTTATATCTCCAGATCCTGCACCACCTGCGCTACCCGCATCACCTGCACCACCTGCACCACCTGCACCACCCGCGTTACCCACATCACCTGCAGTACCCGCATCGCCTGCACCAATGCCACCTGCGCCAATGCCGCCTGCGCCAATGCCACCTGCGCCAATGCCACCTGCACCAATGCCGCCTGCACCAATGCCGCTGACACCTACGAGGCTGACTCCCTCACCGACTCAGACGCCAGTGATGTCGATGCCCTCACCGATGCAGACACCAGTGATGCGGACGCCCTTGCCAATGCCGACACCAGTGATGCGGACACCCTCGCCAATGCAGGCACCAGCCTATCCTGATTACAGGCATGGTACGCCTTCTGGTTTACAAAATTGTGATAATTTTGGTGAAGGCAATGGTGCTGAGCCTGCACAACCTGGTCCGCTACAGTGCCCTACTGCAGGTAGCTTTTTGGATGGCCCACCAAGTCCCTTGGAGTCAGCAGCAATTCCGGCACCTCAGGTCAATGGTGAAGATCCACTCTGTCGCCTCATTGATGTTCGGGAGTTTGATGCCTTACGCTTGATGACAAAATTTCAGCCTGATCTTAAACTCTTTGTTTGTGAACGGTGCCGGTGCGGTGTATGGGCAGATCAACTTGTAGGCCATATAATCAATAATCACAAGCAACATCTATCGCACAGCGTGAAGAAAACCACTCTAGAAATCACGATAAAAGCAGCAAGCCAAAAACTTGGTGCTGCAGAGTATTCTCAGCGTCCAATAGTTTTGCCAAAGCGGGTTCTTCCACCTCTTCCTTGGCTACTAGAGCCCGTTCGAGGTTTCCAATGCCGTCACTGTCCCTACGTGGCTGGAACATTTGATTCAGTTGGGGATCATGGAAAGAAAACTCATCCACGCCACGAACTAGGGCCGTGCATCTCTAAACAAGATCAACCTGTTTTTGCTCAGCGCCTATTTTCCAAGAATCAGTATTTCGTCGTTCACATGATGTTGCAGAACGTAGGCCCCGATCATCTTTTTGCGAAGTTCTATTCTACCCTTTCTGCCCGCTACATCAATGGTGCATTTGTGACAGGCGACTTGTCCGACACTTCGGATGTTGCAGAACACTCGCCATTTTTGACAAATACTGGCTGGGCCGAAGCAACAAAAGGATATTCTCTCGCCGCATTGCGAGATCTTTCTGTCTCCAAAGTTGTCAAACAGGATATCGACTGCATAGCTCGTATCAAGGGCATTGGAGCAAAATACCTCTCCATGATTTCCTCTGCATCAGAGATTGACCATGCTCTTTTGGACGAGCTTACCAGCTGGCGCACTCGATAGTAGGTTTTTGTAATAATGTTTTGCCTCCAAAATTGACTGATATTCAATCAAGTCGTCCATTCCAGATACTACAGGAAAGGCACTCAGTCGAAGGCTATGGAGTCCATTGTGACCGCCTTATTATGATGATTTTACGCATAAAGTCCATTCAGACTGATTCTGATGAAGGAACAAGCAGCGAGGCCAGCTCTGACTATGAGAGCCATGGAGAATGCGAGGGCATTGAAGAAGATATCATCATCCCAGGGTTGGATTGGAATGACATGGACTTTGCAGATGGAGATGGAGATGAAGACGAAGACGAAGAAGGCGAGAGGGGGCCTATATCATGGCCTGATGAAGACGGATCGGAAAATTTGACTTGCCTGAGCGCCGCAGATGATCACCCACCTTACCCCATCTTCCTGAATGCTATTCAGAAGCGGCGTGCAAAGATACTAAGAGAGTCCTGTGCCGATCCTGACTCGCCTGAAGAACAGCTCATGGAAGCTTATCATTTGCTCCTGTTGTCTGTATTCACTACTCACACCAGCGACAATCCAAGGCCTCTTCACTCTTTTGTTGATTCATTTGTCATATCTACCAGCGTTAACGCCCAGGGTCATTTTGCGTCGCCTCACCTTATCTCCAGCCATTTGTCCAAGATTGTTTATGTCGGACTTTTCTCTATCTTAACCGAGGTCATGAAATCCCCAGATCCTTACCAGTAGGTGTGCTGGAAATCTGACTTATCTAACTAATTATTCACTCCTAGAACGTTCATGAAGACCATGAAAGTGTGGATAGAACCTGGTATGCGCACGCCATTTTGCACTATCCGAAGATACTCTCGACTATGCTATGCGATATGCCGAGGACACATAGCCCTACCTAGACTCCAGTTTGCAGTATTGGATGGGCCAGACTTTACGTTTGATGGCAAGTCGCTGTCTGTAACCTCCATGACGCGGATGTACCACAGTGTCTATCGGGATATGGTCCATATACTTGAACAAGATCTTCTATTTGGAGCAAGCGATGCTGATCTGCATCCTCTCAAGACGCCAAAGGAAATTACAGACAATACCCATGAACGCGTCCTTGGACGCGGTGTGTTGGTTTCAGAAATGCAGGCAGCATGGGTCTTGATGAAGCTTATAATGAGCGATGAAAAGCTCATGAAGAAGTATTTTAGCATCGATTCCAATGGACATCCAGTGCCGCGCAAGGGAGCATGGGAAGAGTATCTGGATAGTATCGAAGTGTTCAAGGAACACTTCTATTTTTTATTCCATCAGATTCCGGGAATGCCGAAACGGGGCGCAGAAGAGATTCGGACCAAGATCGTGGATACAAGTTTCCGCAGCCGCAACCTTATGTACCTCTTTCGCCGACTTGCCTGTATAGGAGATTACAGCAAATCATCTCGAAACTCTGGCAACGACAAACTCACCCTTCATTTCATGGCTCGCCCTCTAGAAATTGTACTCAGGCGATTTCAGGCATCTGTAGCCACCATTGGCGCATGGGCTATTGATCTTGTGCTTCCTGCGGAGTCCATCGATCCTCATCACCACTGTTATCTCTTATCTAGCAAGGGCCAGAGATGGACGTCTGAGCGACTTTCTCGCATCCTTCAGCAGCTCACTAGCAAACACCTTCCCGGTAAGGTCTGCCTTAACATGAGCTCGCTGAGGCACATCCTGCCTGGCATTGCAGAGCATTACCACATCTCAGATGTCCTAACTCCGAGAACTGATGACGTGTTACACTCTCAGCTTGGCCATAATCAAAATACAGGTGATCGGATGTACGCCAGAACGCATCAAGATCATCCTCAGCTAACAAGCACTATGGCTCACCGAACGATGAGGTTTTGCGATCTCTGGCAGGAGCTATTAGGATTCAAAGAAGACACCCCCAACGAAGATGCTGCCCTCTCCCTCCAGGCGTCTTATGCTCACCAGCAATCCTCTTCTAAAAATACACTTTCATCCCTGTGGACTCGGAGAAGTAGCCCCATCGCAGCCTCAAATCCCGATATGACAGTGCCCCCTCATAACCATGATCTTCTTGAGGAGATTCAAAGTATGCGGGCTGCTTTAGCCAAGCTGACTCATATGGTGTCGTCCATCTCCCGAGCAGTCCTTCCATCAGGCACTGCAGCGCCTGCCATCCAATTATCTCGACAGTCTAACTCTGGCATCGTCCATTTAACTACTGCCTCGGCCGATGGTCTGGGCCAATCTGATGACCTAGTTAATACTACTAGTGCAGCTCTTGACGCCAATAGCCCACCAGCTGATTATGAGGTATTCTGTGCTACCGCGATCAATTGTACTACTGCCTAGCTAATACACGATCATTTAATAGGTTTCCCATAACCAGCAACTGGCTAAACGCCGAAGTCTACCAAGCAATTCTGAAGTGCGTTGTCTCCATCCACATCCCAACGTGAGCTGATGCCGTCTTACCATGACATCAGGACGAGGTGGAAGAACGGCCTTTGAAGCGGTTGAGGACCAATGCACTTGGAGATGATCGGGGTCCCTTGGGCATTGACAGTTTGTCACTTCACACTGAAGAAAGACCTGCCAGCGCCGATTCTGAGGTATTGCGTGCTTACATTCATTCTATGTCATTCAGCTAATGATACAATGTCAGGCTCTCCAAGAAGACATTAGCAAAGTATACTGCCCTCAGTGCGATGTCCACCTCTCCGGCTCTGATTCCGATATAGCTACTCATTTTCAAGACAAAAAACGTCAAGAAGGCATCAACAGCTGGCATATACGCAGTTTCAAGGCTCCTGTTGCAGGGCAAAGGCACGAAATTTTCATTCACCGCGCAAGAGACCTCAAATTTCTGTGTCCTTGCGGTTTTTCAGATTACGAAAAGCATGCAATGCAGGCTCATCTCGCTTCAGTAAGTACTGATAGCCAGGTAGCTCATACCAAGAGCGGGAGAAAGCCAAGTTGGACACGAAAATAATAAGATGGTTCCTGTGCATGCAAGCCCAGCTCTAGCCATCATTCGCTTGTGCACCTTCTCTCCCTCTTTCTTGATCGTTCCTGCAACGTAAACGCAGGCTCCATCTTATCATGTCTTGCTCCTTATGCCAACTTCGCACGCTTGCTTTAATTTTTGACCATCTAGATGCTATCTAGCTTGTATCTAGTCATTCTTCCATTCAATACCATTGATAGTGCGGCCGTTCCTTCCTCTTAATTATACATATCATGTTGAATTTCGCGCGTAGGAAGGAGAAAATTTAAACAACTACATTTATGCAATCCTGACAGTGCGAATGATATTCGTAAGCATAGACTAGCGGCCAGGAACAATCACAGACGTACTTTGGCATACAATGAGTCTACGACCTTGCTAACTTGTTCCAGGGTCCCAAATGCTGCACCGTACGCGTTCTGAAAAAAGGATGAGCATGAATGAGGTGAGTGAGAAGAGAGGACACACGCCAGCTTCTAGCTCATCGAATACGATCAGGCATCCTTGTCCCTGATCCAGCACGCCGTGGAACGCCTTGTCCAAGATCATCTGAGATAGCCTAAAACACAATATGAGCAACTTTTCACAGTGACAATTTAATACGCACTTGGCCTCAGCGTCCTGCCGTCCTTGCCCGACCTGCTTGGCAACGTAGTCAATCTCTACCGTCGAGTACGGCTCAATGATACGCAGCAACTGGAGAAGGGCGTCGTAAAGCGCTGCAAGATGTAAGCCAATAGTAGGGTCGGACGAGAGTTCTGTGTAGCAATAACAAGTCAACAACAAGTTGTGTAAATTACCACGTTTGTAATCCCGAAGGGCCTTCTAGAAATATAACAAGTGCTGATTCTGATGCACGAGCGCTATGGCACGCACGCTCTCGATCTCGTGGAGCTGAGCATATTTCACCGCAAGCTTGATAGAGAGAAGTGATGTTAGATCTTCGGGCTGGAACGCACATCAAAATGACTGACGAGTCAAGATCAGTGACAACGCACCGTATTCAACATGGCCTTGCACAAAAGCATGTACTTGAGTGCATTCAGCGCTGCTGGGTCATCCTGCGATGACATGTTTTCAAAATTCTCATAGAAATATGGGTATGCAGTCGTGTAATGGGCAAGGAACGCAAATGGGTTACGCTTGCACGTCACGTCAGACTCTGCATCGATGAAAGTTTACATGAGCTTGGGGGCATCTGGCATGAGGCGTTCGTATTCGCGGTAGATAGTGTATATGGCAAATACAGCATTCTCTATCCCATCGCGATCAAAGATCCAAGATGCAACGAGGCGTTTAGTATAGCGAATTTGAGTCAACATAATGTGGAGGATGGATGTGACGTAGGGCTCGAATAGTCGATCAAGCATATTCGACAAAGTTTCGAATGCAAACATTACGCCTTGACGCGTCTCAAAACACTTCTTATCCTCGGAGTCTTGAGTGCTTCGACCAGTTGGTCGACAATGCTGGGAATGCGTGTATCCGAGGCATCTAGATGCCCCGCAACTCGTCCAAACAGAATGAGAACGGCTTCCTTGATTTGATCCCCAGTTTCATTCGCAGCACTCGAGCCACCTAGATGTTCTTCAAAAGTCGAGAGTAGCCCTGCAAGCCGCTTGGAGCCATGGATATCGATCACAGCAGTTCCAGCTCGAAGCATGCTGCGGCGCACGTCCGATGACCTGCCACCTAATGCTTCGTCCTTGATCAAGAATACGAAGAACGGTTCAACCTGGTCCTCCGTGAATGACGGAGCCAAGTGCTCAAATGCAAGGGCCGCTGCCGCTTGGGTAGCCCATGGATCGGAGCGATCGAGGCTAGAAGCAATAACCATGCCCTGGGCATCAAGTGAGGATCATAATCGGAAAGTTTAATATGGCACTAACGTATTGGTCGAACTCGGGTGCAAGAATTTTAGCCTTCAAACTGATTAGAGCCGAGCGCGTAAAGAAAGATGAAGAATCATACCGTTTCCCGTTAGAAGTCTTGTAGAGCAGCTACGGTCAGTGCACCCTTTTGAGGCCAATAAATTACAGCCTCCGCAATGGCCAATGCCGTGCTGGTTCGAACGTACGCATTGTTGTGCTCTAGTAGACACATTAGAATTTAAGTATAGAAACACGAATTACATACCGAGATAGCTCATGAGCTTGTCAAGGAAGTCTTCTGGCACATCCAAGCCATTATCCTCCCACGCGTAATTAGCGAGACGGGCATTCTGCTCGTCATCGTCATGGCAGGCTATTCAAAGTTGCGGAGACCAATCGAGATCGGTCAAATCGAATGGCTACGAAAACGATGAACACAAGTAATGCAAACTGCAAGAAAACGATGCTGACCTGGATGGCTTGTAGACATGCGTTCCTGAAGTAGACCTCTTGCAATAGTGTACCATCAATGAGCACACCGACCTCATCGCGGGTCGCATTCGACTGCGCAGCCTCTCCGAGGTCAATGAGAACAGATAATGCTTCCTTGCTAAGTCGTGGCTGATGCCTTATGGCGCAGAGGACATGCTCCGCGGTTGCTGTTCGGGGAAATGCTGCATCCGAAACTGCAAGAATATTAGAAACGCACCAACTCTTGCACCGAAGACATACATTCGCTGCAGCGAAGCTTAATGATGTTGAGCACGAGAGTTATTTGCTCGAATGCTTTATCGCCATCATCTTGGCCGGCGTCTACACCACCCTTCAGTAACACCTGTGCAAGGAGCGGGAGTGCATAGGAAAAGGTTGCAGTGTCAAACGGAGTTTGTTCTGATAGCGATCGCAGACGATAGAGAACGCGTAGCACAAGAGCTGGAGAATTGTTAATACATCACTTATTTTTCAGACGACGGGTAAAACCTACAGCTAAGTTGTTCAGCCTGCACTTCCTCGGGCACCGACGCTATCCCAAGACTTCACAATATCACCGCACCAACCCACTTGTGAAACGTGTCCAAACGGTCCCTTAGTACTATGTCAGTCCTGTGGATGCACCGTGCGTGCAAAAGTCCGGTAGATGGTGTTCCAACGGACTGGTTGACCTTTACATGGATGACCCAGATCATGTTGAATCCGTAACATCTCTCATTCAGAAATGGGTGGGAACAGTAGGTGACGTCGTGAAAGAAGACGTCCACAAGGCAATGCTGCGCTTGCTAAGACACGCCTTGGGCGCAGAAGACATCGACAGAGTCTCATGCATGCTTAATGTAGACATGCCTGTCCATTACATGGATGATACCACTGTCATCTTACAGGCGCTATATCCGATACGAAGGCGTGTGCATGTAGGGGGTAATGGATGCGGATTGTACAGATGCCAAGCGTCAGAAATGCTGCGTTTGTGAATTATAGATCAAAGTCAGGAAAACGTTGAGCCCTGCATCATCGCAGATCCACGATCTCCAGCGGGATGTCTTTCATTTGCACCTGCCCCTTGTCTGCGTCCTAAACAACTGATCAATAGCTGCGGACAAACCAATCCAGAAGCTACACACGGTGTAGATCGGCACCTCTGGGTGCGGGCGGAAGGCTTCCTTAACATTGCAGTCCAAAGTTGTTTGCGAGCCTGAGGGGTCGGTGAGGCAGAAAATTTCAAAGCTAGATGTGAAAAGAATTAAGACACGAGTGGTATGAGCAATGTGGTACGCACTTGGGAGTGAACTTTGGTGCGCAAACAAAGGCAAAAGACTCCGGAAGCATACACTGGAATCCAGAATGTGTATGCAGGCCAACCGACGACATAAAGCCTTCGCAAAGGACCAGTAAGCAAGAGGTTCTGTGCTAAATTTAAGGACCCGCAGGATTGCGAACTTGCGAAGGGTGCGTGTGAATCCAACGAAAATCGCTAGATGCAGATACACAGACCAACCGGAGGAAACATACCCATCCAAAGGTAATCAAAGATCGTTCTTCCGTGAATTGCAGGACGAGCTCTTCCTCGTCCATAGTGCAAGCATCGCTCGTCGAATGCTACCTCGGAATCAAGAATGTCGTAACAGTAAATTTATTTCCTGCCTTTTCCAAACAATAGTCCACAAGTTTCGCGAGTTCCTGCCGTATTCAGCGATGCGATAGGCAGAAACCGCGGAAGGCATTTTCATGGCAAGTTCACAGTCTTCAGGTCTGGTACTTGGACAGGATCACGGGCTTTAAGTAATCCGTGCAGACTCTTGCCACTGTGGAAAGGAAAGCCCATGAATTTAAGTAGGAGAAAACGTTGAAAATCAATAGAGAGAGCCACTGAAACCAATGAGGTAGTGCAATGAATCGACGGCCATTGAATCCCCCGAAAAGACAATGGACATCAGTGGTTGAATCACTGATTGTTGTTGACATGGTCACTGAATTCAATGCGGTAAATCACTGACTTTCGATGGTGCGGCCACTGATTATTGACGACATAACCATTGAATTTGATAGGGTACATGTATCTAGCAAAAGAATATGATACCACATCACATATTGAGCCTGGGTGTCCAACGCTACATGAAGGCATTTCGCGCAGCATAGTTTGCCATTGGCAAGGATTGAACATGCGAACACAAGACCTCCAGTAATGAAAGGTGCATCATTGTTAACCACTAGGCCACAGGACTATTTATGTATATCAACAACATCAGGGAAAACCTCCCGCGGGAATTTTGCAAATGCGACAAAAATTTCTCGAAATTCGCATAATATTTTCAAAAGTTGTCAACAAAGCTAGTAAATAGTTGCGTATGCGTGACGATCAGTGAATGGGCTAACAAAAAGTCTCTACACAGTTCCAAAACGTTGCTGCTAGTCCAATCCCGAGGCGCAGAGCGGCCAAATTTCGGTATAAGATGTACACTGCGCCGAATATCTTTCACAGATATTATACTAACTAGCTGTTCCCCATTTTCGTATGATCGCGAGACCTTGTGCATACCATGATTTCTCTCGCTTGTCCCGGTGAATGGCGAAAACCACTCGACGTAGGCCAAATGTTTAGGGATCAAGATATGGGAGGGAAAAAGGCTAGCGTGATGTTTCTCGGGTATCGAAAATATAACCCGCACTTGGGCTACACGGTAACCTTGTATGATTCATCAGTGACTTGAAACGGTCAACCAAATGATATACAGACCTTCCACACTCTTCTCTCCCCCATTGCCACAGTTGACAAGAACTGTATCGAAACGTCCTGGCACGGTATTCCCTCGCTTATCTCTTCGTGCAGGCTGACAGTGAACTGAATCAATGGTAACACTTTCATCTTTATGGCCAGCGGAGTCGACCGCATTGTACCTGACCTTATGGAAAATAGGAAGCGAGGCGAAGGGGATATATACATGTCCAGCGGCATGTTCCACCTGAGCTCGAGTTGTTGCGTCTGGGCGAGTGTGAAGCACAATATAACGAGCAAGGGCAGCTCGAAAAAAGAGGCACCATAGTCGTCTCTAAGGGAGTCGATGGTAGCGGCCTTGACAGATGGATGTTTCGTCATCTTGTATTCCCTGGCATACTGCATATCTGGCGGTAGATGTGATTGCGGCAATGGATCACCAGCGAGGCGCCAATGAACATAACTGGCGTGCCGTAGAATCTTCTCCTGCCGTTCAAGCCACAGAGTCATTTGACTGTACTCGTCCTTGTGGTTTGTTGCACGATATGCATCCTTGGCGAGGTCGATATGAAGTCGTTCGATATATTCTGTATTATAGTTGTCAGTCGTGCCATACTCTTGAATCATATGGAGGTAGTGCCGGTAGGAGTGAAGCTTTGGAAGATTAAACTGCGTTCGGATGCCAAGTGTGACAAATATGTCTTTGTTGTCATGAAAACGGGTCAAAGCTTCATCGAGGAGTTGCAGTGTCTCCGCTGAGTGACATGGATACTGTGCTAAGTACAGGAAGTCGAGGAGTCCGTGAAGAGTTCGAACAAGCTTAGCGCTTGAAATGTTGTTGGGAAGGGGAATGTCGATAATAACACCCAGAAGAAAGCGGCAAATCTGATTGTGCTCAGCACCACTGACTCTTGCGAGACTAGAGATGCCCTTGTTGAAGATGCGAATATTATGGTTTGGAGGGAGTCGACGGCAACGGGCATCAATCTCTGCTTCTCCAAAAGCCGATTTGATCCAAGCAATCATGTGTTTCACGAGTCCTTGATATAGCTGGTGCAATACGTCGGGGGTAATCGCATGGAAGATATTCGACTTCGGAAGTCCTTGCCAGAAAGGGTGTTGAATAGGCTTCGAGCTTCTGCGGCATCACGGGGATTTTGATGGTGAGCTCGAGTTTCTTGATGATATTGATCTGCCAGTGACTCTTGCTCCGAATCTTGCTCACCAACATCAGGTGCATTAAGAACTGCTGGCTCCCACCCTATTTCGCCATCAAATACCACCTCCTCATCCGATGACTCATCTGCATCCTTGTCTCCTTCTACTACTCCATGGTCGTCTGGCCATTCAAAGTCTTCTTCGGTATAGTGACCAAAAAAGTCGCCTTCGAAATGTAGAACCTGACCACCCTCATCTATCTCATCAGCACCGTCCATATTTTCATCGATGCTGTTGGCATAACCAGTGGATGGGTGATATTCTGGTGCCGTTTCAGTTGGTATGTGGCCCGCTAGTTGTGCATTGCTTACTTGCTCATAATGAGCAAGACACTGCAGATTTCGAGACTGTGTGGCATGGCGGTGATATCCAGCCACAGTCAGGCCTTCTTTTCCACATGGACGACATTTTATGTTGCCTCTGATACTGTGCATTGTCGAGGATGCGATGGAAATGTTGGCTTTGGTGCTTAAGTGGTGAGTGGTGACGAAACGAGGTAGCCGAGGTAGATTTAGTGTTTAGCTTGCGGGCGGAACATGAACCTTCTTCAATTCGAACCACTTGTTACAGGTTGTCTTCCCCCATCAAAATTTCCCTCTTTTAATTCGCTTCTTGCTTCACACTCATTTCGTCAGTCTTTTTCTTACAACTATATTTTACTTACCATGCCTCCAAAGGCTCCTGTGACACCCGGAGAAAAAGCTGCAGCAAAACGGCTGCAGAAGAAGGTTGAAATGGCATCCGCACACTCTGCTCAAGCAGCCCAAGCCAAGTGGCTCGTACACCACCTCCATGATTCCAACTTCAGACTCGGATGACGATCAAGCCACAAGTACTAGTCAAACCACGAAGGCTGTTACAAGTAAGACCAAGTTCAATGTATGTGATTCATGTTTTCTACACTACGTGTTGTTGATGACTTATTTAACAAAGGATGTCCCTATTACCAAGAAAAGGGCCAAGAAAACTGTGCACAAGGCTGCGGAGGTATGTTTTGCATTCGAGTTGCATTCTGAATCTAGATTGGCTGAATTTACAGACTCCGCACTTCACTGCGGCACTATCAACCTCGAGCATTCCGGATTTGCTAACTCGTAATAGTACCCGCTTGGAAGACACTTGGTCTTTGTTAACACATCTTGTGTGGAACGGCAACAACACAATCAATCTCCTCAGTCAACAACCTCATATCCAAGTAATTCTTCATGCTGCCATTCAGCTTGTCGAACGAGAGCTGGTATTTGAGTGCTACTTTCCACGACCGAAACATCGCCACACCATGATGGTCAACTTAGTACTTGAAGCCGCATCATCAGCAGAGCATAAAGAAGTCTTACAGCGCTTGGAACAAGACCAAGCTTACATGAAAGCTTTCACCAGAGTGGTGAGTTTCTTGTCAATACTTTCGCAACCCACAATTCTCATGCAAGTGGTGCTACTGATTAGCCAGATGGGCGTATTGGGTTGATTCGCAAGAAACTCAAGGAGATTTCGGATCGCGTCGTTCCTGGTGCATATGGGGTCAAGACGGGTGATGACGAGAAGATCAACCGCCTGCTCAATCTCCTGACTTTCATTTACAAGTTTGACACCAAGGTTCGGTTTAGCTCATCGCAAATGTTGATCCTCTTTGACTTTTAGGACATGACAGGGCAATCCCATCTTGAGTCAGCCATTTGACCATCCCGCTATCAACACTGTATGCCAGTTAGCCTTTTTTACGAGTCAGGACCAGGTTGGGAAGAAGTATAAGGATCGGTTTGTCTCTGTGCTTGATGACAACGATGAACCCGAGATCCCGAGTGCCATGGTCTCAGCTGTGGTTACTGCGGTGCGTCGTATTCTAACTATTCAAGCGCTATCTCACTGTGTTCTACCAGATTTTTCCTTCCCTACTTGATCTGAAGTCCGTTGTTGATGTAGGTCGCGAGCGTGGTGATTTCGGGCAAAGTCTCATCGGCATGTTTGACAACAATATGGAAATGCTCAACGGAATCTACACCAAGGGCCCGCATGTTTACCATTCTCTCATGGCTCGAAAATACAAGGCTGTTAGGTATGTGCTAGTCTCACATCTTTGTTGCATGCTGCTCATAACTTTCTGCAGCAATGTGGTTGACTTTGCATCCGCCGAGTTGAAAGCAGCATTTGCGCGAATCAATTTCGATGGGATGAGTATCGACTAGGGCATTCCTGATAGCACAAGGACTTTGCGTTACAACTTTTGTCTCATTTCCTCGTTTTCATATCTTGTGATTTGCGATATTCTAGTATATACCCTGATTTAATCACATTATAATCATTTTGTTGTATTCATGTGGATTTTTGTAAATTTTCACCCATCCGTAGAGGGACTTGGAATATTTTAATGTATTTTCAGAAAGTCAGAAAATTTCAGAAAATCTTATGAAATCTTCGCGGGAGGTTTTCCCTGATGAATAATGCAAATATATCCAAATGTTATATCACAGTGCCAATGCCAATAGTATGTCTACCGCGTCCGAGGAAGAACAAAAATTCCACCAAGTCAGTTTCACTAATGAAATTCATATCTCACACCATTGAGATTCATCAGTAAACTACAATGTTCTGTACAGATCTGTACAGAGCTGTACAGTGTCACAGGGCCACAGCTTGGTCCCTACTGGACAGTTCACTACAGTATTACATCACATTGTGAATTTTTGTACAGACATTCACAGACACCCAGATTGAAGGTCTTGTACAGAATTTGCCAATAACATACCAATTGCTCAACTGTCTTCGCACATACAGAGTTTGCCAATGTCATATCAATTGCCCAACTGTCTTCACATGTACAAATAGGACAACAATCGTGATATGTATTCAATTGGCAGAAAACATGAATGCATGGTATGCTAAAAGTAAGGACTTGTAGTAAAGGAACTTAATCAAGCAGAACCTGTAGATGATGATGCTTCGAAACATCGTTGCCGTCAACCTTGAAGGACTGCGCCCTGCGTGAAATATATATATATATTAGTATTGAAAAACTCGAAAAAAAACTTGCCATCCGGACACAGCCCATGAACGAAGCTGCTCTACCAGCTTGGGTCCGTGATAAGGATCCCAAATGATATCGTTTAGTAGCCCAACCATCTTGATATAGATTGACTTGTACTCTTTGGCAGAAAACTTCGGGTACAACTTTCCATTACTGTACTTGACTACACCGTCGAGGACGCAATTGAACTTGAAAAGTGTCAGTATATTGTCAAGTAAAAGTATCACAACATACCACAGTGCAAACCAAAGCTAAGCACTCCAGTGGTAGCTGCTCATGGAAAACCTCAGGTCTCCTGCGAGCAATACGATAAGACCCAGTATAGAAGAACAAAATGACAGCTTCGTGGAGCGCGGGGTGAGCAACATTTTGATTTTTCCCGATACTATCAACAACCATTGTGGAGAAAAAAGACGATTCAAGTAGTTTTGCAGCGCATTCTTCAACCCACATAGCACGTTCTTGGGGGGGAACATGAGATGGCGGGATGAGGTCATACATAGAGGGTGTGATACTGATGGCGATTTTCTTGAGGTCCGAGTGCCATGTCGATAGATCTTCAAACAGCTGAAATAAAAACAAGCACATCAGATACAGGCATGCGACCAAAAACACAGACACACGAGCTTGGCCATCTCAGGCTTGTAACCAGGCCAAATATCTAATAGATGAGTGAGCAAGCTGTTTCAAGGGGAAAAGCAATACTCACTGCCTTCAACTTGTTGGCCGCTTTCGAGCCATTGTACAAGCAAAGCTGTAAGGATCTCAGGGATGGTTCCCGACAAGCCATCAACGAAGGTCGGGAACAGATTTTCTATCGTGTGCTGAACATGGCACTCTCCCTTTGTTTCCTCAAGGAACCTCTTTCAATGAGGACCATACCATCCCAGCTGCATAGCCTTAGGACCTTCACCTGTTATCTTGGCTGATACCTTACGAGCTTTGATATTTGTATCACTTGGCTTGGAATTGGGAGGTTTGGTCTCAGCCTGACACAAAAGATTGAGGACCGCAGGATCAGGCAGGCGGGGATGTCCATTTCGCTTGTGGTGGAGCTGTAGAACATCATCAGGAATATTCTCTGCGGGCTTCAAGGAAGAGAAGGTTAGCAGACTCCAGAAAAACAAATGATATATACCTGGATATTGTCATTGTCACTGGACGTGCCAGCTGCTAAATTCTTATCAGCCATGTTATCATCCTTGTCGTGTGAGTGTTGAAATTCGAAATCAGTTGGAAGAGCAGTGGTGACCCAAGGTTGTGAGGGCTCAGGTCCTTTGAAAAACCTGTCTCATGCTCAGTGTGATCAAAATTGTGAGAGTGAATCACTTACCAGGATGTGCAGTAAGGCGCCCATGCGCTGCTCCCCATCTGACCTCCTGGCCTTCAACATCGCCTTCTTCTTCTTCCTCATCCTCCTCTTCATCGTCATCAGCGTGACCTCCATCGTCATCATTGTCGTCAGTAGATGCCTCTGAACTTTTGGATCCGGTATATCCAGCTCCCGAACATACATCTCCAGCTGACAATAGAGCAGGGTCTAGGTTCTTGTGGAACATAGTGTTAGGTTGCACACTCGACCTGGATTTTGAAGGTGCTGGTTGCGCCAAATCGTTGTTTCTGGAGGTGGCAGTGGGAAGAAGACGCCTATCCAAGGAAACTGACAGAGCACGTTTTTCCCTAGCGGCCGCTACAAAGGGGTTATTAAGTGCTTGCAAGTCGGGCTCCATGCTGGGAGGGATGATAGACTGCGCAAAGCCAAACCGGCCACCAGGTTGGCGGTGAGAAAAGGTGGGTTGCGTATTCGACGCGTCCGCGTCAGTAGTAGGAGTGAGAGCGTTCTTTGTCACTTTACTGGTAACTTTCTTCCTCCCTATTTTAGAAGTTGCAGAATCGACCACTGTTTCCGAGACGGTATATGGTGGAGGAGGTTTCTGTCTGTATTCAACATTACCATCTAAGATTAATAAAAACAGACTTGCCTTTGAGCGACTGCCACAACCCTTACGAGACAGTTCGGGTGCAAGAGGATTGGTTGGTACATCTAAGTCAAGGGAGGTGGAGCCCTTGGGCTGAGTAGTCTGCGCGGGGCATCCAAGAGAGCACCAATTTTTTCCAGCTGCTCTGCCCTACCTCCTTTTCCTGCCCCAGGACGCCCAGAATGTCGAGCTGACGGTTTGTCTGCAAGAATTGGCTCCTGCAACACCACAGATGCCTGGGCCCCTGCACGCGACTTCTTTGCAGAGTTTGCTTGACCATCAGAATCCACAGCTTTACACTTTGTTTTCTTCTGGCTAGCACAGGGAGGCATGACTGGACCACACTGAGAGTAGAAATAGTGATAAAATCAGTACGAGTAAATCACCAGGAGATACACACCAACTTTTAAGGCTTGGAAAAGTTCGACTCGTAATTGGACAATCACAAATATATGTCGAATATCTCCGGTGCTTGCAGGTAACATGAGAGAATCTTGCGAAGCTGAATGTAATTTCTTTCAGAAATATGAGTCGAGCGCTGCCTGCATGTAGAGAGTGTGACTGAGCATGTTGAAGGTAGTAGTAATGATACATGCTTTATTTTACACTAAGTACATAATGGAGATATCATGTGACTCATACTTGTATCATATATCAACATATGTAAACACGTTGTCTTCTTAGATAGATGATCTATAGATAAACACCTACAAAAACAAATATCTCCACGGTCAGTGATTCAGACAAATACCAATGACTGATAATGTGGTTGTTTGTGGGTGGCTGTTTACACTTCCCCAAGCTATGCTCAGACAAAAGCACTTTTGTGAGGTCAGAACCGAAATGCAATCACTCCAACGGTATGGCAGCGATTAAAGACAAAGAGAAAATCAGCCAACAGTATGGTACTGATGAAAACAAACAGAATGATAAGAGAAACCCTTCCTTCAGTAGCAATGCTTTTCATAATGAACTTATTACAGAAAGTTGTGCGAAGTTACAACAATCACCCCCTCAGCACAAACAGGTAGAATCAAAGGTCAGGACTAATCAATGCTCAGTAGAACTCTTAGTTCACTATTGAACCTGCTGCCAAGGAACTCACGATGAGTATTAAACAGAATCAGGAACAGACATCCTTGGCTTTTAGTACCAAGTCCCCTATTCAACAACTAAAGTCTAGCAGACAAAGAAAACCCTGGCTTAGTATCGCTACTCTGATGAGTGAGGTCAAGCGTCACTATTAACTCCTGAAGTCTTCCCACTAAACCTCTTGCTTAGATGGACGTAAAGACAACACAAAAATCCCGAAACAAATTCAGAACAATAACACCTGAACTTAAAGGAAGTGAAAAGAAAAAGACAAACACAGAAAAAGAAATAAAGAAAGAAAACTAAAGATTCACCAGTAGAAAATCAGAGAAAAAAAAGATTGCTCGCTGTTGAGCATAGTGAGCTCAAAGTATTCTTCAGTAGTTGATGACGATCTAAGGGTATTGCTGGCTGTTGTTCATGATGACCTCTCAGTTAGTTGCTTAACAGCTCTTGTCACTGTTGCTGACACTGATCACACTTCACACTTAGTTCTATGCTTTTTCAAAGTGGGGCCTCTTATTATTATGAGCAAAAATTGGGGTCTTTATATAGACAAAAGGTGGTGGCTGTGCTACTATTTCCCACATTCCTAAGGGGAATGGGCTTATTCAGACTGTACCAGTAACTATTTACATGAGTCATTTGTATCATGATTGTGTCATTAGTCCTTGGTCATTTCAAGATATGACTTTGCCATAATTTGATGTTAGGTCATAGGTCACCTGACTGTTAGAATTCATAAGGCTTAGTCTCATGTGATCAAAGATCATGTGATAAGCTGATTATGTTATGCAAAAGAAATATTCAAGATTTTTGTTGGTTGGTGCCTTGTTCTGATGTTACATTGTTACCCGTAGAAATGACGCGAGCTATGTATTTAGGGTTTCAAAGGAATTCTCACAGTGTGAGTTATGCGAGAATTATTTTTCATAGTTGCCTGACATGTGTGGGATTTATTCTGAGTCATCATTGAAGGTGACTAATCAAATTTTATCACAAACATTACATATACAAAATTATTCAGCCCATCTCAGTCTGAGTTCCGTTGAAAAGATGAAATACAATATTTGTCTGAGCTGCATTCTGGCTTTAGAGTAGAAGGAAATGGTTTCATAGTGATTTCTAGGGTATTAGGCTCATGGGAGAGCATTAGTCATCCATGCATCGAACCAGTTTGGTGCAGGTCAGCATCAGGTATGTATTACTATTCGATCAAACTCTACTACTCAGTTTTGTTCCTCTTCGGCTTGGGTATGGCTTCCATCGTCCACCAGTGATCAACCACTCGCTTCTGTCATGTCTCATCTACAAGCGGTGACATACTTTCCTCATCGTTCCGGGGTGGCGTGAGCGAACCTGCCGCTGAGAGAATTACCCATTTAGAGACTAGGAGCCCAGCAGAGTCCTCCTTCGGAAGTGCAGCGATGTGTCTACCCAGCAGATCAATTACGTTGTTGAAGAGCAACTAATCAGGGTTTTAACGAGGTCATACCACTCTAACACGAGTGGAAGAAGAGACTCAAAGTAGGGATCAAATTGTCGGGAGAGTTCCTTAGTGTAATGTTCAGATTGGTGAAAAAATCGAGTCTTGCTGTCCCCGCACTTTTGGTATGTGGACGCGGACCATTCTTGCATTATTCATTTGACGCGCTGTAATGAATACTGTGGGAGAATAGTAGGGAGAACACACTTCATGCTGAGAGGGCCCCTGAATTCGATACAGACCCAGATGAAAACGTAAAACATCGATTCGAGATCGTCCTGATAGACATGGGTGACCATGGGGGGTGGGTATGGTTTTGATCCTGAGGCTCGTGTACCCAAGCGCTCATCAGATGGATCCGGTGTGTGGAGGTAAAGCTGGAAGAGAAGGGACCGCGACATGAAAGGTACTGTGCCCTGAGGTTGTAAAATGATATTGATTTAAATTCATATAATAGAAATGAATCAAAACACTAACCGTGCCCCCAACACCGTACTGATCGCCTCGTACAATTTCTACGGCAAACTCCCAATCTATCAACATTCCATGGGTGCCATCGCCATTGTCTTCAATCATTGCATTATTTAAACTACAATCATGATGAAGAACCCGGTTCTGCTCTACCGCTTGTTTCTGAACTGAATATTTTGTGAGTGCAATGGTTAGGTACATACAATCAAAATCACTTACTCTTTATAATATCCAGTATCGAGGTCAAGAACTCTGCGCGCGAATGGAATTCATACAAAGGTCACGTGGGGGGCTTCAAGACAAGGCGAACATGCGTACGGGAGGTGCCCTTTATGCTGCGTGAGACCTTTTGACGATACTTCACCGTTTCATTGACCTCACCGGGTTCCATCTCCACAAGCCAATATTCGACAAGGCGAGGAACACCACAAATCCCATCCATCTTCTCCATCATACGAATCTCATTCAGGACCTCTGATTTACTCCTGAGGACCCAGTGATCCTTGACGATATACTCTTCCTCATCCTTCCTCGCCAGATAGCACACTGTGCCACAACCAACAAGGCCTTCAGTGGAGAATATTAGATCCAGGATATCGTACATATTCTCATTTACTCGTATTTTTCCTATCGGCTCTGGGAGGGGTTCACTCAAAGAATCACTAGGGACTTTGTCTATGAGGGGAACCGGGTTGGGAGGGATGTTGGCTGTGGGGTTGGGCACTGCGTCCTCTATGGTATGTGGTGGCTCGCTCATGATCTCTTCGATCTCGGTGGTCTTGCTCTCCATGATCAGCACATCTGGGATCGCTTCAGCAGTCTGGTGAGAAGAAGATGAGGGTTTGGCAACACGGAAATCAGGGGATTGAAGTGTGCGATGAAGCATGTGTTTCAAGATAGTGATCATGGGGTCGAGTCCAATACACTCAAGATTGCCGAAGACAATGGATGAAAATATCCGTAAGTACTTGTCCGGCTCTCAATCAATATGTGTGCAAGGGCTGACAACTCCGCCCGAGTGGTCATATAGATGGACGCAAAGCTCGCGATACCCATTGCAAATGGAGACCAACAGTGTGAAGCGTCTCCACGGTTGGTGTTTGAGAAGCAGGTAAGCCTTGGTGTCGAGAGTTTTGGCAAGGGGATGTGAAGGTAAGTAGGCACTTGAAGTCAGCTCACATACGGCCTTGATTGTATCCCATCTAACCTCAATATCATCGAGTATGGTGAGGGCTGGTTTGCATGCGATTTCATCGCCACGTATTGCAGATGAGGAGTTTGATGTGCTCCAGATACGAGATAAGTTACACTTCTGAGCGAGTGCAGGCTTCTGCAGGAGGAGGGCAAAGGTAAGGAGGTTATTGAAGGATGCAAAAACCTGTTCGGTCAGTCCATGGTTTTGTAGAATCACGGTCGATTTCATGGAGCACTGGGGCTTTGTCACTACTGGCAGAGCTGGCATTTGTTGACATTACGTCGTCCTCAGGCTGGCCAACACTCTCAACCTGGGACTCAGAGGCAGCAGGTGTGTCAGTGTCATCGACAATAACCCAATCTCCCGACCTCTGATTTGCAGCACCACTATTTTCTCCTTCCCTCTCTCCCTGGTCCGTGCTACTGTTCTCTCCTGCCTGATTACTTCTCTCCCCACTGGTAGCGAGTTTGTCTAAATGTGACTCTGGGAGTGGCCAGTTCCAACAGCATGCGCGTGTATCATAGAGTGGTATGAGGGTTGCCTCATCTTCAATGTGCTGAAATGCTTCGATCCTGGTATCAGGGTGGATTTTCTTCAACGGAACTTTGAGATCCTTTGCTTTGGGAACTTCAGTCATACAGGACTTGAAAATCAGCAATAATACATGGCCAAGCTCATCACTGTTGGCAGGTGAAGATTCCTGCAAAATCAAGCGAATAAGTTCCGAGCTGGTGAGTCTATCCATTGTTGTTACGTCGTGAACCTCAGGAGCTGACATCAAAGATGCCAGCTTCATCCTGAGGCCCACTGAACAGAAATGTTTACCGAATGGCATGAGGGAGCGCTAGTATGAATGCATGGATACAGGTACGAGAATAATCTTTGATCCATTTGGCATGTCTACTACAAAAATGACCCTATCTTGTATCAAATCTCAGGCTGATAGCACAAAGAAGGTGCTTTTATCCCAGAATTCATTCAGCCAAAACTCAGCAGCATGCTCTCAACTGTTATAGGCCGAGAGATGCTTGTCAGCAGTAGCGCCAAAGTGAGGGACCAGTTGAACAGGAGCCCTCAATTGAGATACCAGAATAATGTCGCCCATCCGGTTTCCATTCGAGTGCTTCGCTCGCTTCAGGGCATAAAGCCGTGTGGTTGGATCACGATCATTTGAAAAATCAAAACATTGGACATACATGAGGAACCGATCCTTCCAGGACCATTGTACACCACTCTTGCCAATGGGTCGCATAATGAGTCTTATCTGCGTGATTGTATGACCTGTAACAGTGAGTGAACATACATTTATTGTAACGCAAGACAGAAAGTACCCAAAAGACGACTACTAGGCCATGGGTAGCCTGCACTGGTCTCAACAATGACTGTATCATAACGGCCAAGAATCCATGGGTTGTTTGGTGGTACACAATTTAGTGTCTGAGCTGGTTTGATTGTGTGAGTGTCATGGAAGTCCATCTCCTGCAAGCGAATTTTGAACCAGACTTGTACTTTGTCGAATGGGAGGACAGCATTAGATCCAGCCCTTCTAGGGCCGCTTATTGAATGAACATGCTGGTGTCCATAAGTCGCCTCACGTTGAAGGAAATCAGCTATGGCTGGTTGTAGATCTGGTAAGCCAAATTTAATCGTGACTTCATCAATGGTGATGCTCCGAATGGAGGGGTCATATCCAAGATGAAAGGCAGTGCGTTTGTCAACAAAGGAGCGAGGTGGTACAGGCACAGAACCCACTTCTTGGTGCTGAAGAGCCTTCGCAATCACAAAATAATTTGTAGTTTGGCGTGGGTGTTGAGTCGGGTCGATAGGAACATCTTCTGTGTCAACATCAGCTTCAATATCGCTATCTTCAGCATCCAAGTCCAATCCCTCTTCCTCACCCCTCTGTCCGTGATCCAGAAGGCTAGTGGCGAGCTCAAAACGACGACATTTTTCAGCACGGTCGAGGTGTTGACAAATTTGTGTGTCATAATTTTTGTTATTGCTTGATCTGGCGGGATCTTTGATCTCCATAATGTGAGTGTGTTCAGTGATGTCGGCAGACCACTGTCTTATGATGCCAGAGTTGCAAATGCTGGGAATGATACTCTGCATTAGCTCCAGCTTGGGGATATCAAAGTTGTCGATGTGTCTATTGCCCTTCCCCCGACGAGCCACAGCAGCAAGGATTGCATCCTTGTTCGTGTGGAACTCAGTTAGAGCACCTGAGATGTGCCCAAGATCTTCCTCATCAATACGTGGCGACTGTATGAGATACCAGAACTGCATGAGTGCACGTACAGCAGCAATGACACAAGGAGGTGCTGCATCCACACTGATAGCAATGATATAATGTTGAATTTCTCGTTCACAGCGACCAGTGACTTGTTTTAGTTTGGAGATGCCACCGTAAAAGTGTTGATAACCGGTGATGGGCTGTAACACTGAGAATTGGAAATCTATTTCAGAATCTCCAACAGCGCAAATGAGCCATTGGGCGTCATGGTCAAAGAATTCTTTATGAAGATGATGGAGTGATTCCGGTGTAAGAAACTGGGAGGGGTCTGCTAGTGCATAGTCCCACCAGAACAGTTTGTCAATGCCATTTAGTCGGAATTTCCGTGCCTCATGGAAATATGCCTCATATCATTAGGATCAGCACGTGAGCACACAACAGCGAGCTGTGCAATCGTCGTGATTTCATCCGGGGTTCATGACGGAATGCATCCCTGAACTGCTTATACATTGCCATCATCACTGGCGACATTTTTCCACCAACGGCTGCCAGCATCATGGCCTCGGGGGTGTCGGCGATATATGTAGCTCGCGAGAGCAGTGAAGCAATACCGACTGCATCCGATAGGATCAGACAGCATGACACCATGTCGAGTGGATTACTTGAGCGGTTCAAGAACGATATTGAGGCATTGATGTATAAGGCAATCCTCCAATACGCCCTTCATTCGCTTTTTCTTGTGAATGAACTTGGGGACTGGTAACAGGGCAGCGAGAATGAAAGAGTTGGTTGACGATTTTGAGCATACGTTCATATGGATGTTGGAGAGGCTAATTCGGAGCAGATGAGCTATGTGATCCCCCGTTAATGCAGTGATGTTCGTCTTGTCAGAGGAGAGAATGGTGCCGAGGAGGGTTGCACCCTTGGGTATCGTCGACTTTAAAAATACATGAGTGCCAGACCTCAATATTCGACTATCTACTCACCTGCATATCCCATGCATCGTTTCCTGACATCCATCCGGTGTATACACGGCATAGTCTCTCTGCAGTAGAGTAAATCTTGCGAGGCGTGAGATCCATATGATGGTGAAATAGTGGGTGATTAAAGATGCTGGTGATACATTCAATAGGGTCACGCCAGTACAGAATTACTGGCGACTTTGTAGGATGCGATGTATGAATGACTTGAGACTTTCAGCGTGGACCGCTGGGCAGCATCTCAGCTCGACCGCGTAGTTCTCTGGCGGAGCGGAATGACAAGGGTAAATCCTTGATCTAAATAGATGTGAATCGTTAGCAGTGAAAGTGAAGTAGACAAACTGACCATTTCGAGTGATAGAAAAGAGTCGATCTTCCCCATGCTTAGGCCCGAATGTAAGAGCCATGCTGCAAGTTGCCAATCTCGTCGACTGCTAAATGGATAATAGAGGTTCGTTTTCTGATATACGCTGTTTTCATCTGCATCAAACAGCCCCAGAAATGTGTAGCCATCCTCATAGGCCAGAGGAGGCTCTGGAAAGTAGTCGATTACTTCACCGGTGTGCACTTTATTTCCATCAGGGATGTCCTCTCCTCCTCCACCAAAATAATAAAAATCTTCCTCGCCTCCAAGTCCCGGGTCGTGAGAAACATCACGAGGAAGTCCAACAAAGTCCTCATCATCCGCAGAGTCCATGTTATGATCTTCACCAGGCAAAATGGAGTTGATCATATCCTCTAACAACATGTTGCATCCAGACCGAGGCTGGCTCATATGACAAGCAACGGAAGTGTGGTCTTTGAAGATTTTGCCGCATGAGGGGCAGCTGGAATCATGATGAGACATACTAGTAAGACGGTCAGCCTAGTAAGAAACACAGACTTCAGTAATATGGCTGATACTAATACCGGCATTTCCAGAAACTATCTCTCAATACACAATGACTATCAATCTGTGCGCATTATCAACAAAAGTGTCAGGTCTAGCTGACAACATTCTTCAGCACCATGATGACGCGAGACCAGGGACATGCGGGATGGACTTTTATGAGCTTATTGAAGCTATTAGTTCCTTGGTAAAGTCAATTCTACATTTCTCATTTCTTGAAGGCACCTAAAATTTCATCAGTCAATACAGAGTCCAACTAATTCTGAAGCGAAACTTGTTATGGACCTTGCACGAGCCAAGCGTGAAGTATTTTGGGCACAAAAGGCACTTGCAGAGTGTTTACTACAGGAAAATGAAGTATTATCGAGCTTGCTCAGATTTCGAGTAGATGTCATGGGGAAGACGCTAGACGATGCAGACATGGGCCTGGGGTGCATGAGACTTGCCTTCAAACAGCATGGCTGGTCTCATTTATCTGCAAGACAACGCGAAAGTGATCATCAACGTGCCGGTAAGTTTATGATCTGTGAGAGAAAGCAATTGTACTTATCAAGTGCAGAAAATTCATCATCTGCTATGACAGAAGGTCCAAGTGGCCATGCTCTCAGTATCCAGCTTGACTGACCTGTTTGTCATGGACGGTTTGCACTACTATATGTCACATTATGGTATTCGCCTCGTGTACTACTAGCACTATTAGTACTATGTGTTTTCCTTACAGTTCATACAACATTTATGCTCATGTTGTTATCTCGGTTTGAATGTAATTTTGCATTGTCCGAAGTCCATCCATAGTCTGAAATAAAAGATTGAGTTCGCATTTCTATGGTATTACTAGTACTAGTATATACTACTTACTACTAGTGGCTATTCAAACTCGGACTCCTTCGACTTTCAAATGCAAAGTCCTGTGAGTCATGTCGAACTGTGAGTGATTATAATAAATGTATACCTTGTGGTACTATTTTCAGGTTGTGCCCATTTTTTTTGGTGATTCATTGAAATTCATGTGTCAAACCATTAAGATCCATTGGCCTAACTAGTGACATTCCAGCCCAGCTTGAACTCAAAGCTCCGGCTTAGGCTTGCCATGTTTCAAGCCTAGGCCATGAGCCCAAGCTAGCCCAAAGCTATGGCTTGAGCTGTACTAGGCCACGGCTTAGTGGTATGCAAAGTTGTAGATTCATAGTGTAGTAGCACAAGAAAATACATGAAGTAATGCTACTCAGAAACCTTGTCATCATCTGAAATCAAAGCATCCCAAGCATCCTCCTCATCTGCAGCAACATCATCTCCAGTCCTCTCCTCACTGTCAGCTTCCAATTCAGAGTTGTCAAATTCCTCTAACTCCAAGAGAGAGGATGGTCCAGGCTTGTAAAAGAGAAGGTCATGTCGTATTGCACATTTGAGACATTGGGGAGCTTCAACGATGTCTCCTTTAAGCTGGTTCCATTGTTTACTGATGGTTATGCCACCTTGAGAAAATGTACGCTCGCTCGAGACTGATGATGACATGATGGATAGGTAATCTCATGCGACTGAGGCCCATACTAGATATCTTGGTGAATTTATCTTGAGAAAAATTGACATCAGTGCGAATTTTCCAAGTAGCACAAGCCATAGAATGTACCCCCCACCAATGAATGCCAGATACACCTGCTGGTAGAGCTGCCTCAACAGTCTCCAAATAGCTCATAAATTTGGCCCTCCATGACTGTAATGGATCACCAATGGAAGTAGGGGTGGGGTTCATAAGTATGTTGTCCTCCGAATTGCTGATGACTTCATGGATGAGTGACTTGAGACCACCTGCCTTGCTTTTCTTGGACATGGGCTGGGATGACGACAAAAATGTAGCGTCTTCATTCAGCTCACGATGACAATCTTTGAACTGGTGGAAAAATCGGACTATCGTGCAAAGCCAAAAAAAGCTCAACTCACCACTTGCTCCCCAGTGCTTACCACATCATCATGCAAATTTTCTGGCCAGTGGTGCTTGAAATAAGTCATTTTCCCTACTAGATCAAGCACTACATTTGCAAGCATTAGAGTGATCATTGAATTATGAATAACAACTTACAGATTGCCATTATATATGCAGGGACTGCATTGTCTTCTCATAGTACTCATCTACCTTGACAGCAGCTGCTTAAAGGGACGTAGTGAACGATGCATACTTTGACCTTTCAGCATGTGAAGACCAAGCCCTGTAGAGGGTTTTGAGCGCTGGGATTGTGAGATGCAAAGTCGAGCCACGTTGAGATGAGAACACTTGCTGTGCGACATCAGAATACTAAACAAATTAACATAAGAAGTTAGTACACATAAATTAGAAACTCTCATACTGAAAGAAGATTAGTGAATTGGCCGACACGTGTCCATTCACCAGCTGAGAGTTGAAGACAGTTGATCTTGGCATGTTTTGCCAAGTCACACTCTTGACAACCTATCTTGTATACAAAAGTATCAACATGCTAGAGCCAATAATAAGCATCAATAAGTAGAAGTATGACAATATGAAATATGTACCTCCTTGTTTGTCTTGGCATGATTAAGCATAATATATGTCAAGGACCAACGAACTTTCATGTCAATCAACAGTTGGGTTGATTGAGACACTCCTGCTTTGATCTGCACACTCCGGTACATTTCCTTTCGCTTTGCAGATGAACATTTCTGCAGGACATCAATATATCTCAGTAGTGTCATATGATTCTAATGAAAATGAATGTACCTTGACGCAAATACTTCGAACAAGGGCTATTTCATCCTGAGTGGCCGGTTCATGACTTTTTGGTTCATGCGGGTTGTAATACAGCGATTTGCTGTACATGCTGATCAGACTCTGTGTTGCAAGATTAATGATGTGATCCAAGCAGCTGCACAAATAATGAGTGTCATAGCAAGTTCAGACAATGACAGGACTTACTTGATTTTGCGCTGGCGCCAGGGAAACACTTTGTTATATTTAGCCTCGTATAGGCATGCAAATTCTTGTAGTGTTGTCCTGTTGTTTGCAGCATTGTCGCAGGTGACATGCCCAAGCTAAGTTATATGAGTGCTGTAGGACGTCATAGTCAAATAAACTGATTTACCTTTTGTGCAATCCCAACATGATTGAGAATTTGACTAAGACCCTGCCCAGCCACTTGCTGCTATGTGCATTGTTGACTTTCGTGAACCCAAGGGGTGAGCTTTTAATTTCCCATTGCATGGGTACCTTCTCTTCAATCCAATGCCCCATGACAGCAAAATAACTGTCGATGTTCTCCGCTTGCCATGCATCGCAGGTGGTATTAATGTTTCCCTTAACAGCAGCACTCTATGAAGCCCAATGAGACAAAATACAACAAACAGACATCAAACAGACATCACTCATGTTCAGCATGGTCCTTAGCCTCGTAAGGTTGTTTTTAAACATTCTCATAATTTCGGCATGAGTGCCCTTCCTACCTGGAATCCTGACTCTGTTGGTTGCATGAGAAGCAACATGAATCAGCTCTTGAAATTTGGGGTGGTCAAGTGCTTGTATGGGCTAGAAAAATAAGCCGTCAGCCATGCTTTTGAATTGAGGAAGGCAGGTGTACTTGATCAGTCACCACAAGCCATTCAATGGCAGCTTGTCTGAACAACTTGTCAGAATACAGTACAACTCATTTGGCCTTGTGTTCAGTGAGATGGGCATTGATCCTCTGCTGTGCAGCGTTCTCCTTGCGAGCCCTCATGTTGCCAGGTAACATTGATTCAAATGAATGTTGGTTTGCCCATTTGCAATACTTGCTGGAAAAATGGGCCTTAGCATGGCGACAATGGGTGGTGATTTCATTGACGAGGACACATTTTTTCCTACAAACGAGTGAGTGAGTAGTATGAAAGTACAAAGGTAGACTTACGGGCAAACACTGCACTTTTGGTGTTTCTTCACTTTGCCATTGGCCCTGGTGTGCTCAAATGTCACTCCAAAGAATGTGTTGATATCAGCAGTTTTGCCTTCCCGAGATGATCCTGGGTCCCCAATAGAGACATCAATGTCGATGAGAACCCCATCTCCATCAACCAACTTGGGGGACTTCTCTGGGGCCTTCTGTTTCTTTCTACAAGGCTTAGGGTTGGTATGAGCATTCTCATGGACTGAGTCATGGTCTTCAACAGATTCATCTTTGATGTCAATGAAGGCATCAGGATGCAAGTGTTTGTTGGACAAGAGAATAGGTGAGGGTGGGGGAGGCATGTTGGACAAGGAAATAGCTGTGGGTGGGGGAGGCATGGGCTTGGGTTGGGCAGAAACCTCTAAAGCATGCTTGGCTGCCTTCACGGCACAGAATTTATTGATGGCTTTGGTTTGGGATGGAAGGGCGGCCTTCTCCAAGTGTTGGAGAAGAGCAGCAGTGAATTTGATCCTGCATATGGGACGAGAATGCATGATAGGTTCATCTTCACTATCTGTGTGGACTGTGCTGGTCATTGCAGGCTGCTAGGTAGATACAACACATATACATATACCACATATAAAAAATTGAATGTGATTTGAAAACAGATTAAGTTTGCGAAGGCAGCAAAGTTGAAGCACCAGGCAAGACTATAGAGGCGCATGGATTGCTGAATATTTGCTTTTCAAGACCAGACATCAGTAAATTACCAGGCTCTGTCCAGATCTGTACAGTGCGCCATACGTACAGCTTGGGCCCTACTAGCTAGTTCACCACAGTAGAACTTTTCTCTGTCAATCTCTGCACAGACACTCACAGACCTGCCCAGTGAGGTTTTGAATATAACATTTTTCTCTGTTTGTCTGTACAGATCTGTCCATGTTTGTGCAGGCACTCACAAACCACTCAGAAGGTGGCTTACTCAACTCGGATACAGTAGCAAACAAATGATGATATATTCAATCAGCAAGAAACACAATACTAGTAAATGACGAGCAAAGAGACAATATGAATGTGACAATTAACACTACGAAAATGCTGCTGGAGAACTCAATCAAGTTGGACGTGCAGGTGGTAATGTTTCAATGTATCAATGCCGTCAAGTTTGGATGCCTCCACCCTGGATAAATTCATTAGGGCCAAACACAATGCAAAAAGATTCCTTACCATCCAACTGTGGCCCATTCACGAAGCTGCTGCACCAGCTTTGGACCATGATATGGGTCTTTCATGACATCGTTGAGTAGTGCGAGCATCGAATGAAAAATGGACTCATACTCCTTGGAAGTGAATTTTGAATAGCACTTGCCATTACTGTTTTGCTTGAGGCCCTGGAAGACGCAATGAAACTGAAACAATGTGTCAGAACATTGACACATCAATATCGAGGACATACTGCCGTGCAAACAAGAGCTAAGCATTTCAGTGGGACCTCCTTCTGGAAAATGGCTGGTCACCTACGAGCAATGTGATAGGATCCGGTATAGAAGAATAGGGTGATCACATATTACAGTGACCTATCTCTGTATAATACGAGGGAATGAATGTGCATAATATCCCATATGATACGGGCCAGCAGACCATGGGCCCATGATAACAATATCCTCAACTATGATGGATGGGCCAGGAGGCAAATTATTCCTGATGGAGGCGGGTGGGCCCATGCAGGAAATATATAGAGTAGATGAGTGGGCCGATGTACATGAATATTAGGTAGATGGGTGGGCTGAGGTAGTTGGATATTATGCAGATGGGTATATTAAGGTAGATGTGTATGAGATAGATGGGTAGGTACTTGTTATCACATTCACGGGTGGGCCCAGACACATATTAAATTAGACGGGTGGGCCGAGGGTATCATAAAATATTGTATTAGACAGGTGGGCCCAGACACATATTAATTAGACTGTTGGGCCAAGGGTGTTGTATGGGATGTTGTATTAGATGGGTGGGCCGAGGGTGGTATAAAATATAGACGGGTGGGCCCATGTGTATCATAATTGTAGACATGATGGAGCTGAGGTAGTTGTACATCAACCAAATCAGAGGAGGTAATAAATCAAAGTTACCAAGTTCCCAGAGCATCAGGTGATCTCCTGACATGGCGGTGCGAAGCTTGTGTTGCCCTACGAGACACCAAGTTCCGACCACCAGAATTTGAGTCAACTATACCGAGTTCTGAGTTCTGGGACCCAGAACTCAACACATAATTTAGTTAATACTTTTTGATGGTGCACAGGTTGTCTTGCAGAATGTGGAATCAGGGGTGCGAAGCTTGTGTTGCCCTATGAGAAGCCAAGTTCCAACCACCAGAATTTGAGTCAACTGTACCGAGTTCCAAGGTCCGGGACCCGGAACTCAACACATAATTTAGTTAATACTTTCCGTGTTAAATGGCCAACTGAAGTTGAGATGTGTCTGAAGAGAGCAGGTGCTCTCTTGACATGGCCTTTGATGGTGCATAGGTTGTCTTGCAGAATGTGGAATCCGGGGTGCAAAGCTTGTGTTGCCCTACGAGAAGCCAAGTTCCGACCACCAAAATGTGAGTCAACCATACTCAGAGGAGGTAATGAATCAAAGTTACTGAGTTCCCAGAGCAGCAGGTGATCTCCTGACTTGGTGGTGCGAAGCTTGTATTGCCTTTTTTTTGTGTTTCCTTGTTGGATCTCCTATATGGTGATAACTTTCTGCTATTGAGGAGTGTTTCCTTGTTGGATCTCCTATATGGTGATAACTTTCTGAGACGCCAAGTTCCGACCACCCAAATTTGGGTCAACTGTACCGACTTCCGAGTTCTGGGAACCGGGAGTCGACAAATGAATATCTGATGACCAGCACACTTCCAATCAGGTAGTATTTCATTGAGCAATGGATAATAATACATCTTTGACAGCCAAAATTATCCCAGGCTCCCTTATCTGATCCTCTCTATCTCCACCCCCTTTAACACCAAAGTCCGGACATCCAGCATTCAGTGTCTGATTTCCCAAGATTAACATCCAGCATGAACAGTTCTTCCCCTTCCACTCCTGACAGCATAAACATCTGGCGCACTTGGGCCCTGACTGTGACTTATGAAGCAGGGGAATATACCGAACAGAAATTCAAGGCAGAGAAGACTGGAGGAGGCCCAGTCATACCTTCCCCCAACCTAGACACTGATCTGGTGATGGCATGTGATCACTTGGCTGATGTACTCATAAAGGCATCTAAAAATCCCAGTGGGTCTTCCTGCAGATTCGGAAAATTCATTTTATTATTCAAATTCCTGCATGACAGTTCAGATGCAGATGGATATTGCAAGATATAGCAAATTGATCTCCCTGAAAGACACCGGGCATAATGAACAGAGAGAGGCGAGGTAGCTTAAGAGGTCTCCTCCTGGCCATGAAGGCAAAAGGTTGGTCAATGAACCTGCCACAATTCTCGATGCATCCGGTGCCATCATTGCATGGTACCTCCAAGACGCCCTGACTGACACCACCCAGGTGTGTAATATACATTGTTGCTCAATGGATATTGAATATCAATGAAACCTACAGAAGGAAATCAGGGAGGCCACTGAGTTGCTTGCTCCAAGCCTCAAAAAAAGTGTAAGGGCTTATGGCAATTGGCGAACTAATCAAAAGTTGTTCAACCAGGGCTCGGAAGATGTTGGTGCAACTCCCAGATGCATCAATCTATCTCCAGCATGGTTTCAACAGGGACATGAGGTAGGATCTGATGAGATGGTGATTCCGGCAGTCATACTTACCAATCCCAAAGAATGTGTCCGATCCGGAGGTATCTGCATCATTGAAGGGACCTTCCTGCAAGAATATCCTCAAAGCCATTGCAAGGCCAGCAGCCATCGCGTCCGCGGCACTCAGAGTCATGCATCCTGAGCAGTACTGGGCAGGGTTGCAAACCTTGTCAAACCTTGGACATATAGCAGTAAGCAAGGATCTGCCACAGATGCCGGAGGCCCTGCAGTACTGGGCATCAGTGTTTAACACCCTCTCTATCATTTCCAATCGGGAAACCCCCAATCATCAAGACCATATGTCCATTGCTGAATGCTTCGACATTCTCACCACTGCGAGGAACTATTCTAATGCTCGGATGACAATGCCAAGCCTTCAGCTGGAGTTCAAGTACAATTCCGGCTGAATTATTGCGTTTTGTGGAAGGATTGTGAGACATGGAGTTTATGATGTGGAAGGGGATCAGATTGCTTGGGCATGGTATATGAGAGATTCTGTTCACATTTATGCTGGTGTTCCATCATGTGGATGGTCCATACAGTGTGTGACAGATCAAACAAAGAGCAAGCATTGTGACCTATATACATTCCAACAAATGAATACCATGTACCAATAGTTATCCGGACCTCAATACTCAATTTTGAGCATTTGCAAAGTGATATATGGGACTGAATAATTTGGATGCGAGCCTCGGTATTCGATAATTGGAACTTGAGACTTGACATATGGGAGTCCCGACACCTGGACCTCAGCACGTGATATTTGAGACTAGGGGAAGATGTATAAATACACTCAAATTAACATTTGTGATTGCCATACACATTTGACAAAACCCTGAACTCCGACATTGTGGACTCAGGACTCGACACTGTTCTGAATACCAGGTCCTGGAAGCCCAGGTCCCAAGTCCCGAATTTCGGAGTTCGGGGTTCAGTGACCCAGAGCTTGGCAACTGTGTCGGGTGTCAGGGTATCCAGAGCATTGGAGATAGCATGTGTCAGTATTTTGGGTTTCATGGTTCATATTTCGTGATTATGGAATTGGGCATTAGGAACTAGGTATTCAGAACAGTGTCAAGTCCCAGGGCATGAGCTCCGGGTCCTGAGTCCCAAACCCCAGGTCCTGAGTCCCGAATTTTGGAGGTCGGAGTTCGGTGACGTAGAGCTTGGCAACTGTGTTGGGTGTGGGTTTCGGGACTTGGGACTTGGAGCTCGTGACCTGGGACTCGACACTGTTCTGAATACCGAGTCCCTGATGCCCAATTCCATAATCATGAAACATGAACCATGAAACAGAAAATACTGACAGATGCTATCTCCAATGCTCCGAGTACCCTGACACCCAACACAGTTGCCGAGCTCTGGGTCGCCAAACCCCGAACTCTGAAATTCGGGACTTGGGACCCGGGGTTTGGGACTCGGGACTCAGAGCTTGTGCCCTGGGACTCAACACTGTTCTGAATACCTAGTCCCTAACACCCAATTCCATAATCACGAAATATGAACCATGAAACCCAAAATACTGACACATGTTATCTCCAATGCTCCGGATACCCTGACACCAAACACAGTTGCCGAGCTCCGGGTCGCCGAACCCCGAACTCTGAAATTCGGGACTCGGGACCTGGGCTTCCAGGACTCCGATGCAAGATTTTTGAATGCATAGAATATTTTACATCTTGTATAAAATGAAGACTGAATGGGACTACACTCCTTTGCCTTTCCTCAATTTCTCTAACATGTCAGTGTACATCTTCACCTCTGCCATCTTGGCTTTGATGCCCTGATCTTGCTCCTCCATCAATGCTTCCATGTGTTCTTTAATCCACCTCAGTCCCATAAGTGGTGGAGTCGAAGTGTTTTTCAACTTCTCTGGAAGAACCAAAGCATCATCCTCAACATTAAGCTAGAACAGATAAGTCATCAATCAAGGCAATTCAGCTAACATCTTACCGCCCAATACTGGTAGTGAGAGACGCAGGAAGCCATTATTTCATCCCACTGCCATGGTTGATCCGGGATTGTGGTGTTTCCCATCCACCATGGACATGTATATTGCGAACACAATCTGGGACAGGATGTCCTGCAATTGCCTCATCATCAAATGCAAGGAGGTGGAATGAAAAGACGTCGTCCAGGAACCGTGTTCCAGGTTAGCATGGGATACAACTTAAGGATATAAGCGACAGGGACCGGAAGAACCTGACACAATATTCTGTGAAGTGGAGTACTGCAGGAGTGGTGTGACAAAAGTCTGCTCAAATTCTTAGCATTGACCAACAAAGTCATCAGGGCAGTGGTAACATACATTCATCTCCCATTGCAGCCCGGCTTTAAAATACTTGATCTGGTCAGAAGATAGACCATTGTTGGCAGCTTCCATCCGATATTGAGAGATGCATGCACGGACCGCGCAATCCAGCCATTGCCAATGTGCAGGAAATAGTTGCAAGGCTCAGCTTCAGGGGTCGGTAATGGCTTCCGGCATTCAGAGTGCCAGAAGTGGATGCAGGAGTTGCAGGACATGGCTAATACAGGACTATGGCACTGGCAATGCAAGTGAAAGATGGTGAAGATGTGAAGATAAGAATCACTGATGGATGGATACGAAATTCAAACTCCGACATGGGCTGACCCGGACAATTCCTGGGCCTCAATTATGTATGTGGAAAAAGGGACTTCATGAGAAAACAATGTTCATTCATCTCCAGCCTCTATCAACACGTTTTGTAGGTCTTGAAAAGCTGCCTGCGCATCCTGTGCGAAGCAATGAATACATTTGGGATTGCCTTCCGGCATAGCATCCGTGACCCGGAAGGCGTTTCTCCAATGATTCCTGCATGTGGTCGCCCCATTGGGTTGCTTTTCCACAAAAAGAACTTACATGTCCAATCCATCTCCAATTTGACCAATATCATTTCTTCCCTCCATCGATCTCGTAGTGCCTTTGCCCTCGAGCCAATGGACTCGGTAAACTTGGCATGGGTCCAGTCAGGTAACCGTGGGATATGACATGCAAGCAGGAACTCACATTCCTCATTCCACGATTGATCAGGACCCCCGAGGTCGACTTCAACAGACCAAAACCAAGCCAAAGATTCATTTCGTTGACCTCGGGCATTTGGGTCACCCACTGCAGTGCTGATTTTGAGTTGCTCGCGAAGCAGGGGTTTGTATTTCTGAAGCTGGTCTTGCCCCGGCTCAAGTTTCATCATTTGCTTCCTGGTCTTTGTATATATGCTGGCATGGAGGGAGACTGCCTGCTGCACTGATGTCACCTGGGACCAAGCTCGAGTTTTCAGGGCCTGGGATTTGGCCTGCCTAACAGGTTGTTTGGAACAGGATGGCCTTGTTGCAAAGGTAAATGCGGAGATTAGTGAAGGACATCATTGGCCTGCCCTTCACAAAGCGACATCTTCCAGGGGAATCAGATCCTCTGCCATGCATCATCTGCATCTATCAACCCCCAGGTTTGATGGCAACGGGATTACAGTGAGCTCAGGAGAGTTTGTCCATGTATGAGATGTCTCTGTGAAATCCGCCGGGTCATCATCGAGATCATCTAGAATGTCTACGTTCAAGTCCTCAGGTTCATCATCTGCATCAAATCCCTCCCCGAGATGTGTTAGAGCAGACTGAGCAAATCCATCTATCTGGCCTTGGAGCCGATCGCGTTGACGGGCAATGTCTAATCTCTGTGTCTCAGTGGATCTTCTTCCGATCCTTCGGACCTCGATGAGCAATGCAATCTGAGCCTCTTCAATTGCTAACCCTGTTGATATCCACTTCGCCACAGATCTGCAAGAGGGTGCTGCATTGCGGGTGTTACCCTCCTCTAATAATCTAAGCTCGATCTCCTTTTTGCTAGGTGCTGAGTGCAATATTAATTCAGACCTCGATGGAGACAATGGAACTCAATGTACCCTTTTTTATATTGATCTCATATTCATCCATCGCCGAAGGATCATTCAATCTGCTTGACTGAGCTATCCTCTCCCTGGCTAACCATTCTGTCTTCAAATGTGAGGGTGCTGCTTCATCGAGTCTGTCAAATGCCTTTCCACTTTCCGAGATGCCATTCCTCGCCAGCTTGTATTTCCGGCATAGAGTCCTTTTCATGCGAATCATCTTGCAGAAATTGGAGTCATTCATCTGATAATCAAGGCATTCCTTTCGGTGGGGAGATGACATTCCCCGAGCAGCAGGGGAGATCAGATTGAGCCGTGCCCATAGCGTCTCCATGATCTCTCCATCGATCCGACCAATGCCTTCAATAAAGTTAGAAGCATATCGCACATAGCAGCTGTCCTGATGGCCATGAACGTGCCACAACCCAATTCCGGGAATGATGGTTAGTTGTGGTGCCATTTCTAGAAATCGACTTCGATCCACCCGAACCCGAAAGTGTTTGTTGTATTGACAATTAATATCATAGAAGGTGACAGCCCTGGTGATGCCTTCCATGTTGTGCCGGGAAGCCTCGCAAAGGGCGTAGTCCATGTTCATTTGTCTGCAAGTGACCCATGGTTAACTCGTGAATGCTTAATGGTGGATGTGGCTTGCCTTTCAGCCTTTCTGAAAATCCACCATGGAGTGAGGGACAAAGCAACCGTGTCTGGCACAGGCAACTCCCCCGATACCGGTGGACTCCAGCTTGTGCCGAGCAGCATTAGCTTGATTTACTGCCCGGTGGTTGTTGCAGCTTGATTTTTCCACCGTGTCAGCAGCCTCTGCCAGATGCATTTTATACCTGTCCTTTCCTACCATGAATCCAAGCCCATCGGACAGCCAAACTTCATCGAATGGCTTAATGGGATGCAGATGTTCCGCTTTGAAATTTCCGTCCATCACAAATGACCGGGTGTATTTCCAGCTTGGATCGCTAGTATTATTATGGAGGCCACATTGGTTGAGAATAGGACTCACTCATCAAGTGATTCATCCTCTGACAACAGCACATTAATCCCAGGCTGAGGACATGCCGGGCAAAATAATGCGAGTTCTCCTGTGCTCGGGTTATCAGAACGATGGCCAAAGCCATGCCATTTCATTGTCTTCAACTGCCTCCACTGTCGAGCGACCCTCATGAGCTCTCTGTATCGGTCCTTGCAATGTGCTTTGTCAATATGATGTCCAGTAGATGAAGAGGGTAAGGCATTACCTGGAACAAGGTGTGGAAACATGCTGGAGGTCATTCTCCGGAGCTTGCTGTAATAGTTCATCGCCGAGGTGCCGCATTCAAGGCTGTCCAGTAGAAAATCATTGAGCACTCTAAGGTGAACACAGTCTTTGGCCTGTTGAAAGATGCAGGGAAAAATCTGTGTCGAAACATTTGAATGTCCGGACTCATGGCATTCGGACATTCACAGCATCGAACCTCCAGGCGATGAACTCCGGACTTGTCCACAATGACCATGGTGTTTTCCTTTGGCTGGAACTCGGGTCCGGACACAAATGGCAGATCTTCAGGCTCAAGCAGGTCTTCAGGTTCATCTTCTTCAAACAAATTCCACCGATCGGTGACCGCCGGACATTGTTTGCCATCATGGCCAAGGTGTATAATGAGTCCCACATGAGCGAGACAACTCCGCTCGAAGAATCGCCCATTCCATTGACTGATCCAGTGGAAAGGATTGCTACAATGTTGACTCCTGCAACAGCCCGTGCAATAGAGTGGCTCGCCAAGACAATCTTGACATTTGTACACCCCATCCTGTTGGCAGATGATGCATCTCCTGTCTTCTGGTGGAGCTTCTCGATCGAGGAGGTGATGTAGATATGATTCCTGCCTTGGCAGCCATTGCCTGAGGTAGTCATTTTGACTCTGTATTTTTGAATGCTTAGCCATAGTTTGAATGACACTCCAACATTGTACATGAACTTGCCATGGTTTTTGGGAGTTGCAAAGGCTCAAATGAGCCTTGGTCCTGCTCGTAAGTATTGTCAGGAAAGTCTTCCCAAGGAGGTGGTGCCTCAACAGGCTGAATTGTTGGTGATTCTGGGGGAGAGTTAGGCATGGACCGGTAGGCATGTCGCCTCGTGCTTGCAAGTGGGACCTTGACCCAAGTCTTCCTACCTTTGCTGCCCCTTGCTTCCACCCTGTGAGATTTTTGCACTGGGGTGCATCTACCTATCTTCATCTTCTTTACTAATGTTGCAAGCAAGGCATCAGCTCAGGTGTAATGAATTTTTATTGCAATATGATGCGGTGCAGTCCTGTTGGCTCATTACAAATTCATTTCCATTAATGGCTTCTTGTCCAATATGGGCCGATTAACCTATCATTAGGCTTTGCTCAAAGTTCAACTTCGCACAATTCATTAATACTTCCACCTTGCAAATCCTTAGCCCTTTCTGCATTCTGATTCACTATGGCAAGAACAGGTCATTCCACCAACACGACTTCCGGAAGACACAGGGTGCGTCAACCACAGTCTCAGAAGCTCACGGACAAGGAGATTTTGGAGTTGAAGAACTACCTTCCTGAGTGGACTGCTGCCAAAAGGAGTGAGAAGCGAGCGATTTTCACTGCCATAGCAAGGGCGGCCAGGTTGTTTGCTCCTAAGTTGGACCAAAAACAATGGAAAAAGAGGAAGCAGGTGAGGCTTCTTTGTTGTGTTGAAAACCTAAATTTTCAACATTCACATTCTTTCATCAACTCTTAGGTGTACAAGACTTGGTTGTTCAACAACAAGAAAAAGAAGGAAAGGAAGGACATGATCAAGTATGGGAGGAAATGGACACCCAGGATGGTGGTCTACCAGCAGAAACGCGAAGAGGTGCTGAAGAGGATTGAGGACGAGTCTGGGGTAAAGCCAGGAGATCCTGGTATGTTCAAACATTATCAGGGCGGTGGTGAAGAGAGTCATGGCTGAATTGGATGACAACGAGTTGGAGAAGGCGAAAGAAACAGCGGAGGAGTGGTCCAACAACTGTCCGCCTCCGGAGATACAAGCACAAGTGGCTCGTAAGAAGGGTCCAGCATATATGGAGCACTTTCGAACGAGATGTGGAGGCAATGTGGGATGAGAGTTTTTGTGATGTCGGCTTGGAAGAATGAAAAGGGAGAGGTGCTGTTCGGGATGTGAGTACATTTATCCATTGACAGAGATCTTTCATCTCAAAATATTCATGCAGGCATAATGATAATGAGGCCTTAGTGGAATGGGGACAGCTTCATGAAGACGAAGGACTGGGAGGACATTGAGCCAGTGTGGCAGGAGTACATGCAGGAAACAGTTCAGTGAGTGTTTGAACCATGTATACCAGATTGAACATGTTGAGCATCACAATGATAGGCTACCAGTGGCACGGGATGGAGGACGTCAGATCAAGGGAGGTTGAAAGAGAATTCAAAAACCAGCCTTTGAACTCGAAATGGATGGGGAGGGTATGCCACTCCTTCCGGACATCACCGACACGAAACTTGAGGAGAAGAAGGCCATAGTGAGGGCCTTTCTTACATCGCACTATCGTGAGTTTCTCGTTGCATCACCTGACAAATTGTTCAATGCATGGACACAGGGATATGTTCCGGGAAGGACAAGGTGGTTGTGCCATGGAGTGCCATTGTACAAAGTCAGGATGACTTCGTGGCCCGGACGTATCTTCCGGCGGATGTTGACTTGAAGGAGCCTTCGAAGCTGCAAAATTGGGACACGACTGCCTTGCTCCATTTCTGGCGTGCTCGGCAGGAAACAGGCGAAGGTCCCACATTTCTGTTCAAAGCATGGAAGAACAATGATGGGGACATGGTACCATCTGTCATATCTGGCAAGTCGCCCTCTCCTCAGACTCGTATAGTGAGAAAGCAGCAGAGGGTTACCATCCGAAGGCCTCGGGATTCGTCGACAGAAGCCGAGAGTGATAAGGAGAGTGCCACTAATCATACCGAGGATGATGTGGATGATGACTTGGCTGACGGGAGACATCCGCTGAAGAAACCCAGGACAGGAGGTCCTACACCCAAAGGGACGGCAGTCCCACGTGCAATTCCAAAGCCTCGCCCGGCCAAGCCAGCCAAAAAAGGTGCATTACTGACATCGCGAATGGGCGACCTCCTTGCTGGGTTAACTGAAGACGCACCAGCGAGGTTAGAGATGATGTTGAAATGGAAGAGAGTATCACGCTGCCGGCACAGAAAAGGAGGCGGGGCAAGAGAGTCACGGTTGAAACCATCCACAAGGACGACCCGGAGTAAGTTGCAAAATGCCAGTAGACAGTACACCTAGAGTAACCAGAGCACAGGGATGCACTTAATGTAGATATATCTTCCTGCCCTCATGTGTAATGTCATATGTGCTATTGTGTATATGTCAAAGTACTAACGACCTAATCTTAAATCCCAAATCCCAAATCTCGAGTACCAAGGCCCGAGTACCAAACCCCGAGCACCGAGCACCGAGCACCGAGCACCGAGCACCGAGCACCGAGCACCGAGCACCGAGTACCGAGTACCGAGTACCGAGTACCGAGTACCGAGTACCGAGCACAGAAAACCGGGCAGCGAGTACTGAGTAGGTAGAGTATACAAGTACCAAGGACTAAGTACTGAGTAGGTAAAGTATACTGCAATGTGTCTACTATCAGACATTGATCGATATTTACATGTTACTTGAGTCCTCAAAGAACTCAATGAGGGTATCTAATACCTTCAGCATTTCAGAGGTTGACTCCCTTACCCTTTGCATCCTCCGGAGGTCCGCATCTGCTTTCTGCAGCTTGTCACATGTTTCAGCCCATGCCATCCTGAATGGTCTGTCAGCCTCAAGAAGTTGTGCTACTGCAGGGGCAGGAAGATTTCCATGACACTGTTGGTAATCACCCAGGCGATCTACAATTGTTTGAACTTGCAGGATATTAGCAGAGATAAATAATGAACTGTTGTATACTTACTTTCAGATTGATCATAAGATCCGATTGGCATGAACTCCTGAACCATGGCACACAGTGCTTCATTGTTGAGTTCCGGCTTGGGCGATTGATGTTTGGGAGTTTCTAAAATAGCTTGGGAGATAACATAATTAAGAAACATGAAATGATATAAATATACCTACAAGGTATGGGTGCCTCTGGTACAACTGGAGTAGCTGGATGAGGTTCGGGAGTCGATTCATTCACTAGGGAAATGCCATGAAAAGTGAACATGAAATGAAATGAATAACCTCACCAGCCATAGAAAAATCGGGTACAACCGGAGCATCATCAGACGAAATCAAGGTATCCTCCAGACCAAGATACAAGTCCGGGTCATCATACAGGGCCAGTCCATCCGCCAGGGCCGGATATGATGGATCTGGAAGTATGTGATGAATTTGCACATGTAGAATATGTACATTTGAATTGAGAAACATACCTGGAAATCCCATTCAACACATCCAAACCACCGGACGACCCAGAATCAGAGTCTTACTCATCATGCGGCCCAAGGTATATATTATCTAATGGATCTAAACCATGTCAGATCAATTGACTGAAATCAGAAAAAACAAAACATACCAAGGGACATCCGGGACTTGGAGGACTCATCCACATCCATTGAGGTGGATTCAGTGACTGGAGGGTCATGAAATCTGACCCCATGTTGAGAGCTCATGATATCTGATGAGCTGATGAACTGATGAACTGATGAACTGATTGATAAGAGATAATGTCGAAGTTCAACACATGGCCGGCGATTGCCAAAAGTTGAACCATGACCAAACAAAGACAAACAATCAACAAAACATCGTCCCTCAATTGTATTGTTTCTTTGAAACATCATTCTAGTGATAACAGATTTACACCCTGCTTTCAATATTCTCAGATCTATCGACTCAATCCAAATGTCTACTCCAGCTCAATCTTCATTGGCTGACCTCAAGGCATCCACTGCTCAACTTGTGGGCATCATTGCCAGCGCAAGACACATCCCGGCCGGCTCAGTGGACGTCCACCTTGCTCTGATGAAGCAGGTCACCACTCTTTTGGTATGTTGAACTGATTAAATTAGTTTAACATTAATGTTTCTAATGTCTGGGTAGGCTGACATCATCCGGGCCCATGAGAAAGGGGAATACATCCCTGGAATTGTGGTGTCCTGCTCTAAGGAGCTGATGAGGGTGCATTCCATGACTCCCCGGGCATTGCCCAACTGGCACAGCATTAGCCATGATGACCCCCAGGTGGCTAGACACGCCTGGCGCAAGCAAGTCTGTGCCTGGGAGGCATTGGGTGACAATTCCTGTACTCTCCCTGTTGTTCCTAATGTTTCCACTGGCCAACTGACTGTCAACCTTCCGTCTACACCTGTTCCTTCACCTGCACCTGTCCCTTCTTCTGCCTCCGTTATTCCCTCCCCTCCGGTCGTCGCCAGCAATGTTGCCGGACCTTCCAGCAAGACGTACCCCAAGTTCCGGTGGAGAGGGGCCAGGGCTCGAACACCAAACAAGCTGAGAGACAGCCAAGCCAACCAAGCAGACTGCTATGGTGGTGGAATGATGAAGACCTAACCCTATGAACGAGGACCTATGACACCTACAGAGACCTCTGATACTCCTTGCTGGTGCCCCTGAGGCCAAACCCTCCTACTACACCGGGACAAAGGAAAAGGTAAGGCAGCTTCTGTTGACCTGGAGCCGGAAGTTGGGGGGAGCAACAAGAGGAAGTCTCCGATGATTTCTGGACACTCCTCCCAACCTCCGAAGTCAGTGATGAAGGCTCGCAAGCGTGTCAAGTTAAGTCAACTCCCCAAGTCGAAGCTGTTTGTCGAGTCGGAAGATGATAAAGACCCAATTGTTCAGGTATGTGTTCTGGCTTATTTGTGACATGCTCTCAATTTGTTGCAGCCGATTTCGCGTGGAGTGCCGGAGGTCGTCCTTCCCCAGCGCTCCACCATTGTTGTAAGGAAGCCCCAGTTGCCTCAGTTACTGGTTCCCCCAAGAAGCAATCATTTGGGCCTGCTTTGGTAAGTCTGATTTATCCATTTGGATTTTAAATGTATGCTCATGTGTCCACAGCTGACTGCCGGCAGTTGTCCGGAGGTCACGGTGAGTCATTTGGACTTGTCCGGAACTCACATGTATCATTTTCACTCATTCCCATTACATTAGAAATCTCCCATCAGTCGTCAGGAGGCTCGGGTAAGTCTTAGAAGTTCGCCAGGAACTCACATGTGTACTAACAATCTATCAGGCAACCTCCGGCAGTCGTCTGGAAGTCAAAGAGTCCTCTGATGATACTTCCAGTGCTTCAGATGGTGACCTGCCGGCCAATACCACATTTGATATCACTATTCCCGGCCCAGTGAGTACTCCAATTAATTCCCCTTAGTCCATCTACTAATGGATACCACAGAGCAACTCCTGCTATTATTGTGTCAAGGAGAATTGGCCCTGTGCGACTCGTTTGGACAAGAGGTCCAGCTTTCCCCTGCTTGTCTTGCATCCGCTGCTCCACCAAGAAGATCAAATGCAACCCTGCATCTCTGGGATCCCCACCCAGACGGACCTGAGGGAAGTCTACCACCGGCCGGATGTGTTCCAAGACACCTGCCCCTGCTCCATCTAATGCTCCGTCTCCCTCCCAGCCAAGGGCCCAAACTCATAATCAATCTTGTGGCCCATCCTGAACTCTGGCCATCCCTGCTGCAACTACACCCCAGGTGCAGTCACATGGTCGCAGCAAGACCATCACTATCAAGAAGACACCTGCACCTGCACCTGCCCCTGCACCTGTGCCAGCTTATAAGTCACCCAAACTTTTGATGACCGGCTGACCTAATTTTTGACTTAGCAGTTCAGTCTTCCAGTGTCGCAGTGCCTCGTGCAGCACTAGATGTTCCCATGCCAGATCTCCATTCCATGGCAATCACGATTCAGAATGGTGCAGCTCGCATCGCTCTTCTTGAGGCTCGGGTACAGGAGCAGGACACTAAGATTGATACCCTGCAATGCCTCCATGAAAGCCTCCGGCACATGGTGGTCGACCAGCACCCTTCATTTTCACTTCCAGACACACCGGCCGATGCAACAATCTTGCTTGATCAAGGCAGTCCCCCCCGTACATTTCACCCCTCCCTTCCACACTTTCCAACCTCATTGATTTGGACATTCCAGTGATGGAACCCACACCCTTGACACCTGAGGATGGATCTGCTATGGTAGGTCCCATGGTTGAGCCCACCCAAGTTCAGTCTGAGGGTCCACAATCCTTCGGCAAAATTGTGCTCCTGGATGAACCAGGTAACCTCTTGCCAGAATCCTCCGGCAATATTGTGGTCCCTAATAAACCAGGTAACCTCCTGCCAGAATATGATTCTTCTGATAAGGAGATGGATGTTGAGGGGAAGGTTGATCTTCCTGGTGAGGAGGTTGAAATGGCTACATAATTGCTCAGTGATAGATGTACATAAATCTTTTTCAATGCATGTTACCTATGCCACAATTGAATGATTCAATGATCAGTCCCGATATCCAGAACTTGAAACTGTAGATTGAGGTAGATATCACCCGAAACTTGAACACCCGAATGTCAAATTTTCAGTGCCGAACCCCGAGTCCTGGGTGCTGGGTGCCGAGCCCTGAAACCCAGAACTCAGGATTTGACATTTGAGACGAACAACATTTTTTTCAGACATGTTTAAATTAACCTACGTATATCTATAAACATTTTACTAACCCTCAAACCCCAAACCAAGATTTACCAACCCCCAAACCCCGAAATTGTAGACTGCCGGGTCTTGGGGTTCGGGGGTCCCGGAACCCATTTCCACCCACCTCTCTTCAAGGAGTTGCCGGGTAGACTTCTTGTTGCCGGAAGTGGAGTTAGACATGTTAAGCAGTAATAGGAGTTAGGAGGAAAGTTTTAAACTTCTCATGGGCGTCCCGGCCTACTTATATGCTTCAGTGCTATGTTTATGAGCTCCGCCCATCATCTCACATTCATAAAACTCCGGACCGGACTTCTGAATCAGAAGCCTCGTGGGCTCGGCCCTAAGGGGGGGATACTGTCATATCCCACGTTCCAGACCTGGACTTATCACACATATCATTTCCGGATGTCCGGATCTGACCCGCGTCTAATTTCTGTGCCTTATCCCTTTGTATGTTCCTACTTGAGCCCCTTCAGTGACAAATTCTGTATTACACAGGCCACCCGACCTCCATAATATCCCATATGAGATGGGCCAGCGGATTATGGGCCCATGTTGTGTATATTCTCGATGATGACGGATGGGCCGGGACACATATTATTTCTGATGGAGACGGGTGGGCCCATGTATGCCAATAATATATATATCCTTGATGTTGATGGATGGGCCGGTGGAATATGATCATTCATGGAGATGGGTGGGCCCATCTGGGTAATATGTAGAGTAGGATATTATAGACAGCTCGGCTGAAGAGAGATGTAAGGCAAATGTTGTTGTGTAGGCGGGTGGGCCAATGGGGGTGTATTACATATATGGGTGGGCCGACGTAGGGGAATATTACATAGATGGGTGAGCTGATGTGGGGTGTATTACATATACAGGTGGGCCGACATGGAAAGTATTACATATACGGGTGGGCCGACAAAAGGGATATCAAATAGACCGGTGGGCCGAGGTGGGGTATAATTATATAGACAGGTGGGCCGACATAGGATGTATTATATAGACAGGTGGGCCAACATAGGATGTATTACATAGACGGGTGGGCCGACATGGGGGATAATACATAGATGGGTGGGCTGACATGGGGGAATTGTACATAGATGGGTACATATATGGGTGAGCCTAGATATGTTTCATCAAGACATACAGCTGATGTAGCCACCAGCAAATCAAACCCGTAGGATACATGTACACTATGAGTGCATATACCTACCATCGACCACCAAATCTAAACCCCTAAGCACAAAAACATGAATTGACCATGTATGGCATTGACCAATAATTGAGGACTGAAGTGGAAAAACCCCACACCTGAACCATGGTGTGCAACATATCCTATTTCTAAGCACAGACACCAGAAGCACAACACTTACAAAAATATATATGTATGTCAAATTTTCAGTGCCAAACCCCAAACCGAGATGTACCAACCCCCAAACCCAGAAATTGTAGACTGCCAGGTCTCGGGGTTCGGGGTTCAGGGGTCCTGGAACTTGGAACTCGGAACTTGGGAAATTTGGGGAGATCAATAACATTTAATTTACAATCAAGTTGATTGACAAACACATTGACTTACCCATGTTTGAAATATATTTTTGTTTTCACATACCGAGTTCCGAGTTCTGGACCCCCGAACCCCAAAACCCGAGACCTGGCAGTCCACAATTCCGGGGTTCGGGGGTTGGCAAAATGTGTATGAATATATGAAAGGTTGATTTAAACATTTTTGGAGAGAGGCAGAGGAAGAAGAGCGCAAGCGCGAGGAGGCGGAAGAGGAATGGAAACACATGGAGGAACAGAAGCGGAAGGACATTGAGGACACTCGGAAAAGATTGGCTGAGCGCAAGTGCAAGCGCCTGATGAAGGCTAGGGCAGATAATGTGTCGGAGGTGAGTCAGATGAGGGTTCTTTGTTTTTCTGGATGTTTACAGAGTTTAAGTCCTCTGGTCCGGCAGATCCAGAGGCCGCATGCGAGATGTGCATTACCAGGCGCAAGATTTGCACCTGGGCCATTGTGTCTAAGACACCTAGGGTGAATGATTGTTTCGTCCGGATCCGGATGATTACTGATCATTCCGGAAGATCTGGGTGTGACTAGTGCCACACATCCAAGGAGAAGTGCGTCGGCTGAATTCCCCCTGTCAAGGTGCCAGCTGGCAAAGGCAAAGGCAAGAAACATGCGCATCCGGAGGGATCTCTGAGCCCCAAGGGCAAAGCCAAGAGGTGCCAGAGGAGTCCGGAGGACATTGACGACGACATGGAGATAGTCTCCAGTCCCCAGACGGTCATTGGTGAGGAGCAAGCTTGGATGGAGCACAACAACCAGGCCTGGGTCACAGCCGCCAACAATATTATGGCAGAGTTGGCCCTGGACCAATGGGCTGTTGGAGAGGGGTATCGGAGTGGCAGAAGGAAGTAGGGCTGCAATGGACCGGGTGAGTGAAAACATGCTCCGGTTCATGGAGGAGCAGAGGGAGTTTCAGAACCTCTTCTTGGTGTTACGAACTAGGATAGTTCTAACAGCAAAGACTCGACAGAGCTTTCGTGTTGCTGAGATTCGTATAGCTCTTCAGATAAGAAGAGGTTCGTAGACTTAGTTAAAGGAGTGCTTTAACTAAGAGATCGGTTCAGACGTCTTAAGATTGGTGGTCTTAAGCGAAGGAAGTTCAGGGTAAAACCTAGTAAGATTGAAGTGACGTTTCTAGGTAAAGTACACGTGCTTAAATAGGAGACTATGCGCGCACGGACCAAGGCTATGGTGGGATAATAGTACAGGAGTCAAATATGGAAGTAAGGCCAAGAAAGGGAAGTCAAGACAAATGAGGAAAATGGTACATAATGACGGAGTTATCTGAGAAGTAAAGTGATTGTAACATTACCCCCTTACTAGAGTTGAAGCCACCGGATTCAATCATCCTGGTTAGCATGATAGATAGGGTCGTCAGAATAATCTAAGGCGTCTGGACCGTCGCCTGGTCCACCCTTCATGTGTTCTAACTTGTAGAGCGCTTCTTCTTCCCTGCATTGGGTGGCATATGCGTCATCCAAATCGTTCTCCCAGAGTGCGAGTACCTGGTAGAATCCATCGTCCTTCCAGGTTAAAGAAGTGGGGGATTCCCCAGTGTAGTGTGGGCAGTAGAATGAAAGATGGCCTGGGGATAATTCCCGACAGACGCGGCAGTAATATTCGGGACAATGAACTTGCCTGTGCCCGAGTGTCTTGCAGTACCTACAAATGCGATTCTCGTCGGGGTTAGAGGAGGTTGCTCATAGAGGTGATGGGCCTGGTTTGAGGCTAAGGGCCTCATCTGCACTGGTAGCGCGTTTCTTTCCTTTATCTGTACGGGGACGCTGACCTTGTACTCTCCTCCTAGATGGAGCGGTTCATCGTACTGTATGCGTGATGGTGACATCTTGTCTCTCTGCCTCCGTGATTAGCTCAGCAGGAGTGGCAGGCTGGGTTCTTCCCAACGCTTGTATAGGCACGATCCCATCCATAAAGGTGTGCGAAGATAGTGAGTCCGGGATGACGAGCGGGGGATGAATATGGAGCGTGGCCAATGCGTTAGCCAGGTCCTGTACTTCGTAGTGAGAAAGATATTGGTGGTTTGGGTCGGCAGCGACTTCTTCGCGAGTAACAGAAAACGCGGTGTAAAGATGGGGAGGGTGTTCAATAGTTTCTATGGCGGGAGCAGGAACGGGGATTGCCTGGGGGTTTTCCTCTCTAAGGGAAGTCATTATTGCTTCCGTAGTCTGCGCAAGATTGTTGACCGCAGCCAGTAGCTCATTAGGAATGTTAGAGGACAAAGTAGGTACGGCGTCGTGATAAGAGGGAGGAGGGACTCCATCTGTGGTTGTGGGGTTCGTAGGAGAAGGTGGGCGAGCAACCCCTGCGGTTTGTTCTGCGACGATGTGGATGACTGTTCTAATATCATCTTTAACTTCCTCAGGAATAAGGCACAAAGCAAAGTTGCGTATGCGCCTCTGCATATGCATGAGACTGTGGCGAACCGTGTTGTCTTCGACGAGGCGACAGACTCGCTCGATGATTTCAGTGGCTCGGATGATGTTGATAAGGAGGTTGATGGAATGAGCGTTTCTTCCAAAGAGAACTCTGGTGAGCTTGATGGCATGCTGGGGGCAGAGGAGTGCAGCCTCAATGAGGGTGAGGTCTTCAGCTTGAGTGATGAAGGTTTCGTATCGTTCGTCATTGGAGTCAAGGGGGGTAGCATCGAAGGTGGAGTGATAGGGGAGCGTGTAGGTAGACGTGGGGAAGGGCATATTGGTTGTAAGTCTTGTATCTGGGTGAGAACGATGTCGTCGAGGTACTGAGCAATCTCAAAGCGCATTTCTGGCTTTATAGGTTCTAAGGGTCTCCTCCGCATTCTCCAAGTTCTTTTCAGGGATCCACTCGTTGCTGGCAGAAGAATACCCTTTCCAGGATACTAGATATCGCCGACGATTCCCAGTTCCTTTATGCGCGAGAATTACTTCTATTTCATATTCTTCCTCTTCTTCTAGAACATCAGGTGGTGGTTCTGGGAAGTTCGGACCGTGTACGTCATTTTCGCGATAGGAGGATAATTGCGAAGCGTGGAATGTAGGGTGGATCTTCCATTGTGGCGGTAATTGGAGTGTAAATGTGATGGGAGATAGTATGGCCATGATAGTGAACAGGCCGTATCTCTTGGGTGCCAGTTTCCGAGATGGGAGTTTTAGTCTAAGATTGGCAG